AAGTAAAAGCTGCCCCTTACTTGGACAGCATGAAGCTGTAACACGTGGAGTACTGTACGTCCGTAATACACGTACGTACATTTTGTTCTGCGTGCGCACCCTGTAAGTCGTTTGGGGGTGCGTCTCTGGAGCTGAGTGCTCATTGGCCAGTCGCGGCTGTAAAACAAGTTTGCTGTCTCTGTTGCCCAATGTGTAAAATTGATTCGCTTATGAGCGCCATCTGTTGTTGAAAGAGGACCGTGCGCCAGTTTTAAAAGCACTGTTTGTGAATCAAAAACTGTGCAACGGAGTTACACCCACTTACGGCGATGCCCTCGCAACAGGAGACTCGTTCATTTGTTACGACCTTTGTAACGCGTCGAAACACGTGGCCCTTAAACCCTAATGTAGGAGCAGTTGTTCCATTCGCTCCTAAAAGGGGCGGTCCAACACCTCCACATTAATACCCTTTGTATATCGCGAGCTGTTTTAAACTACAAACACCAGATACACAGATAATATTAAAAACGCTGACAGCATAGAGAAAACCCAGTTCGACTTGGAAAACTGAACGATACCACGCCCCCATATTGTGGTCCAATGCTGCACCATTATGTCAACCCAACTATAGTATTTTAGATCAGAGCGTAAGAGTTGTTATGAATATAATTGGCATAGCGTAGAACTAAACTGTATAGTGCCACGCCCCAATATAGTAGCTAAGTCGGTAAAGTCCATATGCGTAGAACTGTAACATTGTAAGCGCACAACAGTTCCCAATTAGAAAACTTCCTAAGAAAATCAAAATTCTAGGGCTATCCAGACGAGCATTTGGATTCAGATCTTTCAAAATTGACAACATGGGTTCTGATTTAAGTATTTATTTGAATTTTCAACTTACGTTCCGATTTCAGCAATGCTCCGTGCTCTCAACCGGAGACATTGAATGTGAAGAGTTTGATAATGAAGGATTTGAATATCGATTCGACGGCTTTTAAGTCTGTGTTCAAAAAAAAAAAAAAAAAACACATGCATTTATGCCCTTTTATTGTTTTCATACCCTGTACCCGTAGGGTTAAAAGGGAATATTAGGTTTGTGCGATGTATGTAACAGACAGAAGGCAGCATCTCCGACCCCATAAAGTTTATATATTCTTGATCAGCATGACAAGAGAAATCAATCTAGACATGTCCGTCCGTCTGTCCGTCCGTCTGGATGAACGCCTGGATTTCGGGAACGGCTGAGCGCACATTAACCAAACTTGGTATATAAATGCTCCTATTCCCTAAGCTAGCCGAGTTTATTTTAATTTTTTGAATTTTCCCCCCTTCCTCCGGTACAGAATTTTGTCAATACCGTCCATATTAACCAAACTTGGCACACATAATTAATACATAATAATCTACTTTTGTTTCGAATTGCATTCAAATCGAAAATTCTAAAAAAAGTTATTAGCGAAACAATTTCACTCCAGCACTACGCCTACAAGCTGCTGCAAGTTCGCTCTTCTTCTTCCTTTTGCTTCTGCTAGGGGCGCGTATACCTCAGTGTCGAAAGTATTTCACTGTCGGGCTAGCTCGACTGTAGCGTTCTCTCTTGTTTATTATAATCCCCGATCTTTCATTCCTGGGCGATGTCTTTCCAACTGAGCTCGCCCAACCCACTGAATATGTAGAGTTTCCATTCACTTTTAAAAGTACGTAAGTATTAAAAAAATTATAATAATTAGCCAGTTCCTAGCTCCAAAGTCCAAATCAGTAGCAATCCAACTATACATTTTTAAGAAAGAAAAGTTACTAGGATCTTACGATACTAGTTGGGACATATAATATTTTTTATGTTTAAGTTTTCAGTTTTTAAAGAACAACAAAAAACAAACTCGAAATAGATATATGTAAATAGCTGTAAAAGAATTGGAAACATCATTGTTTCTAATAACTGTGATGTTTATAAGATTATTTTGGATAACCATTACCTCTAAATAAGGAAGCTCCCACTATATTTGATATCGTAAGTTGAGTAATACATAATTAAATTCTCATTTGATTGATAATTTCTTTCAACAAAATAGTACCGAGAAGTCATATACATTTTCTTTATTGAAGTTCATTCTTTTACGCTAATTCTGAATTGTTTTTTAGAACATTGTCCTTACGGCTAGTGCCATAATACATAAATATCTCTACCCAATAAATCAATCAATAAAAATCAGCATGAGCTTTCGCTATTTTGGGAATAAGTCTAGGACATCTGGTCTCCTAATGATTTATTTATGATATTTACTATATAAAGAAAAAAGCACTGATAATATTTATTTGTTTATTTATTGATGTCAACAAAAATTGACTGTCGACATAGGAAATATATAAAAATTATAAAAAGCGTCTTATAAGCAAGAAAAGCCTAAGAAGGAGAAATCTAATCAAATTTACAATAATATCTAATTAACGCCTCCGACCCGGTGGGGGAATATTATTTGCCTTTCGGCTAGCTGTGAACAAAGAAAACAAAAATTAATTACATAAGGATTTTTTTTTGTAATTTTTCTTATTTCGTTCACATACTTAAAAATAAATAACAGATAATAATTATCTAAAAGCTTTTCCCATTTAAAGTTATTCATAATGTTGGCTTACTGCTACTGTTATGGATCCCAGTGCCTCTCTTTTTCTTCCTTTTTTTGCCATTCACTTCGAATCAGATTAGCGTTTCCACTAGCCGCCACAACAGAAAATAATGCATTTAGCAGCATGCTGGTTCGATCTGGTAGCTGGATGGCATATCAGAAATTGTTTTAATGTGCAGAGCTTTATCTGAAGCCCTCGTAAATTTCAGTTCATTGACAATTTCAGTTCATCTAGAATCTAATTTTGTGAAGAGAATAGTGCAATTATTTGACTTTGATATTTTCAGCTTATCAGCTAGCCGAGCTTATCATAAATCTAGATATAGTTGCAGATCACATTATTATATAATATAGAAATAAATACGAGTGCTCGAAAAATGATTTTGTTTTTAACATTTATTTGCATTACTTAATACTTATTACACCTTTCTTTGATTTGCATACATATCTAACAATAAACAGAATAACTGTTTTCGAATTTAATTAAATGGACGAGTGTTCGTTTCTATGACTGCTATCTGATATCGAAACTAAAATGTTTAAGCTCTAATAAATTTAAAAGTGATACTTCAATAAATTGATTTAATTTCATCTCTTAGTTTAAGCAAAGCACATTCAACGTTTTCTTTCAAAAATCCACATAACAGACCTGCGCATAACGTCACCATCGTATTGTTGCAGCAATTTTCTTCTTCCTGCTGCGCTCAGTGGAAAACGTAATAGTCGTAACTGCCAGCAGTAAGTACAGCAGTAACTAGTTGCTGCTTTTCAAAAGTGTATACACTGGCTTATGAAATATGTCTTTATTAGCTATATTCGTGAATTTGTATAGCTATCTAAAAATCGGATATGGGTTAAAAGCACCTATCATAGAAATAAAAAGACCCGTTTAATGCTTTAAATAAATCAAAATATGCATAAGTATATTTCTATCAGTTGCTGTAATATATAAATATAAACATTAAAAACATTTAATAAATTTTAGCAAAAAGTAAACTACTTTGAAATATTTACATAAGTAGAAATTGATTTTATCTGAATAGTGAATACATTTTCTAGCAGTAATTTACTGCCAAACGCAACTCTGCGCCCTGAAGTGTTAATACATTTTTAAGTGCTGGTAAATGATGTGTTGACAGGTATTTATATTTTCCTTCGCCTTGCCTTTATGCCATTTATCGTTATTTTGAATGCATTTCTTTTGAACTGCTTATATATTATTTCACTTATGAATTATATTCTTATATGATGTCAGTCCCAATTGGGTTTTCACGCATTGCAGCTTGCCCACCACTAGCGAAAATGCCATTTACTGTGAATGAACAATTTTATTGCAGAATATCCTGTTTCTGTTTATAGCATCGCTGCAAAGGGAATTATTGAAAGAGGAATACTAATAAATGCAGGCAATTTAATGTTTATTGATTACGCTAAAGTACACAAACGTTAGCACAATTAAAACACAAATTCATATTTGATAAGATAAATATACATATGTACTTACTTATATGTATGTATTGCATTAATATTGCCGAAAGTATGCAAATTCGATTTTTTCATTGACATAGTGGATATCATTATTTATTCGAAATGCAATTAAAACTACAAATTAGCATAGAACAATTTTTAAACATTTAAACGATTTAGGATTTCCATAAATATTGGAAAACTTAATCTGAAAACAAACATTTCATTTCAAATTAGATTTGTTGCATCGCCACCAAACTAGTTTGCCGGCAATGCAAATGTGATACAGAAAAACAAGTAAAACGCAAGGCACGGTGCCCGACTTTTGTATACCCTGTGGCTTCCCCCTCAGCAATAATATGCTACAAACAATATATTTATGTATGCATAACAATAGCTCCTAATTGAGACCGGCTAGTATTAAGAATCTAATTACAAAATATGAAAAAAACATTATATTAGTAGCAAAAGGTTATAGTGAAGGGGTAAAGGTGGTCAACACAGATCTTATAATTTCCTATGTTCTGACTCGCCTCATCATGCTGATCAAAAATATTTTACCATATATGTATGCACATGCAATATGTATGTACCGGGGTCAGCCACTCCTCTTCCTGGCTGTTGAAAACATTCCAAACAGATGTGCTTTCGCTAGAGGGTAGATAAAAATGCGTATTGTGAAATCTGCTCACGCCTACGCAAAAGCATCGACTATCTCTGTTTTACTAGGCGGCGGTGAGTACAAAAATGCTTTACATTACCAAAAGAAATATCATCGATACTGGCACGATGTCATCGACAGTTGTGAAATGGAAAGGTATCGGTGCCATCGATAGTTTACCAGAAGTAGCAGCAGCATATTGCTCATCTCTGGTAGTAGCGACAAAGAAAGGAAATGCGCATAAACTTGCTAAAAACCTGCTATTAATTGTTTTGGTGGCAATAAATAAGAAAAAAGTGATAAAAGTTAAAATAATAAATAGTGCGTGTGTCGGTTTTCTTAAATTATTTAAAAGTGTTATGAACGGTGCCGCTCACCTTCGCCCGCGCCCTCACCGCCCATTGTGCACTACATCTACACTCATATTATACATACACACACATACTCACTGTGAAAAATTGAGACTTCTTTTAAAACTACTCAACAATCTATTAAATAAATAGTACGTATATGTTCTTTGTTTCAATAATTAATGTTACTTTCAATAATATATGCGCTTTCATCCGCATTCGTATTGTATTTCAATGGGCTATTCTGAGAAAATTTAATCAGTGTGTCGTTTCATGCGTGTGTGTGTGTGTGCGCATGTATTGTATACATATGCATGTATTTATGTACATACATTCCGTTTTCGTTTTCCGTCATTAAAATTAAGGAATTAGTGCACTTCACTAGTGCTAGTGCTAAAACAAATATAACCACTGTGCCCCACCATCACCCTAATTATTCAGTTTACGACATAATAGTGCGTCAATGGGTACACAATGTGATTTTTAAATCAACCAGTGCACGTACATATATATGTACAATATATACATATACATATGTATGTATGTGTGGTCGGCTTTAACCGATGCGGTCGATGGCTGCTGCTGCCGCACGGGAGGTTTTAATACACCTTTGCTTTCTCTAGTATCTGCTGTGATGGAGTCAAGTCAGTCGATTTCAATATTCTCGAGATGGGCGCCCACGCACTGGGCTGCTGTTGCCGGCAGGTGGGCACATGGGCAAAGGCGGCCATTCGTTCTCTGGACTGGCATAACTTGACCAACTTGATGCGATGCTGCGCTCTGACGCTAATCCTGCTCGTCTCTGTCTCTGCGTGGTCGGGCGTCTTTAAAGCGAGTCGAAACGCCTGCGTAAACATACAAAAGAGCCCTTTGGGTTGCTGTTGGCGTTGCCTTGACCAAAACATTTCGATGTTATGTGAAATCATGAGCGCACCTCCATTTGTCGCTTTGCATGTAGGGACGGGTGTTGGGGTGGTTCGAGGGGGGTGTGGCAGTTGGTGGACACAAATAATTGCTGGTGTTTATTTTCCCCATTAACATTGTATGCCGAGTCATATTGACTAGATCACTTTACTCATTTATAAATTGGGTAGTCTGTGTCTGTCCCCTGCCGTCCCCAGATTTTTTTGTGTTTTTGCTGAATGTGTACAAAACAAACAAGCTGAATACAATTACTCATATTGCTAACTTTAAACTATGACTCGCCGACTCATGCCCAATTAATTCAATGGGCTATTCACTACATCCAATCCCATCGCATTCCGCGTACAACAAAAACATAGTTTTGTAGTAAACTCAAATGGTTTTGCATGTGTCTTTCCAATGTACGAGTACTATGTACATTTAAACATTCAGTTTGAAACTATGCTGAGCGCATCGCGTTCTAAATTGGGTAACTTTTTAGTTTTAAACACCTGCCCAACTCTGGCTAGCAGATTTTTGGGAAACTGGGCATGTAATGACGCCCAGATGTTTTCTAAGGTCGGAACTTGAATTGTACGTACAAACATACATGCATATGTATATAAGTAAGTACATTTATTTAGCTCTGACAACTGTTGTGACGCATACGTCATTGTACTTTCCTCCCATAGCTAGTCGCAAGCAAACATGCAACACACGCAGACACACACACACACACATTGTATGTATATTCGTACACATATACATACATATACACATAAATGTAGCAGTTTTATCATTCATAACATTGAGGGTTTATATCAACAATGCCTCCTCACACACATTCTTTGCCCTCAGACAGTAATCGCTTCAATTTGCTTTCTTGTTGTATTTTTTCTCTATGCAGATAAATATAATGTCGCTGCTCGTTACTTGAGGTCGATGCATATAATAAAATATGTATGTATAGTGTAAATCTGTAGATAGTTTTAATATCAAATGGATAAGACAAAGCCGAAGGAAATTGAAAGGGCGTTGTAAACATAGAGAGAAGCTGCACATGGATTGAATATACCAAACATACTCAAAAGAAATCGGAAGCTCGTCGCTTGGACACAAAAGTAATTGAGAATCTTTAGAATCTGTAGCTGTAGTTGTAGCCGTAACTACTCATATAGCTAAAAGAAACGAAAAAAACAACACATATATCTCGATAAGTCCTCATCGGATTGAAAAGATCGCCGGTGGGCGAAATTGTGTGAACGTGGAAATGCATATAATACTATGTATATTGCTAGTAACTACTGTAAAAGATGTCTTCACAAATGGAGAGCTGACAAAAAGTCGCAATGACATGCTATCACTTAAGTCCGACAGATTGGTTGCCAATTCGACGGATATCGGCGCTGCTGGACAAGCAAAAAACAATAGCTCCATAATTACACATGTCGCTAAATTCGATACCATCCTCAACCATCTACTGGTGGACACAGTCACTGGTCGTGTTTTTGTCGGTGGAGTCAATCGCTTGTATCAGCTCTCACCAGATCTGCAGCTGCACGAGACGGTAAAGACGGGTCCACAGAATGATTCCGTTGAGTGCACCCTACTTGATTGTCCCGCGAACGCTGTGCGCAAGCCCACGGATAATTACAATAAAGTGTTGCTAATAGATCGCGCCACATCGCGTCTCATTGTATGCGGTTCAGTGTTCCAGGGCACGTGTACCGTGCGCAATCTACAGAATGTGAGCATTGTGGAGCAGGATCTGCCCGATGCTGTGGTGGCCAACGATAATAATTCATCGACTGTGGCTTTTATAGCACCAGGACCACCACAACATCCGTTGACAAATGTCATGTATGTGGGCGTGACCTACACCAATAATTCTCCTTATCGCAGTGAAATACCTGCGGTCGCGTCACGATCCCTAGAGAAATCCAAAATGTTCCAGATTGCCTCCTCGGCGGTGACAACAGGCACACGTACTTTTATAAATTCGTATGCCCGTGAGACCTATTTAGTCAACTATGTGTACGGCTTCAGTTCGGAACGTTTCTCCTACTTCTTGACCACCCAACTGAAGCACAGTCATCATTCATCGCCCAAGGAATATATCACAAAGTTGGTGCGCATCTGCCAGGAGGATTCCAATTATTACTCATACACGGAAATTCCTGTGGAGTGCATAAGCGATGCCCAGGGTGGAACGAAATTTAATTTGGTTCAGGCTGGATTCTTGGGCAAACCAAGCTCAGATCTGGCCCAGAGTCTTGGCATTACAATTCAGGATGATGTTCTCTTTGCCGTCTTCTCAAAGGGAGATGGCAATACACCCACAAACAACTCGGCTTTCTGCATTTACTCCTTGAAATCGATTCGTCGGAAATTCATGCATAATATCAAGTCCTGTTTCAACGGCAATGGCATGAGAGGTCTGGACTTTATATCGCCCAGCATGCCTTGTGTGCTAACGGTACGTAGAACCATAGAATATTTCGCTTTTAAACTGATTTTTCCTAATTATACATTTTGGTTTCCTTTTTATCCAGAAATTGCAAACAATTGGCGAAGATTTTTGCGGTTTGGATGTGAATTCGCCTCTAGGCGGAGAGTATCCCATTACTTCTGTGCCCGTGGCCATGTTCGATAAAAGACTAACCGCTGTTGCAGCTACAAGCACCAGCGGTTACACTGTCGTCTTTATTGGAACCAGTGATGGTTACATCAAGAAGGTGGTTGTGGAGTCCTCAAACATTGCCAATGAATATGCTAGCCTAGCCGTTGATGTGGGCTCACCCATCAATCAGGACATGCAATTCGATAATCAAAACCTCTACATCTACGCCATGTCGGAGAGGAAAGTGTCGAAAGTGAAGGTTTATGATTGTGCTGATTACAAGACTTGTGGCGAATGTCTAGGTGCCAAGGATCCGTACTGTGGCTGGTGCTCCCTGGAGAACAAATGCAGTCCGCGCTCCAATTGTCAAGATGATGCCAATGATCCTCTATATTGGGTTAGCTATAAGACTGGAAAATGCACAACGATTACAAGTGTGGTGCCACATCAACTGCAGAGAACCACAGCGCGCACTTTGGAGCTGATTATCGACCATCTGCCACAATTAAAGGAAAACCTAATATGTGCTTTTACCACTGAGGACAAAGCGCTCTTCACAAATGCCACCAAGAAGCGAAACGGTGTAAATTGCACAACGCCACGGACCGATATGTTGCCTCAAATCGAACAGGGCAAGCATCATTTCACGGCCAAGCTCTCGGTGCGGACACGCACGGGTCCAGATCTAGTGTCGACAGACTTCACCTTCTTCGACTGCAGCACACATTCATCGTGCACCAGATGCGTCTCATCCGAATTTCCATGCGATTGGTGCGTAGAGGCACATCGTTGCACTCACGATACGGCAGAAAACTGTCGCAACGACATACTTGTAACTGGCGTAAGCCGCATCGGACCAAGCTACCGTTCCGGCCCAGGCTTCTGCCCCACCATCAACGCCACTGGTGATGGCAGCGAGGTCTTAGTTGCTGCGGGCACCAGCAAATCTATTAAGGTCAAGGTACACATCATCGGACAGTTTATTGTGCAGACCCGATTCGTCTGCCAGTTTAACATCGAGGGACGCGTTACTAGCTTGACTGCCCAGCTGTTGGGGGACACAATTTATTGCGACAGCATGGAATTCCAGTACACATCGAGGTCTCCCAATTTGACTGCAACATTTGCCGTTATCTGGGGCGGCTCTAAGCCCCTGGATAATCCACACAATATTCATGGTAAGTTCATGAAAACGGCTCTATACTCATGAGTTTTCTTCTATATAACAATGATAGTTTGAATATTTGTTGTTTTTTGCGAACTTTCCAATTCATTATCTGTGTTTGCCGGCTCGAGATTAAGAGATTTATTAAGAGACATGTGTAAATTGTGTTTTAGATTGATTTACCAATATAATTCCCCTCCGTAACGAGGGCTAGAACAATACATTGAAAAAATATATAATTTGAAATTATGAAAGCACGGCATAACTTTTAATATTTATATATATATGAGGAGACTAACCTTTAATTTCATTTAACCACTTTCAGTTGTCATTTATCGTTGTCGGGATATGGCGGACAGTTGTGGCATTTGCCTGGCCTTGGCTGAGAAATACAACTGCGGTTGGTGCTCATCGACAAACTCCTGCGAGGTGGAGGAACAGTGCAATAAAAATAATGAGGGCAAAACCGATTGGCTTAATCGCAATGAGATTTGCCCGAATCCCGAAATACAGTCGTTCGAGCCCAAAACCGGTCCCTGGGAGGGAGGCACTAATATTACCATACGCGGCATAAATCTGGGCAAAAACTACATGGATATCTATTCGGGTGTACGAATTGCTGGCATCAACTGTATGCCTTTTAAGGAATTCTACATTGATACAAAACAGATCGTGTGTATTGTGGACAGTCCCGGAGAGCAAATGTATCGGAATGGACGGATTGTGGTGCAAATTGGTGACTATCGTGGCGAATCGAAGGAAGATTATGAATTTGTTGATCCGAAAATATCGAACTTTTATCCAAAATTCGGTCCAACTTCTGGTGGCACAGAAATCCGTATAATTGGCAAGCATTTGAATGCTGGATCGCGCATCCAAGCCTTCATCAACGACCATTTGCCATGCCAAATACTAAGTGCTGACAGTTCCGAAGCTATTTGTCGTACCTCGCCATCACCGGGCATTATCGAGGGACGTTTAAAAATGTCCTTCGACAATGGGCCGCGTGAGTTTAACGACTATAATTTTAAATATGTACTCGATCCCACAGTTGAGCAGGTTAGCTCGGGACCCACAGCACAAATCAAGGTTGCCAAAGGCATTCCCGCTGGCGGCATAAGAATCGCAGTCACAGGAACACAATTTACGAGCATACAAAGTCCAAGCATTTATGTCTATTATAAAGGACAAATGTATACAAGTGGCTGTCTTGTGAAATCTGATACGGAAATGGAATGCGCCTCCCCAATAATTGAGGCAGATAGCGAAACATTGAATGCCGATAATCCAACACAACTTGAATATGGTTTTCTAATGGACAATGTACTCAGGGTGCAAAACCTTTCAAAGACTCATAACAATTACTTTGAACTCTATCCGAATCCGCAATATTTCCCCTTTGAGGAGCGCGTAAAATACTTTAAGAGCGAATATCTAACTATAAATGGTCGCAACCTTGATCGGGCCTGTAAGGAGAGCGATGTGGAAGTAAAGATTGGCAATGGTTTCTGCAATATAACCTCGTTATCGCGTCAGCAACTCACCTGCCGACCTCCTACAGAGGCTGCAGCGGCGACGGGTACTGGTGGGGGTCCCGAGGTAATTGTGCGTATTGGATCCTCACTTGAATACCGCATTGGAATACTCAGTTATGCATCGTCCAATTTTATAACGGACTTTGGTGACAATTTTCTAATGGGCATTGTAGCTGGCATTGTTGTCCTCCTGCTGATCTTCGTCGCTCTTCTTGTGGCGTATAAGAAGAAGAGCAGCGAATCAAGTCGCGTTTTGCGGAACATGCAGGAGCAGATGGATATCCTGGAGTTGCGTGTAGCCGCCGAGTGCAAGGAGGCATTTGCGGAGCTGCAAACTGAAATGACAGACCTGACTGGTGATCTCACATCGGGTGGCATACCATTCCTTGATTATCGTTCCTATGCCATGAAAATACTCTTCCCTAACCATGAAGATCACATTGTTTTGCAATGGGAGAGACCAGAACTGCTACGGAAAGAGAAAGGCCTACGTCTATTTGGTCAGCTCATCATGAACAAAACATTCTTGCTACTCTTCATACGCACACTCGAATCGAATCGTTATTTCTCTATGCGCGAACGCGTCAATGTAGCCTCACTAATTATGGTTACACTGCAATCGAAATTGGAATACTGCACAGATATCCTAAAAACATTGTTGGGTGACCTCATCGAGAAATGCATTGAGGGAAAAAGTCATCCAAAACTATTGCTACGTCGCACGGAAAGTGTTGCGGAAAAGATGTTGAGTGCCTGGTTTACGTTCCTCTTGTATAAATTCCTCAAAGAGTGTGCCGGTGAGCCTCTCTATATGCTCTTCCGTGCTGTCAAGGGGCAGGTGGATAAGGGTCCCGTCGACGCCTGCACTCATGAGGCTCGCTACTCCTTGAGCGAAGAGAAATTGATTCGGCAGTCAATCGATTTCCGACCCATGACTGTGTACGCGAGTATTATACAGCAACCTATATTCTGTAACAACCTGGATATGTTGCCCCTACACACTGAAAATGTGTCTGTCAAGGTTCTTGACTGCGACACCATTGGGCAGGTTAAGGAGAAATGTTTGGAGACAATATACAGAAATATACCATCCAGCCAAAGGCCACGCAAGGATGACTTAGACTTGGGTATGTACCAACATTCAAACAGATTAGACATATACTACAATAATAAATAATTCCAATTTCAAAGCAATTTCACGGCTTCATAAATACCGTGCATAAATGTAGAATCTATCATTGTCAAGAACATTAAATGTGTAGCATAGTCATTATTGTTTTAATTTTCCATTTGTTTACTTTTCATTCCATATAGAATGGCGAACTGGTGCTACGGGCCGAGTTATTTTGTACGATGAAGACGCAACTTCGAAAACCGAAAGTGAATGGAAGAAACTAAACAATTTACAGCACTATAATGTTCCAGATGGAGCTGGACTTAGCCTAGTTCCCAAACAAAGCTCTATCTATAATTTCAGTATATTGTCGGATAAAAACGAAAAATCTCACAAGTACGTAAAATGTGAATTTCAAATTCCTCTTTAAACATAAGACTAATTATGATGTGATGTGTTCACATTTCAGATACGAAACTCTTAATATATCGAAATATACATCATCCTCACCAACATTTAGCCGCGCTGGCAGCCCTTTGAACAATGATATGCCCGAAAATGGCTTAAAATACTGGCATTTAGTCAAACATCATGACAGTGATATACAAAAGGAGGGCGAACGCGTCAACAAATTAGTCTCAGAAATCTACTTAACAAGACTTCTAGCAACTAAAGGCACCTTGCAGAAATTTGTAGATGATCTATTTGAGACAATATTCAGCACCGCACATCGTGGGTCGGCTCTGCCCTTAGCCATCAAATATATGTTTGACTTTTTGGACGATCAAGCCATACATCATGGCATTACAGATCCTGAAGTTGTGCACACATGGAAAAGCAACAGCTTACCACTACGGTAAGTAAATATATCATTTTATCGTAGTACTTTTATATTCATACATAATGGTGTATTTCTTTTTTTTTTCATGTGCAGCTTCTGGGTGAACTTGATAAAAAATCCAAATTTTGTATTTGATATTCACAAATCGAACATTGTCGATTCCTGTCTGTCTGTCGTTGCTCAAACGTTCATGGATTCCTGCTCGACTTCTGACCATCGATTGGGTAAAATAGAAAATATAATATTGTGTTGCGATTATTAAGGTTGATTTGGTTTACAGGGAAAGATTCGCCAAGCTCGAAACTGTTGTACGCAAAAGATATTCCAGAGTATCGCAAATGGGTAGACCGCTATTACAGGGATATCCGGGACATGCCACCTATATCAGATCAGGATATGAACGCAATGCTCGCCGAGGAATCTAGAGTAAGTGGCTTCGTATATTAAAAACCCAAAAGACCATAATGAACAATGTAATCAATAATATTACACTATATCGATGTCGATCTGTACATGTTTTATGCAATATAAAATCAATTTTTTTAAAAGTGAGATTAATAAAATCGATTTAATATTTTCAGTTGCACACAACGGAGTTTAATACAAACTGCGCCCTGCATGAGCTCTACACCTATGCTGTGAAGTACAATGAACAGTTGACGGTCACACTAGAGGAGGATGAATTTTCACAGAAGCAGCGACTTGCCTTCAAATTGGAACAAGTTCACAATATCATGTCGGCAGAATAGAACTCATCAGAACTACAGAGAGCATTCAACACGATGCAGGCGGCGAATTTTTTGAAAAGGTCTGCATCGAAACTTTGGTGTTAATATTAGAAACAACCGAAGGTTGAGCAGAAACAGCCATTTCACTAAATATAACATACCACCTATATATGTATACCCCATTGCGAATGCGAACTTACATAAATGCTTTATCCGTTCCATTCTTCTTTATTATTATGTGATTAAATGATGATTCGCGAAATACATATGTACAAAGTTGCAAAGATTTTGGCATTACAAAACAATCCGCTCTATACACAATTTAACGTCAACGTCAGCAACGCACATAAATATTTTTTGAATTTACGCCAAAATTACGCGTCACAATTCCAATTTGTATCTGGTATCTGTATTACCTATACATATATATGCATTATCTGTATGTGTCCGCTCCCAAAATACAGTACAAAGAATATTTATGAGCAATTCGAAGTTGTACGATAAACAGCAATATACTCACGTTCTCTCTAATATTGGAGGAAGCAATAAGGTCAAGTTTTGTCTCTTTGTGTAGATAGATATGTGTCAATGATAAATATTTCAATATTGCCATAATAATGCTCTTTGATCAAACAATGCCAGAATAAAAAAAGAAAGAAATGGATTGAAAAACAAATGAACAAAGCAAAAGCAAAGCAACGTTAAGTAAAGTAAAGTTAAAATGAAAGCAAAGGATGTTTAAATTATGAGAACAGAACATCAAAGCAAATATGCAAAATGTGCAACAACTAAAATAAATACGAGAAAACAAAACAAATTGTAGAACTACCAGCATTCCGATCACAACTCGCCAACAAGCTGCAAGACGCCATTCACCATAATGTATGTACGATCATCATGTATATCATTTAGATACATATGTACTATGTGTCGACTTTGCTCATTTAATATTATTATATGTATGTACTGCGTGTAAGTAAGTGTCTAAGATCGGATATCGATATTAAATTAATCCAAACGTAAAATCGACTGATTTTTATTTAACATTTATATATATATATATAAAAGTAATATTGTGTAAAAAATAAAATACATTTATTAATTTACGTATTGCCTGCCTTTTGTGTTCTCATTTCGTTTACTCTTATGATTTCCCCTATATTTGTCCCTTTCTGTTTTTTTCTATGCATAAGAACGCACGTACTTATCTATGTATGTATGTGTTCCTTTGTTTGTATGTATGAAGTATGTATATGTATTACATATACATACATGCATATGTTAAGTATTATCCTTTATTTGAAGTATTTTGGTCAGCGTGCCAAAATTAAAAAATTTAAATTGAAGAAGGATGAGAAACGAAATCGAAAATTATATAAATAGCTAGCTTGTATGTATGCAGTCAGTCAACTTACATACATATGTATTTACATATGTACATAGTATATGTATGTACATATGTATGCACACATCTATTGGGTGTGGAATTATTCTGATAGCCCGCAATTTTTCCTTCCATTATTATGCAACGAGCAAACTGCAAAACTGGCTTCATTAGGCATCTCATATGTATACATATTATATATGGATTTATCTTAAGTGTGTGTTTTTATTTTTTGATTTCCATTTGAAATTCAACAGGTCAATTTTATAATACAAACATATATATATATATAAATATATGGGTATAAAATAATGATAATGAACAAATATTAGTACGTAATGTATGTAAATGTTTTATATATAACCCCCGATCTGCATTATATGCACATATTTGGTGCAATCTGTTTGCACAGGCACGCAAAAAAACAACAAAAAAGAAACTATGTATGTATGTCAGCCGCTGTTGGAGAATACAAAAAAAAGAAGAGATAAATGTGAAGAAACAAAACAAACCGAAACAACAACAACATTTAACAAATTAACGGAATGTGTTAAGTTTGATCGATCACACTGCCAAAAGAATAACGAATCACGAAAAGTGACAGTAAAAAGAAAAACAAACGAACAAAAGATCCGTTTACATTTCGGGAAGCTGCTCGAGCACTCTCCTGATTATGATTATATGTATGTATGTATGTAGAGAGCACAACAGCCGGGGGCCGTACAACAACACTGTATTCTAGAAGAACATAGAACAGCTTTTAGGTGCCGGTACCTCGACTGCTAGCCATCTAGATCTGACATTATATGACCGATATATACATATACATACATATGTATGTATGTATGAAGGTATGTAGGCAGGATCTGAAATTCTCGCCTTTGCATCGCAAGAGAAATGAAACATGAAATCCTAAAACGAAAAACCTAAACAAGAATACATAGCTTAAAAATATAATTTCTAAAATTGCCCACCAAAGAATATATGAAGAATTGTATGTATGTGTGTTAACTAAAAAAAAAACAAACAAACCCAATATTGTCTAAGTAAAAGTAAAACAAAACATAATAAGAAAAAATGAAAAACCAACAAAAAAACAAACCATTCTATACGGTTCTCGCTATTTGTTGATGGAAATTCAAACCGTTTTAGTTTACAATTGGATCTCAAAGACTGAAAGAAAGCTCTTTCACTTTTTTTGGTCATAACCAATTTGAAAATAAGAAGAGAAATAAGCTTATCAATATTACCCGTTCCATGAAAAAGCAGTCCATGCATAACTAATACATATCTCATTAATTTCTTTAACAAATTCTTCTGATTTCTGCACCACCGATTCAGGACCAGTACTGTAGTCTCATATACACTCACATTCACATACACAAATACAAACACACCTACCACATGTATGTACATACATATGTGCGAGTTAGCATGGCGCTGCTTTTTATTTCAAAAGGGTATCTGGAGCTTTAAAATGCCGAAATTGATGTTATGTTTTTACGCTCGCGGCTAAGCAAAGCGATATAAATAAATAAATGAAAAGTTATACGCGCGCCATCACGATAACTCGACTAAAGTCTAAAGCTCCCTCTCATACGTTTTTCGTTTTCAATAAACATATTTCATGTTTTAACTTGCGTTTCAAGACATATATCGAATATTTTTCCTTTTTTGCCGGACCAAATTTGAACACTAAGCTTTTTTGTACGAAAACTTGTGTGTAAGAATTAAATGAAATGCTTCCTTTTATAATGCGAACTAAAAGAAAAATAGGGAAACCAAATTCAAATAAGCGAAATAAAAAATAATAATAATAAAACAAAAGCATATACAAGATCCACCCTAGAGCTAAAGCTAAGTTTATGTCGTAAGTCGAGAGTCGAGGTGTGGAGGTGCGGTTCATTGGCTACCAGTGTGCTTCGAGATTTTTGGTTCATTCAATCACAAAACATTTGATTTAAGAGCTTTTCCTGTTCTCAAATATGTAATCATAAAATAGTTCATATATATTCATATATTAAATATTTGTGGTTGTGCGTATAAAAAATAACGAATATAGTCCTTATAAAACAAGTAGATGTATGTTAGTGTTTAATTATTTTTAGCAGTGTAAGCAGCAACGTCTACACTGCTAATTAAGAACTAAGAAAAAACTTAGACAGAGCAGGCATGATGAAGAAAACTATAGGCAGAGTGATGAAGCGTTCAATTTTTAAGGACTCATCTATCTGACTAACTAACGAAAATTTGTAAAACAATATTCTTTCATTCATTTTTAACGCAAATGCGCGAAAGCAACAATTTATAAAAGAAAAACAACAAGAACAACAGCAACAAATGATAAAAACTATATATAAGTATATGATATTGAGCTGGCGACGTTATCAACATATCCGTTAGATATTGTAACATACATAAAAGCATTTATTTGGAAATAAGAGGGAACATCTTTGGTTCACAATCAAAAACAATAACTATAGACGAAGGATACCAGATAGGTTAACGATTACTTTCAATTTTGCGTTAATTAATTAATTAATTAATGGCACACCTTCTAGGATATTTATATGTGTTGCATATGCATCCATATGTAAAGGGAATACATATGGATTTGGGGTGCTGGTACGGGTGCAGATGCCCGAATCCAGTTAGATACCAATAACTGTTTAATGAACTTGATTTTAAATCCGCCATTGTGGCACTCAATGTTTCCCAATCGACGAATTCGACAGGAGTCAAAGTCAATCTAACCATAAAAAAAACAAAAGGCAACAAAACAAAAAAAAAACTATCAATAAATGATTATTGTATTTGTATTTATGTGTGTATGCGTGTAAAGTATTTTAAAATATACGAATAAAAGCTGTGTGAGAAATCATTCCAAGCTCTTTCACTGTAGATTCGATCGTTACTAACATTTTCCCATTTTGCATATCATCAATGTTTATGTATCAACATACTCCAAAACATTTATTGGAACCAAGTAAGTATAAGTACAAAATTGAACCAAATATTAAGGAAATAATTTATTGCAAACTAACTAAAGATTTCTTTCTTGGGTAATCCCAAAAAGTCGCCTTAAATAAGAAACAATAAGATAGTAGAATATTTTTTTAAGTGTATAAAACTGTTGATTCGGTTTGAAATGGTTCGGCACAAGACGATTTTTATCAATCCGAAATAGCACTAGTTCTACATGTTTCACTGTACTATTTACGAATCGCATCCCTGGGTAGACATGTAACAGTACCGAAGCGGTAATTTACCTGTAAACAAAGGAAAATATGTGCATATTGTCTGTGATAAGCTATTTCGGCGCTGACCCACTTTTACGAGGCATTTGAGTGCTATGATAATGTTATATTCAGGACGTTCAAGTTTCGTTGATATCGCGCTATTTACCAGCACTCAAGGTATAATGCAGCCCTCGGTAGAGTATAACAAATAATACTCAGTATCGTTAGTAGTCGATTAATTAATTACTAAACGTCTATTATATATGTTATTATACATATTTAAGTGAAATTATTTAATATCTTGACATTTCTAATAGAATATAAGTGCGTTTGACACCGGCAAATGCATATTTACGGATTGTAACTATCGCACATATTTGTTGAGGCGATAAGTTCCTCCGATATTGTACTTTCTTATCGATACTTTGCGGGTATCGGGCGAGCACTACCCATCATGTTATGTATAACATCGGCACTCATACACAGTCTTGCAGTTAGTTGGACCGAAAAATGTTCGCCGTACGTGCCGCCGCTAAAACCGATAAGAATTTGCTGCCATTCTTGGGGCAATTGTGTAAGTACATAATATATAGGTGGCCAACAGTAAAACTGGGGCAACAAATTTAAAACTCAAGATGTATGAATTGAAAACAATAAAAACCTTCCGCATGGTGGTTAAAATCTTCCGAAAAGTTAACCAGAAGCGAACCTAACCTAAATGTGAGAGTGGTGTCAGTGCGATTGAAAATGGCCTGAAAAATGATTACATAATTATATTTGCAGCAAAACCTATGTAAATGAATCTAAATTTAATCACAACTACTTCTACTAAATGCAATTAAGTGTTTTTTTTTTTTAAATCTCAATATGTTGCAAATAACTGGATTATTTTTTTTTCACCAGAACGGTTAGCGCAATCAAATGTTTGTAGGTACATAACTTGCCACAAATTAAGAAATCAATTAATAAAACGCCGCGCTAAAACTCGTTAAACTCATTAAAGATATAAAATTATGCGAATTGAAGTTCTAAATCAGAGTTATCCAATTTTTTTCATTGTTTTGCTGAAAAAGTTAACCCGTTTGTGCTGCTGTGACGTAACACCGCAACTCGGCATTCGGCATATAACATTCGGATTTGCCGTATATACACATGTGGATCTTGAGTAATCAGAATGTGTGCCATTTTTGTATTTTTCAGCTCGCAGCTATGCCGCTAAGGCTGCTGTTAAGACAGCTGGAGTCGCCAGTGGCAAGATTGTTGCCGTTATTGGTGCCGTCGTTGACGTCCAGTTCGGCGATGATTTGCCACCAATCTTGAACGCCTTGGAGGTCGATCAGCGCTCGCCTCGCTTGGTGCTTGAGGTTGCTCAGCATTTGGGTGAGAACACCGTGCGTACCATCGCTATGGACGGTACCGAGGGTTTGGTGCGTGGACAGAAGGTTAACGATACTGGATTCCCCATCCGTATTCCCGTCGGCGCTGAGACTTTGGGCCGCATCATCAACGTGATTGGTAAGCATATGCCTAACATATACATATATTTATATATATATACATACATATGTACATATAGAGTTTACGTAAAATTTGTCTAATGTAATCATTTTTCGTTATAAAGGTGAGCCCATCGATGAGCGCGGTCCAATCCCAACTGATAAGACCGCTGCCATTCACGCTGAAGCTCCCGAATTCGTGGACATGTCCGTGGAGCAGGAGATTCTGGTCACCGGTATTAAGGTGGTGGATCTGTTGGCCCCCTATGCCAAGGGCGGTAAGATTGGCCTGTTTGGCGGTGCTGGTGTCGGCAAAACTGTATTGATTATGGAGCTGATTAACAACGTTGCCAAGGCTCACGGTGGTTACTCCGTGTTCGCTGGTGTTGGTGAACGCACCCGTGAAGGAAATGACTTGTACAATGAGATGATTGAGTCTGGTGTCATTTCCCTGAAAGACAAGACCTCGAAGGTCGCCCTTGTGTACGGTCAGATGAACGAGCCCCCAGGCGCCCGTGCCCGTGTCGCTCTGACTGGTCTCACCGTTGCCGAATACTTCCGTGATCAGGAGGGTCAGGATGTGTTGCTTTTCATTGACAACATTTTCCGTTTCACTCAAGCCGGTTCCGAGGTGTCTGCCCTGCTGGGTCGTATCCCCTCGGCTGTGGGTTACCAGCCAACTTTGGCCACTGATATGGGTACTATGCAGGAGCGTATTACCACAACCAAGAAGGGCTCCATCACTTCGGTGCAGGCCATCTATGTGCCAGCTGATGATTTGACTGATCCTGCTCCAGCCACAACATTCGCTCACTTGGACGCCACCACTGTGTTGTCGCGTGCTATCGCCGAGTTGGGTATCTACCCCGCTGTGGATCCTCTGGATTCCACCTCTCGTATCATGGACCCCAACATTATTGGCCAGGAGCACTACAACGTTGCCCGTGGAGTGCAAAAGATCTTGCAGGATTACAAATCTCTGCAGGATATCATTGCTATCTTGGGTATGGATGAATTGTCTGAGGAGGACAAGCTGACCGTCGCTCGTGCACGCAAGATCCAACGTTTCTTGTCGCAGCCATTCCAAGTCGCCGAAGTTTTCACAGGCCATGCCGGCAAGCTGGTCCCATTGGAACAGACCATCAAGGGCTTCTCACAAATTTTGGCAGGAGCGTACGATCATCTGCCCGAGGTTGCGTTTTACATGGTTGGTCCCATTGAAGAAGTGGTTGAGAAGGCCGATCGCTTGGCCAAGGAAGCGGCAGCCTAAGAATATAATACATGTTTAAACAAAAAAACAAAAACGGGCGTTGAATAACCATAATATTCAATTGATTTAAGCATTAAAGTTGTCAAGAGTCAGAGACACTGTAAACATCCGTAAGGAACACTACCCATGAAGAAAAATTATTAAATAAAAATATTTAAACATATTCAACTTCTTTTTATTCGGAAAATTTTCTTCTGCTACTAAAAATACTTTGTTTCATTCAAAATACAGTGTTAAATAATTCTGTAACCAATTTCTTTTGTCAACTGTCATCGGCCTCTATTAATTTAATTCCTTCCCTCGACAGCTGCAGTAGAAGAAGGTCTTCTTACGGCTAAGGTGCTGGAATTTATTCGGCAGTAAAACGATTCCGTGCAACTTTTCAAAAGGAAAATAAGTGCTGTTTAGTAAAAAAAATATATAAATCTAATTCTGTAAGTAATATTTTAGTCTACACATGCATCTGTAGACGAATTTGTACGATTTGCGATCACTTCAAAAAAGTTTTGGTAGGAGAGTATAAATTTTAAGTGCATGCAGGCAATACAATAACTTCATCTGTCAGTGCACATCATACATACATATCCATACATATGTATGTGCATTGATATGTCATTCATTTGTCAAAAGCAAAACAGGAAGTTCGACTGAAAACCAAAAACCGGTGCTTGTTCAATATCGAAAAATAAATTGGGATATTATCCAAAATGCGATTGCATTTGTTTTAAACAAATTACATCAGTGTTCTCAATATCATCGTCCTGTGAGTAGCATTTACATTATCCTTATATACATAGATACTCATGTGTAAATTAAATGCATGCAAAAAAGTTTCAAAAGTTGCAAAAAAAAAAAAAAAATCCGTTGCCATCTATGTCTGTATATTTATTAAAAGGGAGCTCTACAGAATTACTGAATCTATTCGAAAATGCACAATTTACATACAATTTTGGCCTGTGCCAGCTCAAATGATCATAAAATTGTACACACATTTTGACCGCACGCATATTTTCAAAAATTTGACGTTTAATTTTAAATGTCAAATCAAACGCGTATGACTTGCACAATTAATTTCTTTCCTCGAATTATGTGCATTTTCAAGCAGTAAGGCAGAAAGATGTAGTAAAATTAGCTCTAGCCCAATATAAGTCTGAGATTAATATTTAAATTTTATACGATTGTTTTTACTCCTTCGGAAACAGACTTCGCCTTCATCTTTGTGATTCGTCACGTTCACCGAATTCACCAGCTGGTAAGTATAGTGGATGCTATCGATGTGTTCTCTGCATCCGTGCATTACAGATGGGCAAGAGTAGACGTTTTATGTCGCTCACCAACTGCGACTGTGACTATCCCATTTGAATATCAGTGCCTGACCAATTTATACACATAATATTGTGTTGATAGCGCTCAGTACTGAGCATTAAAAGGAGGCTGAAGTATGCGACAATGGTTTAAAATGTTTTCTGCACATTGAAGGCTCTGCTTATAAATGTCATTGGAATATTTAATCATTTTAGGTATTTTTGTATCGCTATGCCAAATGCTTTTTATAAGATATCGATTACTAAATATTTACAGATATATATTGAATAACAAACAGGAATTAAGTAGTGAATTGTTTTGTTGATGTGCGATAAGTAATCCCAAGTAACAGTAACGATTACCTGTTATTTTGTGCATTTAGTCACAGCCGTGACTGGTGACATTGAAAATTTCGTGATAAGTTTCAGATTCGTAAATATCGCCCATCTCTACCCTACATTTATCTGTGTTTTGCACCTTATTATTGCAAATAATAAAAAATATATTAGATAAAATAGGGCATAATTGCATTAATAACGCCTAGCGTTCGATGTGGATGTGAATGTGGTTGAGATCATTTGTTCGCGCTTATTTGTTCGTGTTTATTTCGGTGTGAGAATGAAAGTTACAACCAATGGTTATATATGTATATACCAATAAAGTTGTGTGAGTGTGAGTCCATTTATATGTATATATGTATGTACATGCATACATACCTGTGCACAGATATGTATGTATGAATGTATGTATATAGAGGCAATGTCAGTCAATATCTATATTATCATTCGTCACTAAATAGTTTGACATAAAATTCTTTGAAGAATGAAAGTTACTTTGTGACGTTTGCAATCCATTTAAAGCAGTCTAAAATTGCTGTGAGTGCAGTGCGTGACAATTATATAAACTTTTTGTGCAGTTATCTACTAAATCTAAATCCAATTACAACATTGCACTTGTAGTTGCATACAGATACAGAGTGCTTTTGGTTTTACTTTTGCACATTTGTTGCACACTTGGCGAACGGGTATTTATGAATTTTCAAATCCTTCAATTAAATTACGCGAAATGCTTTCGTTCAATTCCGATTCTGATATACATACATATAGGATAAACATATGCACGTATGTATGTATGTGCATACAATGTATGTATATACCCACACTAATACACCAGCACATACACATGTGCATGCCCACAAATGTATGTGTGTGTGCATGTACGTATTTATGCACGTACATATGTATGTGTGTAACCTTCAAGGTTTTTGCTAGAGCAATTCAATGAAGAACGTTGAAAAAAAGTGCAATAGTTATAGTTAATTGGTGTTGGTGTGTGCACGAATGCTTATTCAATTATGTATGTGCGAATTCCCAGTAAGGCAACAGGATAACAATCTGCAATATGCATTTATCCACATGCACATGCAAATGCTCTGAGCTTCGTCTGTCTTCGTCCCCGGACTACCAATAAACAACCATAGCAAGAACAACAATAACAACACAAACTCCAAACGGGCGATTTGGCATTCATTCGCGTAATTTTATTGTTTATCTAACAATATTAATTGAAGTCCCATCATCATTTCAGGTGGAAACGTGCAGAGCTGCGCTCCTGCTCGAAAGCAACGCGAAAATAATTGTTAGTAGGTCAAGGCACAGAGAACAGAGGACGAGGACGAAGCCGAGGACGAACGGAACCGAACTTAAACGTGTTTAAAGATAACTGTAACTGATAAGTATTTCATAATGTCTGATCTCGGCAGTGGAGACGAAGGCATCTCAGGATCAAGTAAGTTATTTACCCCCAATTCAAATAGTGCGTGTATAATTTGTTGTATTTTCCAGAATACAATGCAAGCAATATGGAAGGTGCTTCAAGCAGAAATGACTTCGACACCTCCGGTAAAGGTAAAGTGCGTTTGTATTCGCACGAGTTAGTTTTAGAATATTCCCTTATAACTTATTGTAAATACAAAGATACAAGTAACTAATGAGTTCTTACGTCCTTTAGCAGGCAGCGCTGTTGAACAGGAGCTGGCAACTAAAATGCTTCAAATACAATCAAAACGATTTTACCTGGATGTTAAGCAAAATCGACGTGGGCGATTTATTAAGGTCGCTGAGGTAAATAAGATTTTAAATAGCATTTAGCGTCGTTGCAAACTGAATGACCTTTTGAACGAATGTAAAATTTAAACTTAGACATAGACTGACTACTCGGCATAGGGCTTGCCAGTTTGCACAGCAATAAAATAAAATGAATGTTAAGATTTTGATGCATTCTTTTTGGAATGATATTTCAGATTGGGGCCGACGGCAGGCGCAGTCAGATATATTTAGCGCTATCCACCGCTGCGGAATTCCGAGACCACTTGTCATCATTTAGCGACTACTACGCTTCTTTAGGTAGGACATAAATAGAGTAAAACATATTGTCTTGGATTAATAATATAATAAGCTGGTCAAAACGCAGGCCCTCCAAACACAGATAATTTGCCAGAGGATGGCAAATTAAAGTCGGAGATGATGATAAAGGATAATAGAAGATATTATTTGGACTTAAAGGAAAATGCTCGTGGACGTTTCCTTCGGGTAAATACACAAACACTTTATATTTTATGCCAATCCGTGCTTTGCTCAAATCAACCAACAATCAATCACTTTTTTGACACTGATTCGTAAAACTTGCTGAAGTTATGGATTGGTTTCCATAAAGCATGAAACCGTATCCTATTTGTGTTGAATGCCATCAGGCTTCGATGTGACTTAAATATTTAATTGCAACATCGCAAGAGTTTAATAACTACACAAATTTTCAAATTTAAATTCACACAGCTGATATAAAATCGGCATACTCGTATATACATTTATACGGATATAAATAAATTTATTTTAAATATAAAGTTGGTAGAATTTGCTATACATTTCATTTTATGGTAATTCCCTGCACCTGACTTATCGGCTTATTTATTATTATCACTCATTGCTTTCATGAAAAATTGAGTGAAAGAAATATACATAAGTGTTATTGTTGGTCGTTGGTTATTTGGTTTTTTTTGTTTTAAATAGAAACACGAATTATTTGAATAAAATGGTAAATTTCTTTAAATAACATTTCAGGTCTCACAGACAATTACAAGAGGTGGACCTAGATCTCAAATCGCGCTACCAGCTCAAGGCATGATTGAGTTTCGTGACGCATTGACAGATTTATTGGAGGAGTTTGGAGCGAACGATGGAGGGTATATTTATATTTACTTTGTTATTGTTACTAGTAGTTGTCGGCTTTTTATTTTTGCACCTGTTGTAACGACAATAGAATATATAGTAGCTTCTTTTTCTATTCGACCGATTTTCAGTCCATCTCCCTCTAATTAGTGTGCTCACTAAGAGTCTCTATCTCGCTTGCACCCATTAATTTACCACCATCAACTGGAATATTTTACGAGTTCTGCGGTTTAAAAAATTTGTAATAAAGAGAAGGAGGCGGGTGCATCTCTCAAATAACTTATGTACTCATTCAGAATGATCCCATGGACATATATATCGATATATCGGAGCACAATAGGCAGAGATACCAAACATTAGATACAATCTTGTTGCTTGACATATTCGCTGGCAAAGTATTCATCTCTCTGATCCTGCAGATCGCTTCTTAAATCCTTGAAAAACAATTAAACTAATATGAAAAGAAGATTCGTTAGTAAGCTCCGATCTCGTTGAAATCAGAGAACATGCTTGTTTTTTAAGTATTAACACTTTGAATTAAAAACACAGCCATTATATTAAAAAGAACGCTTTTCGATATTTACCAATTTATTCAGCCCGGCACGTAGAATGTTTTGGAAGTTGGGGAAATACAGCTTGCACTACCTATTTGTGCTTTTCTTAGACATAGTAGAGCGCCTTACTAACTCATTTGTTTTTTCTATACAGATTCAAAGGCGATTTGCCGGAAGAACGTCATATGAAAGTCGATAATAAAAACTTCTATTTCGACATTGGTCAGAACAATCGCGGCGTTTATATGCGGATAAGTGAGGTAGGTCGAATGGATATCTTTAAAACCAATATATTATACTCTTTTGACTTTCCATTTTCCATTAAAGGTGAAAAATAATTTTCGCACTTCGATTACTATTCCTGAAAAGTGCTGGATACGCTTTCGTGATATTTTCAACGACTATTGCGACAAAATGAAAAAATCGTCCGACTCTACCCCAATCACTGCCGATAATAATCTACAGACTACAGCAAATAGTCTTAAATAAATGGCAAGAAAACGTGATCTAAGCAACTATCAAAGATGCACTCAATGCACTAAGTTATAAAATAGTATATAAAGGTTTTCATTTTTGCGCTCGAACCATATTTTTTATTTAACTGGACATGTGTATGCGATATCGCTACCGCCTTTCATTTCATTTTTCAATTTAAACACATTTTGAAATTTCAACTTTGTATCCAAAACAAATACACACAACATACCCACAACATAATTCGATCAAATTCGACACATTTCGACTTCAACTATACGATTTAAATTAAAAAATACATCTTTGTGTTTTGGATGATTTTTCAAAAACCACTGCTGCTTATGATATCTCTTACACACACAGTTAAACCAAATGTTGAAGACCTCGGGAGCATAAAATAAAATACCTTTATAAATACACCTAAATATATATGTATATATATTTATGTATATGCATATATATAAATATATATGTATATATAGTAGCATTTAGCATTTGTAATTCGCTTCTTTTATTTATTTAAATCCGTTTTTTCTCTTTTGTTATTCTTTGTTTTTAAATTTAATGTTGATGCAATGCGGTCACATAGCCCAATGAATAATAATAATAATATTAATATTAATAATGCAACAATATAGGTAAATAATTTAAGAACAATAACGATTGATCTTAATCTGCTTTGGATTTTCAAAATTCATTTAGTACGGTGTGTCTGTAAAAAAGCGATATATATATAATATATATATTATATAGATGTATTAATATGATCCTACTGGAGTCTTGTTTGCAAACCACATTCGATATTCAATGGTGATCTAAGCTTATTGGCTATTTTAGCTTGATATTTACAGTGTTTTAAAATAACCTACATATGTAAATTCATATGTATGTCAAGTATAACGTATAATAAGCCTAATAATTGTCAAGTTTCGGTAACATTGTCACTCCCATTGGGTCCCCCGGCCGGGCTCACACACACACACATAGACAAAAATATATATACAAAGATATGAATATGTGTATATATATATATATATATATATGTATATAGATATATAGATATGTATATATATATATATATATATATATATATATATATATATATATATATATATATATATATATATATATATATATATATATACTAGACCATTCATCGAATGCATGCAAATATATAATCTAGTAGGAGGCATGGTAGACCAGACCACAAAGCATACAAATATGTTTTTGATCAGCTTCTAAAGCTTAGTCAATCAATATAGCCATGTCCGTCCGTTTTAAACGCTAGAGTTACCAAACAATAGAGAAAAGGTTAGGATGTGTAATGCTCGCGTATATAATGCTTAGTACATACTATTTTTTTTTTTTTTATTTATTGCATACATACAAGCATCATCATTCCTTGCCATTCGGATTCGTCCATTATGCCTGCAAATGAATGATAGCATAATTTTTAAATGTTACAAACATACGCTAAGCTAATTGTATGGGCAGATGTGCAATATCTATATGTGTATATACATATGTACACATGTATTTACAGATTTACACACACACTCACACGCACATTTAATGCCCGCGCAGCTGTTATCGTCCTCGAGAGCATCTATTTTTATATAGCAAGCAACTGTAATGGGATTGGATTGGTGTGGGGCGTGTGGGGTGGGGTGGGTGGTGTTAAGCTATATCTATGTTATTACTAAATCATGATTTTAAGCCATAAACGTTAGCCGAATCATAATAACTACACTAGTATACAGTACATAATAGTTTATTCGTTATGGACACCTAACTCCCCGTCTCTGAAGGGTTAATTTTAGCTTAAATCTTGTCTGTTTGTCTGCATGAATACCATTACGTTTGAAATTTGTAAGCATCATGGATATAAAAGAAAGGGGAATCGAACAATATGTGGTAATATGACAACTATAATAGTGTTATTATAAATTGGTTTTTGTATAGCCCAAGCATGGTGTAGGGTATTCCATAGTCAGCACTGGAGGCGACTATATACATTTTTTGATTTTCATTATGTATAAAAACTGTCAGTTATCTCAGCTGTTATCTCATTTATCAGCATCGCTTTTTAAACAATATTATTTTATTTGTTTTATGATCGATGGTAGTGAGGGAGGGGGGGGAGGAGGAGGAGAAGAGAGAGAGGGCTTCCTCTCTCTTGTTAGCCTAAATTTAAATCGCTTTTCCATTTATGGAAACAGATTCCTCGGCTAATCATTGTGGAAGTGGACATCAGTTGCATAGAAACATAACGCATACATACTACATGCATTCATACATTTATAGGTGCAATGATGAATTATTTATTTAATAAACGAAATTGTTATGTTTATGTAGAAACGTAGTGCACAAACACTTTCTCACCGCTTTTCGTAGTTTTAATGGATATATATATATATATATATACTATATATATATATATATATATATATATATATATATATATATATATATGTATACTATATATATGTATGTATAAATCTCGTCATATGTATATCAGGTTGATGTAATTAAAAATTTAATCATAAATACGTTAAAATTGTTAAAGCTTCTAGAAATAATATGTTACAAATTGTCTTAAAATAATTACTAAAACGTTTATAAAACAAAAGTTTCAATGTGATCACGTAGAATACAAATTATTAGATACAATGCAATGCATAGCAAAATAAAAACAACAACAAAACTCAAAAATATATCTAAACAAATGAAATATACTATACTTAGACATATGTTGAAAAACCAATTCAAAACGAAAACAAATACAAAAAGAAAAAGAAAAAGCGTTAAACTAGTATCAAATTGCAGCTTATTACAAGAAAATTGAAAATATTGAATGGATTAACCAAACGTAAACTAAACAAACTAAAACAAAACAAACAAACGTGCGCTACTTCAAATACAATATTTAATAAACAAAACCGAATACATGCGATACAGTCGTCAAATACATAGTTGAAGGGTCAAACCCAATCACATACACACACACACACATACACATACACACCAAACACACACATACAGACACACATAAAAACACACAAGCAAGCCATTCGAAAGTTGTGGACCATGTGTGTGTCTCCACGTAGAAGTAGAAAAGTGCCAGAAACTTTGGGCCGACAGCAGCATATATAGTATATAGTATGTAGTATGTATATGAAGGTGCCTGCCTGCCTGCCGCCTGCCTGCCTGTACAGGACTTGTTACATTGCTGTTCAAACGTAGGTCTCTCTCTCTCTCCTACCAGGGCACAATTAATAAGAGGGGATGGGATGCAAGTATACGTATGTACGAGTTTGTATGTACTATGTGCGCTGTGGAAATATTATAGTATATGGACTAAATGACACATAGGACCGCGTACATATACATACACGCATACACATACACATACGCATACAATATCTATGTATTTGGGCTTGGGAAAGTTATGGGAAAGTTGAAGTAAACAAAATAATAAACAAAAAAAAAAAAAACAAACAAACAAACAAAAACCAACAAAGTATGTACAGTGAATTTATCTTCGATGTTGTATGGCAAACATTTCTAATTCTAAGAATTTTGTGAACGAAATATGAAAATAAAGTTGAATTAAATGCGAATTGAAAATTCAGTAGTAAAATTCACATTTTACATTTCATTGTCGTTTTCATTTGTTTTTCGATCAAATCTACATTTTCACCACACAGTGCAGTTCAGTTCGGCGGTGGGTCCAATTTTCCGCAGATCTGACCCAAATTGGGGCTTGGTTTCTGGTTTTGAAACAATATTGTATACATACAATACATATGTATGTATCTAGCGGTCGCAAGTTAAAAACAATTGGTTTTAATCATTTATATTATTGAAATTTCGTTTGTTTTTATTATTATTGTATTATTACAATTTACATGTATTTTTGGTGTCAATAACCGTAGACATGTTCTGACATGTTGGTGATGCTTAAAAAACACACACAGTTTTGTCATAAGTTATACAATTACAATGTTTCGGCAGATTTACGACAGAATACAAACATACTTAGCCACAGGAGTGATTTTTTGTTGTGTTTTTGATGTTATTTTGAGGATGCCAGTCACTCAAGCGGCGCCAGCGGCGTTTGTCTCGTCATTTTTGTTCTGATTTTTATTCTTTCTTCTCTAGATATCGTTTTGTCAGTAGGTTTGCTATTATGTATTCAAATTAAATAAAAAAAAAACAAAAAAAAATAGACGTAATTGTATTAAGATTAACTACATTTCGCTCATACTATTTCACTCGGGTATCATTAAAATACAATAATATACATACAAGTCGAAATGAAGGGTCTGATATTTAATCTGATTTTCGTTGCGTTCTTTTTTCTTCTCTTTTTTGTTTTTGTTTCTGTTTTTTGGCTTTTTTGTTTTTGTTTTGTTTCAAGACTATGGGTAGAGACAGTTTTTGAAAAATGAGAGCGAATCCGTGAGCAGTCTAGTCAGTTCGTTTGCATAATACATATTTAGAGATATGTATGTAGGCATTATATAGTACGATATAGGATTCGATGGACTTAAGCATCGGTGGAGTGAACATTTACGGAAAATGCGCACAAAGTTTCGTGTTTCTTGCCAACGGCCTTCGCCTGGTATTGGCCAACATCATCCAGATTGCATTTGGCAACGGTGAAGGCATAGCGATTGCCATCCTTGGTGAATGAGTATTTGGAACGGCTCTCGTCCACGGGCTTGCCATCCTTGATCCATGCCAGATTCAGTACCTCGCCATCCAATTCGCATTCGAATGTCGCATTCTCGCCTTCGGTGACCGACACGGAAATCGGGAATTTGACAAAGGCAGGCTGCTTGGGCTCGTCGCCAGGTACCAGGACATTGATGGTGCAGGTACTGAATGATTCGCCGGCATCGTTGAATGCCTCGCAGGTGTAGGTGCCGCCGTCTTCGGGGAAGATTTCGGCTACTTGCAGGCGATAAATATTGGCCTCGTTCGTGTACTGGAAATCTTTGCTGGGCTTGATCTCCTTGTTGTTGTGCAGCCAGACCACATCGAAGTGCTTGGCTCCGATGATGCGGCAGGCTAACGTCACTGCATCACCATCCTTGACAAAGCGGGATTCCAGATGGCTCACTATTTTTGGTGGCTTGTCGCTGCCAGTCACATGACGCTTGGCATTTTTGTCCAAAGCTGAAATGAAATCCAATGTTAATTCTTTGATCCGATCTTTCATGAACACTGGTCCGTGTCTACTTACGCTTGACGGTGAGCTTGCTCTTAGTTTCTACAGCGCTAATCGAGTTGGTGGCCGTGCATGTGAATACTCCTTCATCTTCGGGGAAGACCTCGTGAATGGTGAGGGTGGCAATACCATTCTTATATTTCAAGTCCATAATGTCTGAGGATGAAACGGACTTGCCGTTCTTCGACCATGTGATTTGTGGTTCCGGATCGCCTTTTACGTGGCATGTCAAAACCAATTGTTCGCCATCACGAATTGTCAAATCCTGTAGAGGCTTTGTGAATTCGGGCTTGCACATTAAGGAATCGTCTGGAGGAACTGCAATGGAAGACAGATTAGAAAATGTTCTCCCCCCACCAAGTACGAGTGGGATCCTCAATAATGTTTATAGACTTTGAAAGATCATTGGTCGCCAGCACTTTTTAATGAAACACATCACTCAACTAAAAGTGTAATTCTTTCATTAAGACTTACGTATTAGCTCTTTGGTAGCACTGCGAGATCTTGATGGGCTGCCAGGGGCCTGTAAGCTACTTGACGCATATTTCTTCTTGCTTGAAATGCTATTCTGCGTTGTTGAGGAACTTGTGCTGTTGCCAGACTGTAAATGGGATTATTGATTGTTTCAGTTATATATACATGCATATAGTATATGTATGTATGTTGTCTATATTCCTTACCTGGGTTGTTGTGCTTCTGTTTGTTACTTGCTGTGAACTCGAGGTGAACTGGCGGGTTGTAATTATTGGCGGTGGTGCTGGCTTAAAGTGTTGTTCTATGTACTTTCGATCTGAAGTGAGTGAACAAACGAATCAAACAGAGTTCTACGCTGGAGCTTGTACCAATGTTTATGAATAAACAATCTATTGTTGTAATAGATTGTTGGATTTTTTTTTTTTTTTTTGGGGGGGGGGGGGTGGTTGTACAATACAAATGTACGTCGGGAAATATAGGGTTCATTATTAAAATACTGATAAATTAAGTTATGGGATTGTTGGGTGAAATTTTAGTGTGTCGAAAAGCATTCCAAACATTGTCTTTGATTTCTTAAAACTGACTATACATTTACACACACACGTTTACGGGTATATTTAACAAGATATCGGGATGTAGGTGCATACAATATTATTTCATCGATCTTTATTAACGTATACGTCTACATGCTCTACTTTGGGGTGGGGTGGTGTGGATTGGAGTGGATTTCGGGTTGGACTATGGTAGGGGTAGGGGTAGGGGCAGGGGTGGAGGAGGGGTTTAGACAGGTTGGTGGCAAGATAACCACAACTACGTGTGTGTGTGTGTGTGCATATATGTACATAGAAAAGAACTGTAACGTGTAGATACATAGATTATATTTAAATGAGTGTAGCAAAATCAATTACCTCCTGAATAAAGGAAGTTGTGGGCAAGCTCAGCCTGCTCAGGTGTAACCCATTCTCCTAGAGAAAATTATGAATTATGACATATATAAAATTGTTAATTATGTATTAAGCATGATTTAATTGCATAAATGGTCCAGTTTATGCCATACTACAACCGTCCAATATATAGTATTCGTATAACCCAATTACCGTTCGATAAACAGTAAAGCGATAGATTTAAGAATTGTCTGCACATTATCTTCTTACCCAAATGGCAAGGCAAGCTCTACTATTTAACCGTTCAGCATTGTGGATTATTTTCTAGATGGGCTCAAATAAATTACCTTCGACAATGACGACGCACTCGGTCTCATCCGTTCCATGGCAATTGGTAGCCTTGCAAGTGTACTTGCCGGAGTCCGAAGGTTTGCAGTCAATAATTTCCATAGTGACGACACCATCTGAATGCGTCATTGCGTATTCGTATTTGCTAAGTTCGCGGCCATCTTTGTACCATTTAACTGTGGGCACTGGCTTGCCACTTAGACAACAAAGCAGCTTGCATGTATCTCGGGCTTGCATAACCCGAGGACGTAACAGGAATGTAAAACTGGGTGCCGATTCAGATTCCTCTTGCCAGAAGGTATATGGCAAGGGCTCACGGCGGCGAACTGGCGTCGATTCGGTACGATATCTCGGCTGTTCTTTTGGCAGTGGATGAACATTCAGGAAAACGACTTCTTCTCTGGAGCCGTAATGATTTTCGGCACGAATTATGTACTCGCCGCGATCCTCAAGCTTGACACGATTGATGATGAAGTAATAGTCATCACCAGCATAGCGCTTCATGAACTTAACACTCTGTCGCAGTTCGATATTGTTGTGCGACCATGTGAGTGTGGGCGTAGCAATTGCTATGCAACGGCAGTAGAACTTCACGCTCTGGCCCTCATAGCAAAACTGTGATGATGGGCGAATAACGAAGCGTGGTGCGGCTTGACGACGATCGAAGACGGCATCGTGTATTTTGTATTTCTCCATTAATAGTTTGCGCAGTGAAGAGTACTCGGACAAGCGACCAATGGGTAATAAATACTTTTCAAAGTCCTCGTACTTCTTGCGCAGCTTGTCGCGATATGCAAGATAACGATCGCGAGCAATCTTTTGCGTGAGATCGCTGTGGTCGCCAGTTAGCCATGGATGCAAAAGACATTCGTGAGCAGTCATTCGTTTCTCTTTGTTCGCAAGCAGCAGCTTGCGAATGAAATCTTTGCCTTCTTCGGAAATGTGACGGAAAGCGTCCACATCGAAGTCCCAATCGCAAGCCTTAACGTTCTTCAGTGTTTGTACATCGTTGTCACCAGCAAACGGAGATAGTCCGCTCAAGCTGTAAAGGAACGGGAAAAAATCCATTTACTTTTTATTGCCTGCTATTTTTATGGGATGTCCCATCCACTTACAGAACATAGGCAAGCACTCCAGTGGCCCACATATCGGTGTAGAAACCAACAGGTTCCCTATTCACAATCTCTGGAGCAGCAAACTCAGCAGTTCCAGTGGTTATCTTGACAACTTCATTTGGATCCAATCGGGTTGCCAAACCAAAGTCAATTAGTTTGACGTTGGTGCTGCTGCGGGTCTGGCACATGATATTCTCCGGTTTGATGTCCAAATGAATAATGTTCTTCTCGTGCATGTGTCTAATACCCTCGCAAATCTGTCTCATGTAATTGATAACTTCGGCTTCAGTCATAATATAGCCCTCGGCAGTGATACGTTCGAAGAGCTCTCCGCCGGACAAGCTGAAGGTAGGTAAGAATTTTGGATACTGTCAGATTACATTTGTCCGGTACGGACCATTCAAGAATAACTTACAATTCGAGTATAAGGACCATTTCATCATCGTCCTCGTAGGCGTCGTGCAAATTGATGAGTTTCTGGTGATGCAACTGATTCATAATGTCGATCTCACGACGAATCAGATCCTTCTCAACGGCATGGGAGACAGGGATAAACTTGGCTGCGAAAATGTTACCAGTTGCACGTTCGCGGCAACGATGAACAACCCCGAAAGCGCCAGTTCCGATCTCTTCCAGAATATCATATTTGTCGTAAACGCTACGCTGTGAAATTTCAACAGGCTGCGGTACAAATTTGGAGTATATGTCGAATACATAGGAATCGTAGTCCTTAATTGGACCATCGGCCTTTCCGCGTATTTTCTTGCCATTCTCGTCAAGTTCATATTTGCGTTCTGTTTGCTTCTTCTTAATCGACTCCTTTGTCTTGATCAATGTGCTAATGTCTGATGGGTCAGAGCGACCATAGACGTTATCAGCAAAGATACGGAAGTCATACTCCTTGCCAGGTGTAAGACCACTGACGGCCATTGAGGTGAAACGTGTGTTACCCACACGAATCCAGGACGACAGAGGATGCTCACGACGCTCCACAAGGTAATTTGTAATGTCGCTACCACCGTCCCATACGGGAGCCTTCCAGCTGAGGGACAGTGAGTCTGTGCCAATACTTTCAATAAGTGGGAATCGTGGTGGATCTGGACGGTCGCTAATTTGCACCTTGATGATCGCAGTGTCCGAGCCAAGTTCGTTTTCGGCTGTAATTCTGTATGGACCAGAGTCCAGACGTGAACCATCACGAATAGTCAATATGGCATGCCGTTCCTTAACTTCAACATTATAGTGACCACCTGATTCGATGTTTTCACCTTCCTTAACCCAATGAATTCTGGGTTTGGGGAAACCTGTGAATGGTATCTTAATGACAACATTCTCGCCCTTATCGAAGTAGGCTGTATCTCTGAATCGTGGTGGCACGTTCAATTTTGGTGCAGCTGTAGAAAAAAATCGTGATTAATATTTTCGCCCCATTTCCCAAATAGATAATATTAATACTTACTCATGATAGCCAAGGCAGCACGCGTTGACTTAGCGCCAGCTTTGTTGACAGCACGACAGACATATTCATCGGCATCTTCGCCAAATACGTCGTTGATGTTCAAGAAATGGTTTTCACCCTCTGAATAGATGTGGTAACGAGCTCCATTTGAGATTTCGCGAGCTCCCTTGTACCACGTAATTGTCGGTTTGGGCACACCAGTGATTGTGCAAGTAAACTGTGCATTGTGGTTCTGAATGCAGTTGGCATCGCGCAAAGGCTTGACAATAACTGGAGGTGTTGCTGCCTTAGGATCAATGATTTTAACAGCCTGGGATGAGGAAGACTCCTTCGATAAGCCGGCCTCGTTCTGGGCAAACACGCGGAACTCGTACTGTCGTCCTTCGATCAGGTTGGGGCAATTGATTTGAGGTGCAGCGCTTATAATGGCGTTAACTCTCTGCCATGTGCCGCTGCCCACTTCACGTTTGTCTATCCAGTAACCTTGAATATGAGCACCGCCATCAGATTCTGGCTTGCTCCATTCCAAATGCACAAAGTCTCCGCCAATCTCAGTGATTTGTGGAATGCCTGGGGGCGAGGGCGGATCAATTGGTGCCTTAGCACGGATCGGATTCAAGCCCTCCAATGGTGGACCCATGCCATTTTCATTAACAGCCATAACACGGAATATGTATTCTTGGTTCTCTAGCAAGCCCTGCACATTGAAGTTTGTATCTTTGCAGGTGCTGGAGACGGTAATCCAGTGTGGAGATGATATGTCTTTGCGTTCGACCACATAGTGTGTTACTTTAAGACCACCATCGTAGGTTGGTGGTCGCCATGCCAATGTGCACGAGTGCTTGTTGATATGAGAAATGCCCATTGGGCCAACAGGTGCTGATGGCAGGCCTGTGATATAGGCATGGAATTGTCCGGTCGCTACTCCAGAATCGTTGCTGAGCTCGATTTGATATTGTCCAGCATCGTTCTTTACAATATCGCGTATGAATATTGCAATATAGTCGTCGAAAATGGTGAATTTGAAGTGCGATTCATCTTGACCATCGGAAATAACTTCGTTATTTCTAGTTATCTTCACATTCAGTGGCTGGTCGCCAGAATAGTAAACCTTGATCTTAGTGTTATCTCCCTCGGGCAAGAACAGTTCGTTCGGACATCTGTTAATAATTGGTGGGGAACCTATCTTGAGGTAACCTGATGTGTGCACAAATCCTAGAGAGTTGATTGCTTCGCAGGTATAGTCGCCATCATCTCCAGCCTGTACATTCGAAATGTGCAATCTGAAGACGCCATCCTTGCTATCACATGTAATGCGACCGCCACCCATTTGTATTTCCTTGCCGTTACGCAGCCATCTAGCCGTTGGGCTTGGCTTACCAGAGGCAGCACACTGCAAGGTAAAGTCCTTGCCGCATGGAGCCACTCTGTCTTGCAAACGTTGAATCCAATCTGGTTTTTCTCCGCCCAAGACCTCGCACACTTTAATGGGCATTGTGCAAGAGCTCGGCTCTGAACGTCCAGCAGCATTGACGGCGAAAATGCGGAATTCATAGTCACCCATCTCAATCAGGTTAATAACCGTGTATTCGGTGTCCAATACGTTGTAGTCATTGCATTTAACCCAAACGGCACCACCGATGTCGCGGCGTTCAATAATATAGCCGGTAATGCGAGAGCCACCATCGCTCAATGGCTTCTCCCATTTCAAGTCTACATAGTTCTTTCCAACCTTTGTAACTTGTGGAGTGCCTGGTGGTGATGGTACATTGAACTTGCCCTTAAGCTTGAATCTCAATGATGGTGGTGATGGTTTGCTGAAACCAGCTGCATTCTTCGCCTTGATGCGGAACTCGTACTCGCTACCATTCGTAAGGTTATACAGTTGGTATTTGGTGTCCTTGATCAAGTACTCGTATGTATTCCATGACGAATCATTGACGATATCACGGTATTCAATTTGATATCCTTGAATTCTTGAGCCGCCATCGCTTGCGGGACGTGTCCAAATGAGGGTAACATTGCCGGAGTCCCAATCAATAACCTTCGGCTGTCCTGGCTCATCAGGTACTGTGAATTGATGTTTGGCCACAATTGGATCAGGCATATCAAGTGGATCGGACAAGCCGTATTGATTCTCTGCGCGGACACGGAAGTGGTATTTGTGGTTTGGCTCCAGGCCCATCACATCGTAGTGCGTGTTGCGCACAAAGCTGCTGACCTTGACCCAAGTACCACTGTTGTCAAGTTTCTCAACAACATAATTGGTAATTGGTGAGCCGCCATCATCAAGTGGCGTTTTCCAGGCCAGTGTGCAGGTGTCTGGAGTGATATCATAGGCATTCAATGGGCCTTGTGGTGGTCCAGGTCTGTCTACGACTGTCACATGGCAAGCAGCGGTGTCAGATCCCTTGCTGTTTGTCAATGTTATTGTGTATGAACCAGTCTCTGATCGCTTGGCAGATTTGTTGTGATAGACTGAAGTGTAATCGTCAGTCTCAAACCTGATGCGCTCATCAGGAACAACTTCAAGTCCGTTGATTGACCATAATGGTGTGGGTCTGGGATTGGCGTGATATGGTACAGTGATATGGAACTCTTCTCCAGCAATCACTGTCATATCGCGAATCGACAAGTCAGATGTAATCTTTGGTGCATGTGGTGGACGACGGCAGTAAATAAGGTCGCTCGATGCGCTGAATGGCGACTGACCTGCTGCATTCACTGCAGCCACTCTGAATTCATATTCAGCGTTTTCGATCAGATTTGGTATTTTGCATGTAAGATCTGGGCACAATGCATGAACTGCCTTGGTCCACTTATCTTCGCTGAGTAGACGTTTCTCAATGACGTATCCAGTGATTGGAGAGCCGCCATCGTGTTTGGGCTTAGACCAAGCAATTGTAATGCTATCCTCTGTGGAATCAATTCCACGTGGAATTCCAGGGGCATTGGGCACATCAAATGGATGTCTGGCACGAATTGGCTCAGATGTATTAGCTGGATCAGACTGACCATATTTATTCTCGGCAATGACACGGAAGTCGTACTCTTTGCCAATGGCCAGGTTGCGAACGCGTACGAAGGGAACCGTGCAGAAACTGCTAACCTTGGTCCATGTTGATGAACGGGCTTCCTTCTTTTCAACAATGTAGTTCGTAATTGGAGATCCACCATCATCTCTGGGTGGGTTCCAGTACAATGTTAGCGCGTCACCAGCAAATTCATCGGCGCGCAAATTGGTTGGTGGCTTCGGTCTGTCCAAGACCTTAACGTTGATTGTGGCAGTATCAAATCCAGATGGATTTTTGAGTTGCAGGCGGTATTGACCAGAGTCGGATCGCTTCGAGTTCTTGACCACGAATGCAGCAGCATCATCAGTGAGATGTTGATGCACACGCTGATCATCGTCAAGCACAGTGTCGTTGGAATACCAGAATGCAGTTGGCTTGGGGAAGGCCACATAGGGAACATGAATGCTGAAATCATCTCCGGCACGGCAAATAATATCACGAACTCCTCCAAGGTCCATGCATGGCTTGTTCGGTTGTTCTTCGACTGTGATTGGCTGTGATGGCTTCGATGGGTCGGAGCGGCCAACGTCATTTTCGGCAATAATGCGGAAAGAGTACTCCTCCCCTTCTTTCAAGTTTGGTACGGTATATACAGTGGAATTGATTGGAATATCGTTAACCGGAGTCCAATCTTTGGAATTTTTGGGTCGTACTTCCACATAGTAGCCCTTGATCTTAGACTTTCCATCATTGCGAGGTGGTCTCCAAGATAATGTGACACTATCCTTTGTGATGCGATCTGGCTTTGGTGGCTCTGGTGGGTCTGGACGGTAACGTTGAAGCTCAGCTGTAATAGGATCAGATGGCTTCGATGGCTTGCCAGGACCGGCTTCATTGACGGCAGTTACGCGGAATTCGTAACGAGCGCCTTCGCGCAGGTCAGGAACTGTGTAGCTTGTATTCGGCGTTGGGTAGTTATTACACTTAATCCATTCGCCGCCACGTTCCCTGCGTTCAACAATATATCCTGAAATTGGTTTGCCACCGCAATATTCTGGTGGATGCCATTCCAAGCTGGCCGAGTTTGGAGTATATGCCACAACTTGGGGCTGAGAAGGTGCATCTGGTGCGTCGAAGGGTGACTTTGCAACCACTGGCTTACCCTCTAGGGCATCGGAGACGCCATAGATGTTCTCAGCTCTTACACGGAAGATGTATTTCTTGCCTTCAGTTAATCCCTTGACAGTGTAATTGGTCTTTGGACAATAGCCTGGTGCAGGTCTCCAGTCATCAACACCGAATTCAGTGTATTCAATGACATAGCCGGTGATTTCACTACCGCCATCATCCTTAGGTGGATGCCATTCCAATGAAATGTGATCTGGAGCGGTCTTAGTGTAGGTCAGTGGTCCTTCTGGAGGCGTTGGCTTGTCTACAACGATTATCTCGATATCAGCAGAGTCCTTGCCAAATTCATTGCTTGCAGTGACAGTGTATTTTCCACCGTCTTGTCTATTGGAATCATCGATGCGGAAGATTGTACGTTCCGAGTTTGTATCGTACGAAACTCGCTTGTTTTCTGGTATCTTTGCGTCACCACGCTTCCATTCGATAGTTGGTGTAGGAGCTCCAGAAATGGGTATGTTAACATTGACTGGCTCTCCAGCGCGAACCTTAATACGTCTGCCAACAAGACCATCAAGATGTAGTCTTGGTTTCTCGCGCATAGGACGGGCGCTCAGAATACACGATGGTTCAGATGGCTTGCTGTTACCGGCGGCATTAACGGCCGATACTCTGTACTCGTATTGATGGTTCGGTGATACGCGTTCATCATTGTATTCGGTGGTTGGTACCGGTTCACCATTAATCTTAATCCAGCGACCAGTAGTGACATCACGACGTTCAATATCGTAGCCCAAAATGGGGGAGCCTCCATTGCTGATGGGCTGCTTCCATTTAATGCTAATATGATCCTTATCGCTGTCCAAAAGCTCTGGTTTTCCAGGAGCGCCAGGAACGGTGTATTGGTTCTTGGCGACGACAGGTGAATCGGAGGTTAGAGGATCAGAGCGACCCTGCAGATTTTCAGCCATTACTCTAAACTCGTATTTCGTGCCTTCCAAAAGTCTTGGTACAACAGCATGATTATACTTGGCGTTAACATAGGAAACTGCTGGTACCCAACCACCACCATGAGTCAAGTCACGTTTTTCAATGACATAGGCCGAGATTTCGGAGCCTCCATTGTCCTTTGGTGGCTTCCATGAGATGGTTACAGAGTTTGCAGTGATTTCTTCGTACTCCATTGGGCCTTCTGGTGGTCCAGGGCGATCAAGTACAATAAGTTCAAAGCTGCCCTCATCAATGCCAGAGTCGTTGCGCAATAGCAAGTGGTAAATTCCAGAGTCTGAGCGTTGGCAATTCACTGTATGGACAACAGTGTGGTGTCCAATTGATGTGATTGTTGATCTTTCGTTAGACTTTAATGGGTTGTTGTTATGGGTCCAAATAACTTCAGGCGTTGGCTCACCAATAAAATCGATATCGGTGTGGAATATAAGTCCAGCCTTAATGCGTATTTCATGAAGTGGAGTTATTATCTTTGGAGGCAAGTAGCGTGGCTTAGCCATGACCATGTCTGATGGCTCAGATGGTTCAGACTGGCCTGCTTGATTAACAGCAATAACTCTGAATTCGTACTCTTGTCCTTCCACAAGTTCAGGCACAGTAGCTGTATTCTTGTTTGGTGGAACATGCAGGACATTAACCCAATATGGACTGCCCTTTTCTTTCTTCTGTATGATATATTCTGTGAGCGGAGCTCCACCATCGGATTTTGGTGAAGCCCATTGTAAATCGACATGATCGCGATCCCAGTCAGTAACATTGGGTTTACCTGGAGCATCGGGCTCATCGAATTCGTTCTTGGCAATTATGCTCTTTGATGCCTCCAAGGGCTCGGATTCGCCAATTGCATTGACTGCCTTGACGCGGAACAAATATTCCTTGCGGTGCACAAGACGTGTCACATCATGAACTGGGTGTGTGCTCATGCCAGCGTCGGACCATGTGCCTCTGGATAAGTCCATTTTTTCAATGACATAATGCAGTATGGGAGAGCCACCGTCATCGTCAGGCACATGCCAGGCCAAATGACAGCCATCTCTTGTGATTTTCGATATGTCCAATGGGCCCTTAGGCGGTGAGGGTCTATCCAAAACAGTTGCGTGTGCAGATGCATCGAATGAGCCGTGTTCATTTTTCAGAATCAAAGTGTAACGGCCTTCATCGCTGCGCAACGCTGAGGGTATCTCAAATGTAAGTTCGTTTTGGAACAGGTTGATATCAACACGTGGACTTGGCTCAATTTCTTTGCCATTATACAGCCACTTGACGCTGGGGCGTGGGGAGGCTTCGATGGGCAGAGTCCATCCCAAGCGCTTGCCAGCGTGCACGGTTATATCATTAAGTAGAGATTTGTCAAAGAATGGTGCCAAGAAGCGTGGTTTGCAGATGACAGTGCCAGAAGGATCTGACGGATCACTTTGACCACCCTTATTAACAGCAATTACACGGAACTCATATTCGCCGCCATCGGTCAGATTTGGAATATGTGCCTTGCATTCATCGCCAGGTACACTAGCAGCGCGTTCCCATTGACCGAATTTGGGTCGCTTTTCGATGATATAATTGGTGATAGGTGCACCACCATCGCGTTTTGGTGCTGCCCATTCCAAATCGACGAAATCTTTGCCCCAGTCCACAGCCTTGGGCTGTCCAGGTTTGTCGGGATGAGAATAGGGATCCTTAGCTGTGATGGCTTGTGTCGTGGTCAGAGGTTGGGATTGACCCATCTTGTTAACAGCACGCACTCGGAAATTGTAGTCGTGATTTTCAATTAGGTTATCAGCACGTATCTCGGTGCCAGCGCATTCACCAACTGGTACCCAGCGCATGGCCTCATTATCCATTTTCTCAACAACATAATGAGTGATCTCGGAGCCACCATCATCTTTAGGTGGACGCCAACGTAGCGTAATTGAGTTCTTAGTGACTTCATCTGGACGAATCGGACCTTCAGGTGTAGTTGGAACATCAAGTACGGTGACCTTCACAGTGTGCTTATCGACTCCGTTTATGTTACGAGCAACCAAGGTGTATTCCCCAGTGTCAGCTCGTTTGGCATCAAGCACTCGCAATTTTGTGCGATCATCATAGTTTGAAATCTTGACGCGATCGGTGTTAATAACCATGTTCTCGCCATGAGTCCATTCCTTGCTGGGGATTGGTTCACCAGAAACTGGTACATCAAATTCAAATACATTTCCTGCTTTGATCTTAATATCCAGCATGAAATTACGATCAATCTTTGGTGGCAGATTTTTGGCACGGGCCACATGAGGTTCGGTTGCATCACTGGGAACACCAGGACCAGCCTTATTCACAGCTCGTACTCTGAATTCATATTTAACACCCTCAATCAGATCAGGAACCTTGCCGGTGGTGACATCACCCTCAACTTCAGCGCATTTTTCCCAATCGGGTGAGTATTTGTCCTTCTTTTCAATTACATAGCCAGTAATAGGTGAGCCACCATCACTCTCTGGACGAGTCCATTCCAGGTCAACGAAATCTTTGTCGAAATCTTTGATGGACGGAGTTCCAGGCTTGGTGGGTTCATCGTAGGGATTCTTAGCCTCAGTGGCATGAGGTGTGGTAAGTGGCTCAGAGACACCTTGGCGATTCTTCGCACGTACTCTGAATTTGTATTTGTGTCCAGGAGTAAGGCCCTTGACTGCCAGGCTTGTTGTCGGTCCATCTGTTTCTCCAGCTGGTACCCAGCGACCTGAGATTTCATCCAGTTTTTCGACCACATAGTTCTCAATTGGCTGACCACCGTCATCATCTGGTGGATTCCATTTAAGTGTGCAACCCTCGGCGTGAACATCTTCAACCTTAAGGGGTCCATTGGGTGGAGATGGCTTATCAATTACAGTGACTTTAACGTCGGCACTATCTTCTCCATTGGCGTTTTCAGCATGGACTGTGTAAAGGCCAGAATCGGCACGAGTCGCGCTTGTGACCTTAATTTTGGTATTATAATCGACATGAGTGACTTTAACGTTGTCTTTTGTGTAGAGTTCTTTCTTCTTCAGGAGCCACTTTGTCTTCGGTGCTGGCTCTCCCGAGACCTTACAGTCAAAGGAGAATGCTTGTCCAGCCTTGATGCGAACTTCAATAAGGTTGGATCTGTCAATAACTGGAGGCTTATTACGTGATTTGGCAACAATTGGTGCAGTTGCATCAGATGGCTCTCCAGGACCAGCGGCATTGATAGCGCTTACGCGGAACTCGTATGCTTGGCCTTCAACTAAATCAGGTACAGTAGCTTTGCATTGATCTGCAGGTACTTCGAGTGCTTTCTCCCATTGGCCGTATTTATCCTTCTTTTCAACAAGATAGCCAGTAATTGGAGAGCCACCATCGTTTAGTGGTGGTGTCCAGGCCAAATCGATATGGTCCTTATCCCAATCAGTTGCTCTAAGATTTTCTGGCTTACCAGGTTCGTCGAATGGATTTTTGGCAATAATCGATTCATCTCCAACTAATGGTTGAGATTCGCCTTCTGCGTTTACAGCCGATACTCTGAATTTGTATTCGTTTCCAGGTGTCAGACCAGTTATGTCGGCCTGAGGTTCAGTTGAGCGGCCACATGGCACCCAGCAACCAGTCTCAGGGTCAAGTTTATCAATCTGGAAGTATTCGATCGGAGTGCCACCATCATCGTTAGGGCGTTTCCATTTCAGATGACAGCCTTCCTTATGTACATCAGATATTTGAAGAGGTCCATTTGGAGGTGTGGGCTTATCAGTAATAACCACGTTGATAAGAACACTATCTTTGCCTGAGCTGTTCGTTGCTGTGACTAGATATTCTCCAGAGTCACCGCGTTCAGTTGGGCGGATAACCAATTTAGTATAATAATCTGGAGTTTCGATGGTAACATTCTTTCCAGATGTCAATGGATAATTGGAGAATTTCCATTCTACCTTTGGCGCAGGTTCGCCGGTAATATTGGCATCTAATTTAAGAGCAGTGCCAGCAGATATGGTTATATCACGCAGATTTCTGCGGTCAATCTTGGGAGCCAGGTAGCGTGGCTTAGCAATGAAAGTCTTGCTTGCATCAGAGGGCTCTGATTGGCCGCCCTTGTTCAAGGCAATCACTCGGAACTGATATTCATTGCCCTCAATAAGTCCATTCACAGTGGCGACAGGTGTTGGAGAATCAGTTTCCAAAGCCTTCTCCCACATTGGGCTGTACTTGTCTTTCACTTCAATGATATAGCCAGTTATAGGTGAACCACCGTCACTAGCAGGCTCGGGCCATGCAAGTTCCACTTTGTTTGCGGTCCAGTCGGTTGGCTCTGGTGCGCCAGGCTTTGATGGTACAGCTGAAAAATAGGAATATGAAAAAATGATTAGTGCTTGACATTTCAAAACTGATTCCAAGCTATATATACTTACTGAAGGGATCTTTAGCAATTATTGAGCCAATAGTTTCTAATGGCTCAGACTCTCCCTCTTTGTTCAACGCCTTTACCCGGAACTTGTACTCATGACCAGGTACTAATCCATCGACATTGAATTCTGGCACATCGCTCTTGCCTACAGGTAACCAAATGCCAGTATCAGGATCGAATTTCTCCACCAAGTATCCCTCAATAGGCTCTCCGCCATCATCCTTCGGCTTCTTCCACTTAAGTTTGCATCCATCTTTATGTATGTCGGATACTTCCAGGGGACCTTCGGGCTTACCGGGCTTAGCTAAATTGAAAATAATAATAAATTAGTTTTTAAGAAACACAATAAAGCGGGATGACAAAATAGCCTGTACTGCTTGTACGAGTATATCTACTCACTTATAATATTTATTTGGAACTCGACTTGATCCTGACCATAAAGATTGTGGGCAACAATCTTATAAAGACCAGTGTCCTTTCTTTCTGGGTTATTGTTGATATATTTGGTGTTGTAAGGAACGTTCTCAACATGGCTGGCAGAAGTCGGCTGTACAGACTTGCCATTTTGTGTCCACGTAACGTCAGGCGCAGGCTCACCACTCACACTGATATCCAAGAAGATCGGCTCACCAGCCTTAACATTGTATGTTCGGATATTGCGGCGGTCGATTTTAGGTGCCACTGTTAAAATATATGACAAGAAATAGTCAGCCATAAGCATACTATATAATATTGAAAACTTACGTTTCCTTGGTTTGGTGATGACTGATTTGCTTGCATCGGATGGTTCACCAGGACCAGCTGCGTTAACAGCCTTGACACGGAATTCGTATTCGCAGTTCTCGTCAAGATTTGGCACTGTGGCCTTGCATTCTTCACCAAGCGATGGAACAGGGACTTCGGCACCCTTAATCCATTTGTCAGTACCCTTTTCACGTTTTTCAACAACGTAGCCGGTAATGGGAGAGCCGCCATCATTAAGAGGTGGTCGCCATACCAGATCGACATGATCTTTGTCCCAATCGACAGCTTCGGGTGTACCTGGCTTTCCAGGCTCGTCGAACGGATTCTTTGCAATAATAGAGTGATCACCCGTCAATGGTTCTGATTCACCTTCTGTATTAACAGCCAGAACACGGAATTTGTATTCATGTCCAGGCTCCAGATTATTCAACTCAGCAAATGGCTCCTTGAAGCGACCAGATGGCAACCAACGTCCAGTGTCAACGTCCATCTTTTCAACAATATAATGTTCAATGGGTAGACCACCATCATCTAGTGGCGGATTCCACTTGAGCTTGCAGCCTTCCTTGTGCACATCTGTAACTCTCAGCGGGCCCTCAGGAGCAGCTGGTTTGTCCAAAACAGTGATTTCGAATGAAGCTTCGTCATGGCCGGAATCGTTTTCAGCCTTAATTGTGTATTTGCCAGTATGCGAGCGCTTGGCAAATGGTACTGCCAATTTGGTGCGGTATGGTTCCATATCAATGTTGTGATCATCGCCCTCAATACGAGCCTTGTTGTGGAACCAAGTCTTTGTGGCTGGAGGCTCGCCAGACACCTTGATGTCATAACGAACATGTTGGCCAGCTTTGACAGTAATGTCTTTAATATTGGTTCTATCAATTTTGGGGGGAGCAAAGCGATCCTTCGCAGTCATTTGATCAGATGGCTCCGATGGCTTACTTTGGCCTGCCTTGTTAACAGCCTTGACACGGAATTGGTATTTAGTGCCTTCGATTAAGTCATTGACACGCGCCTTACAATCTGGTGTATTTGTTTCCAAAACCTTTTGCCATTTTCCGGTATTGTTATCTTTCTTCTCAACAATGTAACCGGTGATTGGTGCGCCACCATCGTCATCGGGCGCCCGCCATTTAAGATCTGCATGGTTGGCAGACCAGTCAGTAATTTGCGGTTTGCCAGGGGTATCAGCTGCATCGTATGGATTTTTGGCTGTGACAGGTGAGTCAGTGACCAAAGGTTCAGATTCTCCTTCAGCATTGACGGCCTTTACGCGGAACAGGTATTCCTTTCCTTCGGTTAGGCCAGTAACATCTGCTTCTGGTGTTTTTGTTGTCAAAACTGGTACCCAACGGCCGGTTTCGGTGTCCATGCGCTCCACAACGTAGTGCTCTATCGGCTCACCACCATCATCATCAGGTTTGTCCCATTTCAAGTGCAGACCCTCTGCAGTAACATCAGAGACAGCCAAAGGACCCTTAGGCTTGCTTGGCTTGCATAGCACTTCCAATTCCACTTCCACAGTATCAGTGCCGGAATCGTTCTTAGCGGTAACAACATATGTACCTCTATCAGCACGTCTTACTTTCGGCATTATGAACGTCGTTTTGTACTCCTCATTTTCAATTTTGATTTTATCGCTGGAAGTTATTTCAGCTCCGTTGTAAGTCCATGTAATTTTCGCTGGAGGTTCGGCCTTAACAGCTGCATCCATGTGCAGCATTTGTCCGCTTCTCAATATCTTCTTTTGCAGGTTCTTGCGGTCAATGTGGGGCTTCAGGAAACGAGGCTTAGCGACAACTGATTTCGAAACATCGCTAGGCTCACTAGGACCAGCCTTATTGACGGCAACAATACGGAACTCATATTCCTTTCCTTCCTCAACATTTGTGACTGTTCCCTTTGTCTTATCTCCAGGAACGGTGGCTGCATCAACCCATGCACGTCCTGACTTGTCGCGCATTTGAATGACATACTTTTGAATGGGAGCGCCACCATCGTTCTTTGGTGGATCCCATGCCAAGTCCACAAAGTCTTTGTCCCAGTTAGTGGGCTCTGGACGACCAGGCTTATCTGGCTCATCGAACGGATTCTTTGCAATGATTGGTTTCTCTGTTTCCAAATCTTCAGACTCGCCTTCCTTGTTGACAGCTCTGACGCGGAACTTGTATGGTTTGCCTTCATGCAGACCAATTACCTTAGCCTCTGGCTCAGTGCTCTTGCCACAAGGCAACCACTGGCCAGTATGTGGATCAAGTTTTTCGATTTCGTAGTAGTCGATTGGTGCACCACCATCATCATCGGGCTTCTCCCATTTCAACTTGCAGCTGTGCTTAGTAATATCATTGACTTGCAATGGACCCTTTGGTTTGCCTGGTTTACCCAAAACTGTAACGTCCAGTTCAGCAACATCCTCGCCAACTTCATTGGTGGCTTTGATGGTGTATTTTCCACTTTGTGGGCGCTTAGCGCGCATGACAAAGAATTTTGTATTGTAATCAACATTGTCAATTTTGATTCCTTCTTCGTCGCTGACCAGCAATTGATCCTTAAAGAACCACTCCACTTTCGGCGCAGGTTCGCCCTTGACATTGATGTCGAGGCTAATCGATAGACCAGCTTTGACGATCACAGGCTTCAGATTAGTACGATCAATATGTGGTTTCACTGTAAAACAAAACACGGAGTATACATGTAGTATTAAGAAAAGAAAGAGGCGTCGTTTTAGACTTACAGAAACGAGGCTTAGCTGTATGCCAGTTGGTTTGCTCTGACGGCTCAGAGGGGCCGGCCTTATTTACAGCACGAACACGGAATTTATATTGCTGACCTTCTTCGAGTTTCTTAACCACACCCTTGCAGATGGGTCCCTCAGTTTCAGCTGCTTTGACAAACTCTCCCGAGTCTTTGTCCATGACTTCAATAATATAGTTGGTAATTGGAGAGCCTCCATCGCGAATTGGTGGTTCCCACTTAAGTTTGACATGGTGTTCATCCCAGTCTTCAAGTTCAGGCAGTCCAGGTGGTGCAGACACATCAAATGGATTCTTGGCCACAATGGCAGAATCTGTTTCAAGTGGCTCAGATTCACCCTCTTCATTAACAGCCTTAACACGGAACTGGTAACGGTGGTTTGGTTCCAAGCCCTTGACATCAATTTCAGTTTTCTCGGGATCAACAGAGCCAGCTGGCACCCATTTGCCAGTTGCAGTATCCATTTTTTCGACAACATAGCTTGTAATGGGAACACCACCATCGTCTTTTGGTTTCTTCCATTTGAGCTTGCATCCTTCTTTGTGTACGTCTGAGACTTCCAATGGGCCTTCTGGCTTGGACGGTTTGTCCAAAATAATGACCTCTACCTCAGCCTCATCCACGCCGTTAATGTTTTCTGCGCGGAGCTTATAAACACCAGACTCCTTGCGAGTGGTATCCAACAAAGTAAATTTGGTATTGTAGTCTTCGTTATCCAATCGTGCTTGTCCAGAGGGTGTGACTTCTTTCTCTTTGAAGAACCAGGTTAGCGTAGGCGCTGGCTCACCCTTGACATCGACATCAAACTTAACCGTTTGACCGGCATGCACCTTGACTGGCTTCAGTTTTTCTCGATTGATGGATGGTTTGACTAAAATTGGTTAATGGGCATTGAAATTATAATCTATTCATATGAGAAAATTGAAAAATGCAAGCTTTTTAAGCCACTTACGATAGCATCAACATTTGGCTTAACATAAAAATGTGCATATAGAATGGATAATTAAAAAATATAGCTAAAATAAAAGCAATTACGAAGGCGCTAAAAATTGACACGGCATTGCAATCGGTGCTGAAAAAGTGGAAGTAATCTTACGATTTCTGGGCTTGGCCAAATGAGGGTCAGTTGCATCACTGGGCTCGCTAGGACCAGCTTTGTTGAGGGCGCGAACGCGGAATTGGTACACATTTCCTTCAGTAAGGCCCTCAACGGTAGCCTCCGGTGTGGGCGTCTATAATAAAGTGGACATTAGTACGAGGATACTTGTATGATGTAAAGTGATGTCTTTGAAATGCCAGGCAAACTTACGCTTGTAGTGAGAACCTCATCCCAAATTGGTGAAAATTTATCCTTCTTTTCAATAACATATCCAATAATTGGAGCACCTCCATCATCCCTCGGCGGCTCCCACTTCAATTTCACCATATGCTCATTATAATCCTCAATCTTTGGTGTACCTGGCTTGGTGGCAGCATCATATGGATTCTTTGCCACTATGCTGCCATCGGTCTCCAAAGGTTCTGATTCACCTTCCTCATTGATGGCCTTGACCCGAAACTGATACTCATGGCCTTCTTGAAGGCCCTTGACATCAAGTTCGGTATCATTGCCAGAGGTACGACCGACAGGTACCCAACGACCTTGTTTCTTATCGAACTTCTCAACTTGGTATGCTGTAATGGGCTTGCCACCATCGTCTTCTGGTTTTTGCCACTTCAGCTTACAGCTATCTTTTGTGATATCCTTAACGGCCAGTGGACCCTTTGGCTTACCAGGTGGAGCCAAAACGTTAACTTCCACAGTGGCTTCATCTTCACCGTGTTCGTTCTTAGCAACAATTTTATATGTGCCGGTGTGTTTTCTGACTGTGTCAATAATGGAAATTTTCGTATTGTACGGAACATTTTTAATTTCACTATTGCTGGGTAGATCCTCGGGCTTGAGCTCCTTATCGTTCTGGAACCAAGTTATGGTTGGTGGAGGTTCACCGCGTACATTAACGTCGTACTTGATTGGCTTGCCAGCACGAATTAGCAGAGGCTTCAAGTTGGTTCTGTCGATGCGAGGTTTCACTGCAATGGCCGATTGAATAGACAGACATCGATATAGGTATTAGTTGCTTAAAGAGTGGTAGGAATTTTTACGATTTTTATACTTACACTTCTTGTATTTCACTATTTGTGGTACGCTGGCGTCCGATGGTGGCGATGGACCAGCCTTGTTGACAGCTATAACGCGGAACTGGTATTCACCATATTCTTGCAAGCCGGCTACGGTTGCCTCCAACTGATCGCCGGGAACTTCCATAGCCTTTTCCCATTCTGGCTTATTCTTGTCCTTCTTTTCAATGATATATTTCTGAATTGGAGCACCACCATCGTTATTGGGTGCTGTCCATTTGAGACTGACACTTTGGTTATCGTAATCTGTAACCTCTGGTGTGCCGGGCTTGTTGGGCTCATCGAATGGATCCTTGGCAACAACGCCAACCAATGTAGTCAATGGCTCAGAGTCACCTTCCTCATTGACAGCGGAGACGCGGAACATGTACTCAGATCCAGGATTGAGACCTGTCACATCGAAGCTTGGTGGCTCCTTCTCACCTGGAGAGCGGCCAACGCGTACCCACTTTCCAGTAGCTGTATCCATTTTCTCAACAACGTATTCCTTAATTGGAACACCGCCGTCGTCCTCTGGCTTTTTCCATTGCAATTTACAGCCAGTTGAGGTAACATCGCTGACTGCAAGAGGTCCTTTGGGTGCACTGGGCTTACCGAGCACAACCAATTCAACTGTTTCACGATCTACACCGTTGCGATTTTCCGCCTTGAGAGTGTAGAAGCCGCTATCCTTGCGCACGGCATTGGTAATAACAAAGTCTGTATGGTAGTCGACATTTTCAATCTTAATCCGATCTCCTGTCGTGAGCGGCACATCATCACGCCAACTCCAGTGCAATTCTGGAACAGGCTCGCCGACAACGTCGACCGACCACTTGTGGGTACGACCACTCTTGATAGTAACGCGCTTGAATGTGGATCTATCGATTTGTGGTTTAACTATGGATTTAATGGTAAAAATTTGTCAGTCGATCGGTTGATTCAGATATATGCTGCTAAATACATATGCTTCTGCGACTCAAAAGCACTTACGTACGTGTTAAAAGCGTTGGCAGTAAAGCTGGTACGATTTGCGGCGAAATGAGTTGCTATTGCTAAAGCGTGAAGTTGCTAAATGATTTATTATATTGACTTTTAGACGTAATGCAAGTATTATTTTATTATTATTATTATTATATCCTGTTCGATAAGATCGATGAAAAAGACAAAATTGTTATATATTTTTTGTTACAACTACCACTACTCGTATTTAGATTTGTGTTAATGCGTCTTTTGTGAGAACAGCACGATCATACAATTATCTTTAATAGCTACTACATAAATTGATTGGACGCTGATACTTTCTGGAATTACCATCTGTTTTTGCAGATTATTGAATTTATGGAAAACACGTTACAGGACGATGGTGTGTGAGATATACTTGTATTATACGAGTATCTTAAATATTTAACGATGCGTACTGAATAGATGTGGTAAGTGCGTGAATATTATATCTTATTATTATTATTATTTGTATTATTACATTGTATTTTGCGGGAGATACTACTTGTATGTACATTTGTGATCATCTACGTCGAATACTAAAACATATTCGTAGATTAATGGTGGACACTATTGATGTATTTTAAGCTAGCATGTTTGTTTGTGCACTCTGCATTGAATGTTAAGCCAAAAGCCGTTTATTAAAGTGACCTTTATACATAGATAGAGTGCTTTGTAGTACTTACGGTTCCTGTGTTTGCAGAGATGGTTATCAGTGGGCTGCGAAGGCTCTGAAGCACCAGCTTTGTTGACAGCGCGTACGCGAAACTGATAAACCATTTTCTCTTTAAGTCCCTCAACCTTACATTCGGGTGTGGGATCTTCTGTCTTGGCTACTTCGGTCCATGTTGGCGAGAATTTGTCCTTCATTTCAACAATATAGTGAGTAACTGGGCGACCACCATCGGAGGGCGGTCTCTTCCACTTAAGTGACACACTCTTGTTATCGTAATCGTCGATAGTTGGCTGACTAGGTGGACTTGGTGGGTCGTAGGGATTCTTGGCTTCAATGGCGTCGGTTGTCTCAAGTGGCTCAGATTCGCCCTCTTTGTTGATGGCTTTGACACGGAACTTGTATTTCTTGTTTGGTGTAAGTCCCTTGAAGTCGAAGGAGGTCTCATCGGGACCAACCTCTCCGGCTGGAATCCAACGACCCGTTTCTTCATCCATGCGCTCAAGGGCGTAGCCGGTGATTTCACAGCCACCGTCGTCTTGAGGTCGCTTCCACTTCATCTTGATATGATTGGCGCGAACTTCTTCGGGTTCGAATGGACCACCCGGAGCCAATGGGCGATCCAAGACTATGACTTGAGCCTCAGACTCAATGGTGCCTGAGCTATTTGTCAAAACCAATTTATATTTGCCAGTATCGCCACGGATAGCTTTCTTGATAGTTATTGACGAGTTACGTTCCAGTTGTTCCAGACAAATGCGCTGGTTGTCGAACTTCACGTTTTCGGTGCCCTTCACCCATGTTGCCGTTGGTTCAGGCTCACCATCGTATTTAATATCATAGCGTACGGTTTGTCCTTTCTTGACCGTGATATTTTTGAGGCCATCGCCAACAAGGAATGGTTTGACGAAACGGCACTTCGCAATAATGGCTTTTGTTTTGTCGCTAGGTTCGCCAGGCCCTGCCCGATTAACAGCACGGACTCGAAATTCGTACTGCTGGCCCTCTTTAAGTCCATCAACGGTGCCTGCTCTAGCATCTCCAGGCACTTCTTTACCGGCCACCCAATCATTTGAGAACTTCTCTTTGTACTCAATGACATAGGATGTGATGGGATCTCCACCATCGCTATCTGGTGCTTCCCATTTAAGATCGGCATGATCCTTATCCCAATCGGTAAGGTCAACATCTTTGGGCTTGCCAGGCTCATCCCATGGATCCTTGGCAAGAATTGAATTCTTGAAGGTGGCCGGATCTGATGGGCCAATTTTATTTACAGCACGTATGCGGAATCTGTACTGCTTCTTTGGCACTAAGTCCTCAATTTTCTTGGAACATGGTTCACTTGGCAAAACTTCAGCGACAGGTTCCCAGCCTTGTTTCTTACTAAGATCTTGCCGTTCAATAATGTATTTGGTCAGTGGAGTGCCTCCATCATCGGGAGGTGGTTTGAAGTTCACAACACAAGATGTTTGATACACATCTGTGACATCAACATCTTGCGGTGGCTGAGGAACATCTTGGCAAGTAATTTTGACATCTTTGGTATCCTCTCCTTGTGCGTTCGATAACTTGATTTGATACGGGCCTGACATATCCCTGGATGGTTTCTTGATTTTGAATGTGACTTTATCATCTGTAATAGCCACCTCAACATCTTTAACAGGCAATGGCTTGCCATCCTTGACCAATTTGGCCTCAACAGGAGATTGTTTGGTACCGCTTACTATTCACGAACGAAGACATTATTTACATACTTATATTCGGGCTAAAACAAATAAAGAAAGTGGTATTTACCTTTGTATGGTACTTCTATGATTACAGGCGCACTTATTGGGCCAGCAAACTCTTCTGGACAGTCAATGTTGGGCCTGCTCTCTCCCTTGCGCACGGACAGCTTGCATGACGACGTTAGTTGTCCCGACTCACACGTGATTTCGCCCTGATCAGTCAGTTCTAAATTATTGAAAATCAATTGATGTTTACCACCACCCAAGTTCTTGATTTCGATGCGATCGCTCGGCACTATCGGCTCTCCATTGAATTTCCAATCGCATGGTGCAGTTTGGTCTTGAAGCTCGACATCGAGTACCAATTTCTCACGCTCCACGGCATCTGTATCCTTGAGCTTTTTGTTAAAGCGATTTTGATCTAGAAGTAAATACATTTTGGACTTATAACTGTGAAGTTGGGGCATACTCGATAAGCACTTACAGTTAATTATTATTTCAGCTTCAGTCTTATCAGCATTAGTTGTGCACTTGAATTGGCCAGCATCGGTAACCTTGCAGTCCTTAATAATAAGTTTACGCTTGCGACCTTCCTTAACGATCTGCATGCGTTTATCTGGCTTGATTTCTTCATTGTTGCGGAACCATTGAACTTCGCCCTGTGCATCGTCGATCTCACAGGCCAGAGTAACGGTGTCCTTCTCAATGCACTGTTGTGATTTTAGAACCTTAACAAACTTGTAAGGATACTCAACAACTTTGAGAGCGCACTCGGTCTTGTCGGGCTGCTTGTCCAATTGACATCTGTACTGGCCAGAATCCTCCAGCACCGACTCCTTAATAATCAACTTAAGGTTGCCATTAATATCTTTAGAGATCAAATAACGAGGATCATCAGACTCGATCTTTTTGTTATCCTTGAACCAGTGCACATTGGCCATGCTGCTGCTTACGGAGCACTCCAAGGTCGTTTCGTGTTCGGTGAATCCTTCGAGCTTCTTCTTGAGCGGCTTAGTGAAGGTATATGAGGGATCAGCCTCTTCGACGTTGAGGAACGCCGTGCTGGACACACCGCCGATTTCGATGGTGTACTTGCCAGTGTCCTCCACCTTGGGTGTCGTAATTATCAGCTGATAGGTATCGTTCTCGTTCTTGAACTTGAATTTGCTGCCAGTGAACACCTCCTCCTTCCTGAACAGCCATTTGGCCTTGCAGTTGGGCTTGCTGAATCTTGCTTCAAACACAACCTTCTTATCCTTGCCTTCCTTGGCAAATTGATCGATGAGAGGACTTAGGAACGACTCCACCTTCTGGGCTCATGTAGCAATCGGATTCGCGATTTTTTTTTTATTGCGTTGTCAAAAATGGGTAAAGATGTCAAACGACAATCGATTTGATATACGATTAATAATCTTTCTTTGATTTACATTTCTGATTGATATTAGTAAATAATATATGCACACATATAAACTCTTATACAGATGTCTAAGGACACCAGTTGTGAAATCCATATGTGCGCTATAATTATTTCTTATGCTTTTTCGCAAAATGTTTTTCAAAAAACAAATACTGTATGTAATTACAAAATCCTAAAATCGTTTAGGATCGCAAAACGTACTTGTTTTTTTAGTACCATATAGAACATATAAAGAGGGGTAACCACTGTAATTGGAAAGTTTTATTTTTGGCACACCTTGGGTACATATGTAGGTTGTTTGGGCGATGCTTCTGTGAAGCTTAATTCAAGAGCTCTCCTTCTTGAATGGGAGTAAGGGGATATAATAAAAAGAGAGATATCTTTTAAAGGTTTTCCAAGGTGTACTGACAAAAGTCAAAACTGACCAATTACTGAGTTGCCCGTTTGCACATGCATGCCCATAAATATGGAAATATTACGCTCAAAATGTTTCCACATTCATGAGAAAAATATAAAATCTATGCATACACGGCTATGAAATTAATTGGCTGTTCACTCCCCAAAATATTATTGTTGGCGTTTCTGGTGCTTCTCCCAAAGGGAATTTCGAATAATGTTCTCCTCCATCCGAATATAAAAATAAATTAAAATGTAATCTACAGAATAGAATAGGGAAAAAAACACCAATCACCATCAATAAGTTTCTGAGGAGTGCTGCCATATTTGCGGATATACGGGGTATACCGCCATTAGATACTAAGCATATCTTTTTAATGCCTAAGTCGTATATCGAATGCAACGTTTGATAACCGCTGTCAAATCGGCGAGCGCGTCAAGTGCAAAAATAAGCAGCGGCAATGAAAATTCAAACTTAAAGCTCTTTTTTTTTTGGCATGCAGGAAGTAGTACATAAGTAGATCCCATAGATCGGAGCGACAAAATTGTTATTAACTGAGGGACGAAAGGTAATGTATTTGATGAGAAAGAAGCATTTATGTTGGGACAGGTTGTGGAGTTGTGTTCCAACTTTTTGTGTTACGGTGCACATGAGATGACCCGATTCGATGCCAAACTTAATGCCGAAAAAATCGCAAAATGCAAACATCAGTTCAACACCGTGCTACGGCCCGGCTCTGTTCTTTTTTTTTTTTTTGTTTATTGCAGAAAAGAAAATTATAAAAAAGAAGTTATACTTGCGCCAAGACAGATAAGAAAAGAGAGAGAGAGAGAGTAGGACAGAGATACTCTGAGATTCCATTAAACTCGCTACCTACTTAGATACTGTTCTGTATACAAAGTTTAGAAATGGAATCGCATAAAATTAAAAAGGTTTCACTTTGTTGCAAAATTGCCAAAAAACAAGATTTATTCTTGTCACTGTAAAAGGTTTGTTGTTGTTGTTGTTGGTTTCGGTATTGTACACACGATATACCTATATTAAGTATTAGAATTATAATAGACATTTTTAAAGCGCACCTCCTCACGTCGAAACGGATGCAACGTTGGCCAATCTGGGATCAACTCAGCCAAAGATGGTCTACGTGATGTTTGCGTCTAATTTGCATATCATATAATGAATAGAAGTGATAGATCATATGAGAAAGTAGCAATTTGCGCCCTACACATACATAGTTTTAAATGTATGCAACTGAAGTTGGCCCATCAAACCATATTTGTAATTCACGAGTATATCTTCCTCTTAAATCTTGGCCTAGTTGGAATGCAATACAATCTGAAATGTTGCTCCCTAGTTATGATGATGCCTTTTTGATGTATGGCTTGTATTTCGGAGTCGATATTATTGTGAATTGAAGATATTTACTTATGGTTGGTAAATATAAATAGCATCGGCTGGCATGATGGTTTAAGTTTTTCGATGAATATGTGCTTTTCATAACAAATTAAAATACTCTACGTCGATAGCTTCAAATATAAGTATATAGCAAGCCCTTCGGAAAGTTTGCTCATCATAAGTGGTTTTAAGTCATTGCGGTTATATTTTGGGGGGCAGTTAGTTTCTTCAGGTGTTCCCTCATATAATCTTGTAAGGCGTATTATTATTTTTTTTATAGGTACTTATAATTCTTGCATGCCTATAATTAAGAAATGATGTAATACTGAAAAGGGATTGAGCAAACTTTGAAGGGCCCTCTCGAATTTACGCATAGAAAGCATCTATGAGGCTATATACTATAAGTGCCTTAATTGTAGTAATATATATAGTGCACTGGATGTGGAAAGCGCAGTCCTGTTCGCGTCTACTTGCCAACCCGACTAAAACTACCATTGGGTTATTGTTTGGAAATTGCAAATGAAAGCAAAGCGCATATACAATCTGCTTCTTACCCTTTCAACTTTTTTAAGAGCAGGTAACGGTTTTTCAGTTTCTTTAAGATCTCCCCAATTGGGATCTTGTTCTTCTTTGTCCCATTTTTGATAACGACGTTTCTTAAGCATGGCACGGAAATCCATGCCACTAGAATCGGAGACATATAGCTGCATCTCAGCCGAGTCTTCGCCGTGTATGTTCGAGACAACGACCTTATATTTGCCTTCATCGTTGGGCTTGCACTTACGCATACACAGAGTAATTGTGTTTGTTTGTCCATCTGTTAGGAACTTATAACGTCCGCCTTCAAGAATCTCACTAACTCCTTTGTAGAACTTGAATGTGGGTGCCGGATTACCCTCGACACCGACCGTAAGGTAGGCCGTCGAGTCTATATGTTTATGGGCACGAAAAAAATGTGTAAAACAAATACAATTGTTAAACTCGTTAGTCAAGAACAATGTAATGCATGTACATATATCCACCAAACTGTCGGATTATTATTCAAATGTGAGATATGACAAAACATTAGATTAAATAGAGTGTTTCATGATAGATTCTGGAATGGTTCTTCTGCTACACAGAGAGAGAGAGAGAAAGAAGGGGGGGGGGGGGGGGGGGGGGGGGGGGGGGCAGTACATACCTTCGACCACTGAGTAGGACTCCTGGACATCAACAATAGCGGGTGGACCGCCATCGCCGACATCGCGCAATGGAGTCGATGGCTTATTGATAAGGTCCTCCAAGTCCTGTACGCTGGGACGGCGCACATCGATCGAGGGTCGTCTCCTCTGTTATGGCCAATCACACACAACATATGGGAGACAAGCACGTAAACAAATAGAAGGAGACAAAATCGATTAGTCATAGTCACAGACACTCGTGGAACATTCAATTCTTTATTATTGATCGAAAAAATTGTTTAAAACTACGGATTACATACAAACAAAAAATCGAAATTCTAGGGAAAAGGGCGACAAACTATGCCAACTACGAGTACCAAACTAAACATAAAGCTGTATAAAAATCTACTATGCAAAGTAAAACATATGCAGAATGGGAATAATACTATGAGTTAAGATCGATAATTATCAGTTGGGAATGTTTGTAAGTACTTGTATATAGAATAGCTACTCGTACGTTAGGTTGTTATTTATAGCAAAGCGATCGCAATTGATATTATGTACATTAGTATAATAATATCCTGCATCACATATTTCATATGCAATTCTCAATTCTTTTTCTTATAGAATATGTTAGCAAAATTATCAAATGTTTAGTTTTTAGTTTTTTCAATAAGGGGTTTTTTTATCGACTGAAACTTAAACTAAGGAATTGTAGAAAGCCATTTGAAAATGTATAGTTATTGAAAAATTCGATATCAGTTTGTAGTTAAGAGTTGCAGTCCTAATACTAAGTGCTTCTAGGATTCGACATGATTACAAATCTAGCAACGATCTGTTCAGATAATGACAACCAAATCGAATCCAGACTGACAGACAGATGCAATATATGAAGACTTTAGTACAAAATGGAATGGTTTGTACATAGTTTGAGGTCTGTTCTTTCGTAAATTTGAAACTCGTATGTTGGTAAATGTTGGTTGTTGTCCTTCGAGTAGTTTCGGGATTTTGGGCTAAATCCATTTCACCTATGGGTATTATTTACAATTGAAACATACACAAATACATTATGTACATACATACACGTGTGATTGTTGTACTCATGTTTGTGAAACTTTATTTACAAGATATGCTCTATAACTATTTAATGTTATATACGTCTTTTCTTTATACAATTAGCATCATTGGCGAACAAGAAAACAAACGAAAACAATTGAGAGCAAATGTGATCGTTCGATCACGATTTAAGACCTGTTTAGTGTCACCCATTTCGCCGGGTCGATGTTGTTTCTTCTAGTATGTTGTGAAGTAGTAAAAAAAAAGAGAGAAACAATTCAAAAATCGGTTAATACACCACCAATCACAATTTCAACGTTCTAGAGAATCTAGTCCGGTTATGCGTCGCTCCAATAGCAGCTCTTCAATCGTCCAACCTCGTTAAATCACACACATAAGTAGGCCTAACTACTCCTATAAGAATCTGAATCTGAGAATCCTTGGTATCGTTCGAATGCATCTGAGTCAAACACAGATCAATCAAATCATCTTGTATTATGTATTATGTACTATGATGGGCACCAATAGATAAGTGAGGTTTCCATCTGGTTCAATACATTTTGGGATTAGTATTGTTCTTGTAGATGTGCATTATACTAGTTATTTGTGTTATTTTGATTTTTGGTTATGCAGTGCAAATAGATAATCAGGCTTAGCGTCTTATTAGCAACTCGAGCAAGTCTCTCACGCAAATTGTTTAAGCCATAAATAGATTTCAATTTGCGTTTCGTCCTTTTTGGTAGCACCGCTCTCCACTACATATGTATATGTATGGAGATAGAGGCAATAAGTAACACGAATAGTATGATATACATATTCAAAAGAAGAAGAATAACTAATAAAAAATTAATGTAATAATGCTAAATGCTTTTTATTTTTGTTTCGAATCAAATAACAACAAAACTACTGTAATTTACTGTCGGTGTGAGTAATCCTTTTTGAATCAACTACGGATTTGTAATTGCTTTTGTATGCATGTAGTATATGTTGGTGTTGGTATTGGTGTGGGTGTAGGTGTGGGTGTGGGTGTGGGTGTGTGCGTGTGTATATAGATATATAGATGGGTAAGCTTCTTCGAGTGGCTCACAAAGTGTTAGGAGAAATGAGACCAAACACTACATAAAGCAATGCACAACTAACTCTCACCTGTCCTTCACCGACCTCGCCTGGCCTCAACAACTGGAATATTTATATTTTAAATCGAATTAAAATGCTGGACAACAATTGCACATACATTTTGTTTTGCATTTATGTAATTGATTTGCTGCGCATGTATGTATGTCTGTGTGTGTGTGTGTGTGTGTGTGTGTGTGTGTGTGTGTGTGTGTGTGTGTGTGTGTGCGTGTGGTGGGTGTAAGATTGTGTGTTTGTGTGTGTGTATCTGTGCTGCATGTGGTTGTGAACTGTACGATTTAGGGGGCAATTGGAACGATCTTTGGATAATTTCGACTAACAAAAAAAAAAAGAAAAAAAACAACAAACAATCGCTTCACACCACCACCTACGAATCATCGTCATTAATAAGTACATTACTACTTAGTAGGTGCTATCACATACAAGTAGTTAGTCGTCAGCTCTGCCCACACAGTAGTTACTAGAAGAGGCAAATACTCTCGAATTGGTTTACTTTTAAAGCATTTCACCTATTGACTTCAAATAAATTTTCCCATCTTGCTGATCGTAGCACTGCTACTAATACGGATACTAATACGGATACTAATACGGATGGATACGAATACGGATACTAATACGGATACTGATACTGATATTGATATTGTATGGCACACAATATTCGCGGCAATGCACGTCTACTCTTTACTCACGACACTTTAAACTGAATATTAATTAAATTGGCGCAAAAAAAGTGTTGGCATCAAATAGAAATCCAAGTCTGTTGGCCATGAATTTCAGCTGCAAGCAGAAGCAATAAATAGCAGCCATTTATTTCGATCTATATTCTCACACACGCACAAATACACACATGTGTGACATGTACATATGTATAGTTATAGACTACTTGTATAGCGATAACTATAGATATAGCTAAAAAGCATATATCATACATACATACACATACACAAACATGTACGCATGTAGGGTGGTGTGCGAGGTTTGATTATTAAATTGCATTTTTTGCATACAATATGCACACACATCTATATATCTATCTATCTATCTATTTGAAATCTATTTCAAATATTCTTTCTTTATAGCTAAACCACTTATATAAATTGTTGCATTTGCGTTCGGATTCTTATTTATACATATTTGTAATTGTATTTGCAGCACACAAAAATATGAAACCTAGCATTTGAAGGGCGTGTACATAAGGAGAAACATACAAACATACCTACACAGAGCCTATACTAGACACATATGTACTTGTACATAAGTACAATGGCTATATAGTATATACGAGTATGTACATAGTATACTTTTTTTGGTGCATTGTGGTGTGTGCATGGATTTGCAAGCATACGAATATAATATATATATGTAGGTAGGTATTTATATATAAAAATATGCATATGCACATAGCTTGGCCCACACGAAGGTAAGCGCGTTAAGTCTATTATTAGCCAGGGCATCGCGTTTAGATCATTAGAGCGCGTTGGAGAGACAACAGCGGGGTCATGAGGCGGGGTCTCTGGGACCCCCAAGCTAAATACATCAGTTCTTAAACAGTTGGCTGCCAAGTGCCAAGTGCGTGGGTCATTCAAATGAAACAGAATCTGAATCTAAATCTGAATCAGAAACAGAAACGAGGATAACAAGTGCTCCCGATATTCCGCTAGAGTGAATTCGTTCGTTAGATCGATTGCATATATCTAGCGATTGTTGCAATTGTACGTCGCTATGGGTTATTAAAAGATTGCCAAGTATTAAGTTTTAGTTAAATGACCTAATTTTTAATACATATCTATAGTATGTATAATAAGCTTTCATTCATATCCTAAATGTCCTACACCTATTTTCATATTATCCCATGAGGCTAAGACTAGAAAATATGCATTGTGGTAGGTTTTAAGCAAATAAAGCGTATCTTACCCGTGAGTCCAGGACTTCGCCGGGGCGGAGTTTCTTCTACGGTTTTGTGGGTTGGCGGTTGGCAGTGGTTGGTGGTGTTTGGTGGTGTATGTGATATAGATAATGTGCCATATGTGGTTTTGTTTTGATTTGGTTGATTTGGTTGATTGTAGGCAAGTAGGGTATGCATTTGTTTGTGTAACATTGTTTTTGATATTTTGGGCACATTATTGTTGGTTGTTGTTGATTGGTTTGGTTGATTGGTTGGTTGATTGGTTGGTTGATTGGTTGTTTATCGATTGATCGGTTGATCGGTTCAGTTACACAGGTGCAGATGGCAGGCACAAACAAAATGAAGAACAGTGTGTTGTTTTGTTTTGTTGTTGTTGGTTGGTGATTTTGTTGGATTTGGTTTTGGTTATTTAATTGTGTTGTGGTGGTTTTTTGTTAAATATACAATTTGTTTTTTTTTTTTTTGTTTTTTTGTCATATACATAGAAGGGGAACACAGGAAATATTGGCATTAGGTACGATACATAAAAGTGAATAACTAATACATGTAATTATTTACTACAAACAGGCAAATCTGTTAGGCACAAATGACTCGAGTCAGAGCCATCGGTGACACAGTCTAGAACGCACAATTATCGGGTGCATAGTCTACTACTATACGGTTTGTTTTTATTCTTTAAATCTTCTACAACATGTGACTCCAAACATAGTTACGAGACTACATACGAAACGATACGATTTTGGGCAAACAAAGAGCTAATTAAGTATATGTATTTGTTCGACTCAAAGCCGCTCGCTACTCATTACTTGCAACCCCTCGGCCACGGGGATGGGGGCTACTACTGCGATTGTGCCGGCCGGCATTACTTACTACATACTTATAAGTATATACACATGTATGTATACAATGAAATTCTATTTAATACGAAATGGAATCAAAATATTTTGTAAATTTATACAAAAGAAAAAAAAACTCTTTCAATTTATATATAATGTATTATGTAGCTTTAAATAGGTCGCTCTGGAATGTATGTGGATATTATTATAAGTAGAGTGAGGTAAAGGCATGGGACTTCTGAGGGGACTTCTACATGTTTTTTATGTGATAATTCAATACGAGTGTGTACCAAGTTCATATGCATTTATGCCATTTGGTAAGCAAATAAGCAATAGGGAGTTCTAATCACGAAATGCTTGCGACTATGTTGGTATATACATGAACTTTCAAAATAATCAACTCGTACTACAGTAACCGATAGTGTTATCAATGTCATGTCCTAGATATATATATATATGTATATGTATATATGTATATATATATATATATATTTGAAATGACAGTTTTGGACACTTATGCAATTCAGTTGCCCTCGTTAATGCTTTCCTCCTCCCAATGAGGAAATGGTTCGCATTTTGGTCAAGTGAAGAGCATAAGTTGTTCTTTCCGAGATGTTGTTGTTGTTGTTGTTGTTTTCTATATATACTATATATATGGTTATGGGTGTATGTATAAACCAAATTACCTCGTCATTAATAATGAGCGATGGTCGTCGACCCGTATCGGCTGGTGGAATAAGGGAGCCACGACGACTGGGCGGCTCTGGGGCAAGTGATGGGCGTTTCTCACGAATCACCTCGATCTTTGGCGGCTCGCCAGGGGCAGGCGGCTGCATTCTGGGTGCCTTTGGCTTATCATCCTAAATGTAAAGAAGAAATTTGTTAAATATCACATCGATTCCGACCAACAACCCATATCCCTGCGTGATGGGGGCCGAGAATCTTGAATGGTCTGCTAGAAATTTATATCCGTATGTGGGGGAGTATTGCATAGATGTATGTATGATTACTTATCTATATACTTGTACTGTTTATTTTTCACACGCGATCTCTGTGTACGAATGTACCAAGTATAGTATTTACAGTTGCAAAATATTCACATATTTTGCGTACACATGCACTGGAATTCTGTTTTAGTGGTTCAATGGGTCAATGTCACTTTGTACAGGTAATGAGTGTAATTGAATTACGCACCGGAGCCGCAGTTACTCTAATCGTGGCCATTACAAGTATGTGTTGAATGTATGGAAAGAACTGATAGTCCTATGAGTTTGGAGAGCTCATTTGAGAACTGCAATAATTAGTACTACGCGAGGCTTTGCATGTTCGTGTTGTCTTCGACTTTTGTCACTTTCCACTTTCCACTTTCAGTTTTAGTTTTGATAAAAAAAAAACAACAACAAAAAAATGTGCTCCAATATCAACCGTTTGTCATGAACGACAAGAGAAGACAGACAGCAGACATTTGGATAGCTAGAGGTATGCATGTTTTTGACAAAAGATTTTCAACACATTAAATATAAAAATATAAATGTATATATATATATATATATATATTTATATATGCATGTACATATATATTTATGCATAAAAATATTTGTATGTATATATCTATTGTGTAATCTGCTCAAACATATCGAAACGAGTCACCTCGACGACATTTTGAAAGAAACCCGCCTCCAACCTCACGAGAAAAACAGTATTCATTTTTCTATTGCATGTTGACGAGAACAGACACAGACATACCTACATACATATGTACAGATGTATGTACATACATATTCGTGTGCGTGCGGGCGTGTGTGTGTGTGCGTGTGCACAAGTTATAAGCATATGAAAAAATATGAATATATATGTATATATCATATACATAGAATAAATAGAAATATCAAAAATATAAAATAACTAACAACATCAGTCCAAAAGATACCTAAAAATACGCACAGTTTTATGAAGACTATGATAATGCCGCTCTATTTATACTGGAAGGAGTCAACCTTGAATTTTTATGATCGGCCTACTAAATAAAAAAAAATGTATATTAAAAAATCCCACTGATGCCAATTCTGAGGCTGCGGCCAATGCTGATGCTGATGGCACCTCTGCTGCAACACAGAGTCGCGGTAAGCCACACAATATTCTAATTCTTCAGCTATGTAGTCGGCGTCCTACAAAGTTCTTTAGCATTGTGTGAACAATCGTAAGCGTCTAGGCGATAGCCAGATGGTGTAGTGCTTACCTTTGGCGCTTCTACAGGCAATTTGACTTCGGGTGTCTTGCTTTCCGGAGTGTTAATGGCGGGTACGGGGGTTTCTGGTTTGGTTTTCTCGATATCGACAGGTTCATATTTTTCTAAGACAGGACGCTGATAATCATCTACAATGGTGGCTAAAGCTTCGGGCTTTTTCAGTTCAGATATTTGTGCCTTGGTAGCTTTCGTAGGATTGAACTGCTCCATCGCATTCGCCTTTTAGCCAAACACAAATATTTAAATATGGGTAATTGAATATACACGTACATTTGAAAATATATGGAAGAAAATATGGAAAGCGTGCAGTTTTTGCAGAAGAAAGAAGATGCATAGAAAGGCAGAGAAGGAAGCTACTTTTGCCAAAAGGTTTTTGTTTTTTGTTTTTGTTTCTCTATATTGCTTGTTAAGATAGCGGCCAGCTTTGCGAAAAGATCCTAAAGATAAGAAATGCATACACAGATATGTCACAGAATGTAGAAGGAAAAGAATGCGGTACCAAAAAGAAATGTCACCGTAAGATAGCTTGGAAAATCAAGAGTAAGAAAGTCGAACTGCAAAATATAGAGAAAGAGTTGGAGAGAAAAAGAAAGAGAGACAGACAGAGCGAATAAAAGAAAGAGCACAGAATCATACAAGAGGAACATAGAAAACATAGAAAGAGCAAGAGAAATGGTCAAGACAGAGAGAATTTTGTTTTAGAACGATGCATTCTATTCCAATGGCACTGAAGCGGTCATTGGTACAGAATGCACTCGAAGTATTATAAAAAGAAGTACGAAAAAAGAATAGGAAGATTCGAATAGATAGAGAAAGTGTGTGTATGTGTGTGTGTGTGTGTTCGTAAGAGAGAATGTCAAGTATTTGAAGAAAGAAGGAGAAACAGATGCAATACAGTAAGTTGCGAAGGCAAGTTTGCTGCTCGTCTCTGAAAGAGAGATCGAGTAGAGCGGCAATAGGTTGTTGTAGTAAAGATTTGAAAATATCAGTTTTTAGGGGACAACACACATACATATTGTTGCGATAGTACGAGTATAGTAACGGAAAGCAGCTCATACATTCGCCAGCATAGAATTGTTTATACGCAGCAGCCTCTTAAACAGATCTGCTCTCTCAACTTGGCTTCTGATTACCTTTTGTAATTGCTTAGCTTGCTGTGGCGCAGCCTGCTCTTTAGCATCCTTAAGCACGGGCTTCAGAACTACGCCAAGGAAGGACTCATTTTTAATTAGTTCCTTGGTCATCATGCTTCTTACAGAGGAACGACGCCGTTGCTTTATAATATCCATCAGAGATGGTTTCTCGCCCTGGGTGTGTAGGTAGTATGCATTTTAGCGCGGTCAGAATTAGTAATACTTTGGCTATAGTATATAGTATAGTATGTATTCGTATGTTATACATGTACTTATACCATTTCCAAGTTTTCGGCATATTTGAAAGTGTTTTTGGAATGGATTGTGTGCTTCGGCAGGCCGAAGGCTACACGTTTCATATCGCAGTGAACTCTTTTAGGAGTCAACTGATGCCACCTTAATTGCTAAATGCACATAGAAATATCGCATGACCCGAAACCTATACTTGTATACGAGTAAATAGGCAAATAACTTTTACTTACCTCAGGTGCTTTTTCGGCCTCTGTGGCTGTCTTTTCCTTCTGTGGTGTGTGGCGTGTTTGTGTATGAGTGGTTTTTTGAATTCCGACAAGACATGAAGCGGGGATAATTGGGTTCAATTAGGAATGAAGCGAAAAAATTCATTATTTACAAGTTGAGTGGAAAATATTGGGAAAATATTGAATCATCACATGTGTACAAACAAGATGTTTCATCTCCCACAGCTTAGACTAAAAAAAATCTATAGCCCGGCTTGAATGTAAGAAGTAAACCCACCTCTGGTTCCACAATAACTGGCTTGAGCGTGGCACCGTCCCTACCATCATCTTCATCAGGTAGCTTGCCTTTGCCCAGTTTCAGTTTCCTTGGCTCCTCCACCTCTTGCTGAACGGCCTCAGCTTTCTGTAGACCAGCCAGCCCATTACATAAAACATACAGACATAAACAGAGTACAGAGGAGGAGGATTGGGAGAGTTAAACACAATTCACAAATACAATCCAAAAACACCATAGAGAACATTACCTTGGGCAGTCCATTCTTCTGTGGTGCTGCTTCCGCCTCTTTCTTGCCAGCATCGAACAGTGGTTTCTCCATTTTATTTGGTATTTCGAGCTCGCGTGCAAAGTCTGAGGGCTCGAATTCTGACTTTTCGTACTTTTCTAGCACAGGACGCTCGTAATCAGGTATTTCGGGTAGCTCTTCATACTTGGGCTTAGCCTTTGGCTTAGCCTTGGCCTTTGGCTTGGCCGGTTCGGGCTTGGCTTCCTCTTTCGGTGACGCAATAGATGTTTTGCGCAACTTGGGAAGTTCTTCGGCTGGCTTCGGTTCCTCAATTGGCTAGTCCGAGCATAAAACAATTAAACATACACAAATTATACAAATGACAGTTTGGACCATTACAACACAGATAGATAAATATACAAGTATGTGTATATGTATCTGAGCTAATGCTTGGTTTAAACGGAGAAGTCGGTCGTTTAAAAAAAACATTATCCAGATAAATGCACAATACAGTATGAACGGCCAATTTGTTAGACACAGTTGCAGAGTAAAATCTAGACCTTAGTCATCGATTGGTATTATCGCTGATATAAATAAATAGACAGACAGATAGATAGATAGATAGATAGATAGACAGATAGATAGACAGATATAGAATAAGAGAGAAACATAGGCATAGGCAGCGCCTTGTATTAGATACATACTTAGACACATAAAAAGCTTATTGTTGAAGTACAAAAGCGAGCTTTGAAGTATAGAAATGCAATATAAGAGAGACAGAGTCAAGAGCTTATTAGAACGCCATAGAGTCGTGCTCGATTCTCGTTCGTTTTGCGATTCTCACCTTCGATACACGCCGTTTTTCTGCTGGTTTCAATTTGGGAATCTCTTCTTTAATAGCTTGTGGGTTTTTGTTTGGTTCAACTTTTTTGCTTTCAGTCTGCTGTTTTAAAATACATTTATACATATTTATATACATACATATTTCTCATTTATACTCTAATTCCCTAATGCTGCGAAATTTTTGAGTTTGTGCTCGAAAGTACCTTTTTGAAATACTTAGGAATTTAAACCAAAAGCTTTACTAAACTTACCTCCAACGCCTTTTTGTCAACGACAGAGGTGCGTCTAGACTCAGATCTAGACTCTTCAACCTTCGCATATAAATTACACAAAAGGGGGAATACATTAGGAATGGACACATAATTAAGTGGAGTTCAATGACTTTATTATTATTATTCATGAACATATATGTACAACTATTTTTGTATAAGGGTCTTACCGCAAGAGAGGATCTCCTTGAGGAAACCTTTTCATCTTGGATCAATGTATCCTCCTGCGTTTTGATGACCGACTTACGACGTACCTCAGATTTGGATTCCTCCTTAATGGACACAACGCTGGCCTAATGAAACCAACCCAAGTCAGTATATTCTTGTAGATATTGGATAAATTATGCACGCAGTGGAAGCAATTATCGGAGCATCGAAGCATCAAAGCTTTTAAATCATATATACTATATACCCAAAATGGATTTCTCAAAAACTACTTGAACTACTTGTTCGGATAAAAGAATGGTTAGAACGGACTTAAAAAGGGTCCAGTAATATTTAAAATAATGAAGATTGTGAATGATTTATATCAGTAGTTCGGCTTCAAATATCAAAATCAACAATACGAGGTATGAAGGTAGTATTATTTCCCAGCGTTGATAATAATTGTGCTTAATTCATTAAGAAGCATTTGAGGGTGTATTAGATGGGCATAAGTACTACTTATATATAGTGCGAAGTACGAGTGTGAGTTTTAAAATCATATTACCTCGTCAGAGTCAGATTGAGTATCAGAAACCTCTGGCTTAGAAGGCTCATCAGCATCCTGGCGATCGTGTTATAATGTGTTTGTACATGGTGGTGGGGTGTGTCAGTGCAGGTTGTTGTTTGAGGGTGGAGTTGGAGGGTATAAGTGTGTTTAGTGTTTTATTGTAGAAAATATATACAGATATGCAAAAATTGTTCTTTTAAAACGTATAAATGTGTCAATAAACCGTGTTTCCAAAATAATGTAGCTAAATTATCTTTTAGCTTTTGCCAAGTCATTATCAATGACTGATTTGTACAAGATTATGATATAGTATACATCCATAAATTTACATATATACAATGTATGAGGCGAATATATTATTATAGTCACAAAAATGTTTAAAATAACTCTTCAAGCGAGTACCCCATTTGAACCATATAGACAATATATTTAATTTCATAACGCTATCCAAAACGGATTCAAAAAAGTTAGAATCTTTTTCTAACAGCCTATACATACCTTACGCTCAACCTTTTTGAGGCCGATCTGTTCCGCTTGTCCTTGCTGGAAGATAAAATATTATAATTAGTTGAGGTCTTATACTGAGCGCAAGAGGTTATGTTCTTGTAAGTTATGTTTTAAAGGCGCAAGCAACAGACATGTTTAAATATATACATGTAAGCAGTTAGATTTCGAATTCTAAAGTATATCTGTGTGGTTTTTTCTGTGTATTTTCGACGAAGCGCTTTTGTATTTGCTGCACTGCAATTTTTTTTTCGTAACTTTAATAGGTTTTTTCCTTACCTCCCGAGTGTCTTTGTTAGCAACTGGTACCTTTTTCTCAGGAGCATCTGTAATGTCAGCTGGTTTTTCGTCTTTTGTAAGTTTTTTCTTTTCTTCGGGCTTTTTCTTGTCATCATCTTTTGGCTTTTGTTTCTTTTCAACTTCTTTCTGTTTCTCTTGCTCTTTGACTTTTTGCTCTTCTTCTTGTTTCTTCTTTTCATCAGCCTTCTTTTCTTCTTCTTTTTGTTTCTTTTCGGCTTCTTTTTGTTTCTCTACCTCTTTCTGTTTCTGCTCCACTTCTTGTTTATTCTTTTCATCGGCCTTCTTCTTTTCTTCTTCCTTTTTCTTTTCTTCGGCCTTCTTCAGCTCGGCCTTCTTTTCTTCGGCCTTCTTTAGCTCGGCCTTCTTTTCTTCGGCCTTCTTTAGCTCGGCCTTCTTTTCTTCGGCCTTCTTTTCTTCGGCCTTCTTTTCTTCGGCCTTCTTTTCCTCGGCCTTCTTTTCCTCGGCCTTCTTTTCTTCGGCCTTCTTTTCCTCGGCCTTCTTTTCCTCGGCCTTCTTCTTTTCTTCTATTTTCTTCTTTTCCTCTTCTTTCTTCTTTTCTTCGTCTTTCTGCTTTTGCAGTTTCTGTTCAGCTTCTTTCTGCTTTTGTTCTTCTTCCAGTTTTTTCTTTTCATCGGCCTTCTTCTTTTCGTCGGCCTTCTTCTTTTCAGCTTCTTTCTTTTCTTTCTCTTTTTGCTCTTCAATTTTCTTTTTCTCATCAGCCTTCTTCTTTTCTTCCTTTGGTTTTTCTTCTTCTTTTTCTTGTGGCTCTTCATCTACCTTCTCTGGTTCAACAGCTTCTTCTTGCTGTTTCTTTTCTTCCTGTTTCTGTTTCTCGAGCTCCTGTGCTTTTTGCTCTTCCTCCTTTTTCTTTTCTTCTTCCTCTTCAGCCTTTAAGAATTGCATTTGTTTTGTATGTACATGTATTTGTGTTGTTAATAACAAGTTAAGACAAGGAAAGAAAGGATAAATATTAGTGACAATATACAGGATACGATATCTACATACGATACGTATACATATGTATGCAATACAGACGAAGTCATCGTTCCGAATGTACTGATTACATCTATTGTTAAACTACTATACAGTTTTAGTTACATTATCAACAGAGTACTGACACACATACTTGTAAGTACATACTTCAATATCTACATCAAATGAGAGAATACATAGTTCGAAACAAGGCTATACAGTGCCAGAAAAAGCCAGATAGCATCACTTGAAAGGGTTGAATACAATAGAATGGGTTCAGATTGAAGTTGGTGTCTATAAGATAACTAACGCAACTGGAAGATGCTGAAAATTGAAAGTCCAGTATAGATAGATAGAGAGAGAGAAATACACATATGGATATAGTAAGAAGAGAGATCAATCATCAAAGTAGATAAAAAGATCTATATAGGCCATTCCAACTAGAAAAGCAAACCTCATCACTTATGACACGGGCGACGGGCTTTAATTGCACCCCAAATATGTCTTTGGACTCTTTGGATTCAATAGGCTCCAAAGATGTACGCATTGGGCGTCGCGGCTTTACTTTTGGTATATCATACAGTGTAAGACCCGGCGGCTGAGAAAAGATTATTTGTTTAAATATTAATTAAAATTAAATTTAAAACGTATGAAATAAAATGTAAAAAATAACAGCGGTATCATCGGCTTCCTCCCGAATAAGTACCCCTCATCGTGTACCCTCATTTCAATTTGAAAGATTAATCATTATTCATAAAAATTGTGACTTTAGCTCCGATTGTTAGTGACAATAATATTTTACATTGCTATGCCACTGGTTTTCAGAGGGTACACGCGAGTGTGAGGTATGCCGGGCATATCGATTGATGGGTAAGTAGCGTCCCTTGTCGCTTTTTAAAACCACACCATCAACGACTGTTCGTCTAACAGTAATGCCCATAATGGTGCTTGCATATGTGGTGGGAGATATAGGCGAATGCAGAAAAGGTAAATGGTGGAAGGTAATAGTGGGGAACCACCCTACTAACCGTTGCCTCCGCCACTGAAAGCTTGCGGGAATCGACCTGAAGCTGTTTGCTTTGTTCTTGAATGCTCACTTCTTGGTGCACTTCTAAGTGTTGAGCTTGCTGTTTGGCTACACTAAAGGACACCCGTCTCTGGCTGCTTTGCTCGACCTTTTCACTCTGTACACTCTGTACCTGCAGGGTTGATTGGGTTTGCTGCATTTTCTGCGTTTGCTGAACTTGCTGCATTTGCTGAACTTGCTGCATTTGCTGCACTTGCTGCATTTGCTGCACTTGCTGCATTTGCTGCACTTGCTGGACTTGCTGAGTTTGTTCTTGGATTAAAACCTGTTCTTGCTGTTGCTCTATCTGGATTTTCTGGACTTTTGTATGCTCTTCTTCGTGGACTTCAATTTGTTGTTGTTGTTTTTGTTGTTGCTGCTGAACTTCAGCTTTAGTTTTCTTTTCAATTACCTTGCGTTTCTTTTCGGCCTCTTCCTTCTCCTTCTCCTCCTTCTCATCCTTCTTCTTGTCCTTCTTCTCCACAGTTATTTTGCAGGTGGACTCATCCTTACCTACTTCATTGATAACAATGACCTTGTAATTGGAAGTATGCTCCGACTTGGCGCTACTGAACGTCAGGCGCGCCGTCGTTCCGTCAAATGTTGTAGTTATATCTTTGGTTTCCCTTATTAACGTAGTGCCCTTGTACCACTCCACCTTAACCTTTCGGTCGGACTGCTTAAGACTGATTAGTAGCTCGAAAGTCTTACTTTCTGTAACCTTTTGGTCGACAAGCTTGCGGGCGATTTCTGGCTTCGTTGGTTTTCGTTCTTCTTCAGGAATGTCAACGAGATTGACAATTTGAGAGACTGCTTCGCCCTTCTCGTTGCTGGCGACCAATTTGTAGGCTCCCTTATCACTCTCTTCTACCTCATTAATCTCCAACTTAACGGCAAATTCACCCTCCTTCGTTTGCTCTACCAAGTAAACGTGACGTTTGCTCTCTACTACCGCGTTGGTTTCCTTAAACCACGTACATTTCGGTTCAAATTTGGAAGCTACGGTGCATTCGATCACCACAGTTCTCTTCTTAATGATCTTAATGATCTTGGGCTTATCCTTTATAACAGGCACAACTAAAATAATAATAACAAACGGTTACAGGTTATATGAGGAATAAGAATCAATACGAACTTACTTTCAATATTAAGAGTTAGGTTGGCATTAAGCTCGCCCAATGTGTTCTTGATATTGCACTTATATAGGCCTGAATCTTCCAGTTGGGGATCAATCAACTCCAGCTTAATGTAGTATTGATCACCGCGCTGTTCCATTGACATTTTGAGTTTGTTACTCTCTTTAATAACCTCACCATTTCTGAACCAAACAATGTCTGGTTTTGGATCGGCTTTGACTTTGCACTCCATAATGACGAGCTTGCCATTGTTTTCAGAGACAATGCGTGGCTTTTCAATGAAGGTCGGACCCTCACCCTCCGGCTCAGGTTCGGCTTCAATGTTTAGGTTGAGATTGGCGTTCGATTCGCCATACTCGTTCTTTACATTACATCTGTAAGTACCGCCATCGGTTGCGCCGGGATCCTACAAAGAAATTGGCAATTGAAAACTTGTTTGATTTGTGCGAATCGTAAAACCATTTTCTTCCCACCTTTATTTCCAGCGTCAATTCGTATGTGTCTTCAGCAATAACAGTTGTGTTTATCTTGATTTTCTTACTTTTCTCCACAATATCCTGGCCTCGATACCATGTGACGGTGGGTTCAGGCTTAGCCTTGCACTTGCATTTCATGGTGATAAGCGTTCCCGACTCGTTGGGTATAATTCTGGGTTTCTCGATGAACGATGGCGCAAAGCCATTGGCATCGCTTGCACCTAGTTGGTTCAAACAAAGAGGGTTTAGTGACGGCCAAGGAACGATGTCTATTCGAAACTCATCATGCCAGCAAACAAAAATGGGAGAATAAAATATGAATGTAGATGGAGTGTTCAGATTGTCAGATAAGATGCTTATGTGCGTACTTGGTCGTATATTTCAATCATAGACTCAAATACAGACATATGTATCTATATCTGATCCATGGAATCAGTTGCGGTTCGAGCAATAAAACGAAGTTATGGCAACCATGTATGCATGTATGTACATAAACATATTGAATGTACAAGTATGTATGTACGAGTGTATAGTGAAGGCAGTAACGTTAGAAGGAATGCATGCATTTTTGTTGTTGTTTTGGGATTTGATATTTTTTTTGTTTTTTTTTTTGTTTTTTGTAAATGGATGATTATAACATTTATAATCATTTGTAAATTGATCAATGGAACCGATTGTTGACTGTTGTATCGCAAATCCTATATGTATCATACATTGTATGAGCCCTCGTTGGAACAGCTTTAGGCATACAGATATTCAGCTACTAGTTTTTACATGCTATAGATCACATAGTTTTGGTATGGTAGATTAAAGTTTAAGATACATTCTTATAGGTACATTTTGATATTGGCTCGTTCTTGTTAAAGTTATTTTTGTAATTGTAAATGGAATACCTTGGAAGTTAAGCGCTATGTTTGCATTACTCTCTCCATACATATTTATGGCGTTACAGCGGTAGTTACCGCCGTCATCCTTAGTTGGATTTTGGATCTCGAGCGTTAGGATATAGCTGTCTTTGGTAACTGCCTTACGCGTCATTTTAGTACGTTCGGTATCTAGAATTTGCTTATCTGAGCAATACCATGTTATATCCGGTACTGGATGGGCTTCCAGTACACACTCCATGATCAGAATGTCCTCCTCCTGGCGAATGGTTGGCTTTTTAGGAAAACGTGGCGACTTACCGTCCGGAATTCTGCGTAAATTGAAGCCATTGCTTAATTAGTAGAACGTTGGGATAGTTGGGTAAAGATATGTTGCCTTACTTTTTCGAACCACTCTCGAAATTTAAATTGATTGTTGCCACTCCCATGCCATGCTTGTTTTTCGCTTGCGCACGGTATTCTCCCTGATCACTAGAGACAACACTACTAATCTCTAAGCGTGCCATATGATATAGTTTCTGATCCAATGTTAAGGACATTTTGTAGCGTTTGCCCTCTTTCAACACTGTCTCGCCATGGGACCTTTTTACAACAGTTATACACAGAGGGGGGAGGGAAAATGGTGGATGTATTAGTTTATATTTATAGTTAGTCTATCAATTGATTCATCTGCCCTTCTTTGCGGCTCAATTGCTCAATGGCTCAATGACTCAATGGCTGTTGGGCATAGGCTTAGGCTTATAATTGCTAATTCCTTGCCATTTCATACACATTTTGCTATAATCCGAATCAAGTTTTCAATTTTCAATTTAAGATCGTTTAACTTAAATATTGGTTATAGTATGGTTTTTTGTATACTCGTTTGTTTCATGGTTCGAACGTGCGTACCAGGTAACCGTTGGGGTTGGATCTCCAACACATCTACATTCAAATGTGACGTTTCCGCCGTCTTCGCTTTGACGTATGACTGGGCGTTCAGTAAATGTGGGCTTTATGCCTTCGGCGCTTTCCGGCACGGGAGCTTCATCGCCTACGAAGTTGAAGTTTCGATGTTATATTTTATAGTTTATGCAATTTAGCGCATACATACTAATATGTATATAAGTATATAAATAGGTATAGATGATGGATATATAGATATATAGTACATACAAACAGATATATTGAATTGTTAAGATAAATCTTAGATCTAAATTTATTTTTTGAAAAAGAAGACACGATCCATAATAATTGACAAGTGCTTATTCGTATATTATTAGTAAGGATTACTAAGTATTATATCATTACTAAGTATGAGCTATCATTTGTAACACCATATGCATTCCCTTTTCATTGTATGCTCCGCCGCTGCTGCGAGTAAAACAGAGTAAGACATGATTGGGGGTGATATCTTCGATTTGCTGCTTGGTCGATAGTCGATAGTCGAAGGTCGAAATGATTTGAAATTGATTTTATTTTGCTGTTGCTTTTGCATTGGCATTAGCATTAGCATTAGTTAGCGCCATCGTGTTGATCGAGCAGAGATTAAAGCGCGCCACAAACATAAAAACACAGAACGTCGCTTCACAAAATGATTGATTGGTTTTTTTTTTTTTTTTTGTTTTCTTCATACTCGTAAGTTGCGGTTAACTGTTACATTATGTGATACTTTTTTAATAAAGCTTCAACTAGGGTTATTTATTTTAAAATTAAATCATCGAAAGAACAGAATAAAGTAAAAAAAAATAGTAGTCTCTACGATATAATATATGGATAGTGACTTACTGTCAAAGTTCAGGCTTATCGTTGCATTGCTCTCGCCCAACTCATTTTTTGCATTCACTTTGTATTTGCCAGCATCCTCAACTGTAACATTTTGTATCTCAAGTGTTGCAAAATATGAGTGGACGTCTTTATCAATTGTTAGCTGAAAAAGAAGGTTACGTAAATAGGTTGCATTTATTTGTGAAAGTCAAATATTGCTGTTATTCAACCCTAAATTGTACTTTTTACGATACGGCTGTGGAATACGATATTCATTCTACTTGTACTCTTCTCACCCCCAGATGTTGGACCAATTCAAAAGCTAATTTGAATTATTTGAACAATATAGCTACAACTGTCAAATATATTTGTAGACATGCTTCAAAAATTGGCACAAATATATTTAAAAAATATTGCCAAACTTATACCTTGAAAATAGGATTGGAATTCTCGAAGACATTTTTAAATATCCATTAAAAATTGGCACCAATATTTCTGTTCTCATCCCGGAATTCAAGCGAAACTTCCTACTACATTTTTTGCTTCCATTTCTAGTTGGACCCACTCCAAAGTGAATTGGACTTCTTAAGAGGATTCACTAAAAATGATCTCATTTGAAATTTTTTGTTTTCGACAAATGAAAGGAAAATTCAGATGTAAGAAACATCAAAGGAGAACGCATCATAAAACAAAGATTCGTAATTAAGTGACTACAAAGACACGAATAACCCATAAAATTTTAAATACCTATTAAATAAGTCTGACAAAGTAATGGGAAGTGTGACCAACGCACACGCAGACAGATTGCGCCAATTACCTTATGTCGGGGTGACTCCTTGACGGGCGTGCCATCATGAAACCACGTAATATTGGGTAATGGATCTGCATTGACACGGCACTCAAATAATAACCGTTTTCCATCTTCTTCCTGTCGTATTGCGGGCTTTTTCGCGAATGTCGGCGCGAAACCGTCGATTTGTCTGCAACATTATGTCAATTAGAATGTCATTTTCTTAAACAAGATTCCAAACACAAGAGGAAACTAAACAGCAACAATTAACACAACAAGCATTAAACACAAACCGATAACAATTTCTCAATAGGAATGCAAATTATACAATTGTGGGAATAGTGGGGATCGCAGAAGTGCACTTCTTCAAACATTTTATTAGAATTTGAAACCTTTGGTCAAAAATGGCACACATGTTTATTACAGTTATTCTCTTTAATCTTAATTCTTGGAAACTTAATTAGAAACAGTACTGAAAAGCTTGTTTTTCTAATGTTTATTTTACCATAATTTTTTTCTCTTTCTAGTTAGATACAAAAACATAGATAAATATAATGTTTGCTTCAAAGACAATGCACAAATTTTCTCCCATCGATCTTGTTAATCATTTCTCTTCGTTAACATTGAAGACATTCAACAGAGATGATGAACAGATTTCTGAATTCCCCACTCACCCTGGATCTTCAGCCAGCGAGAACTTGCCCACTTGTTAAAGGAAATCATAAAGGCAATTAATGAGTTTTAGTTTGAAATACAGAAAAAAACAAAAAATAGGAAAAAGTATTTATAGCGTTATGGCAGCTGTGTTCACATCTTCATATGAATGCGTATACATATACTATTTAGCTATTGCTATTAGTATAAAAATATGTATATATATGCATGTGGGTATATCTAATATTGCAGAGTCTCGATTTGCAATTGCAATTGATAGTAACCAAAGCGTTGGTTATAATAAGCGCATAAAAATAGAATGTATTATTAACAAAATAGAAACTTCTTTCTTATTTGAAATTTGAAAATATCGCTTACTTTTCTTTTGGTTCGTCAGCAGCTGAACGAAATGGAATAATTGGCGAAATAAAAAGAAATGAGTATATTATTTCAAAATGAAATCATTTCGAAAACTTAAAATTATTATCGAATCGAATTGTGTTTCTGTGAAAAGAACCTTCAACCGTTAGTTGATGGACTTTCAGAAACGGCCTACGCTCGAATTTTCTATGTCGAGGTCATGTATTGTTCAATATGTGTGAGAGATGATGTATGTATTTATGTATATATGTAGATAGATAGATATGTCATTACTTACGTGTGAAATTTAAATTAATTGATGCAGATACTTCGCCCGATTTATTCTTGGCTTTGACCTTGTAAAGACCAGCATCTGTTTCTACTACATCATCGAGTTCTAACACTACCGTATACTTGTTGTCCCCGATGGGTTGAATTTTGAATTTTGTTCGGCCATCCTCCGTTAGTTTATTATCGCTGCGAAACCATTCGATATCAGGCTTCGGGGAAGACAATAGCTGACATTCAAATATCAAACGATTGCCGTCATCCTCTTGACGCAGCTGCGGCTTTTTAACAAAGCTGGGAGCGAAATCTTCAGCCACCCCCATGCTGAGGGCTCTCGTAATGCCTCGTCTTCAACGGCTCTGGCTCTTAGGCTCTATGAATTAGAATCGCAAATATAACGACTTACAGTTAAATCGTTTTATGTTCTTTCCTCCTTATATCCTTGCGTGTATAAGTTTCGTTTTTCAATAACAGAAACGAAAGTTTCTACACGTTCGACTGATACTCATAGGCATATGATTAAGTTCACAAAAAAACACATTCGGCATTCAATTCGATTCAGATCGAAACAAACAAATTTCAAATATTTTTTACGAATTTATTTAAATAATTAATATTCATGAAATGCTCAACAATTTATGCGTTTTTTAAAGCCAAATGGCTGTGCCGCAGCAGGTCCAAGCGAATCAAAATTTGTTTTCTTTCGTCTGGCAATTTCGAAAAAATTCGAAAAATGTTACCCTACTTCCCATCTCTCTTTCTATTATCGTCAGACAAAAGCACAGTATTCATAGTATTTACGGTACTAAGGAAGCGTTTTTTCATTTCTTTCTCTTCTTTTTTTAAGTGTCAAGGTTGACTTGGGCGGGCGGAAGTGCATTTTTAGTGTGAAATTGCCTCGTTCTATGAAATGCTCGATTAATAGTTATACTCGTATGTATATATTCAAAACATTCTATATAGAATGGCTCACTTCAACAAGTATGTTAACATATTCGGAAATGCTCGTAATAGAATTGAAGGAATTGTAAACATTCGCATTGCCGCATTGTGGAATTTACATAAATAAGAAGATGGGGGTAATGGTAATTGTCTAAAAATGTTTTGTGTGTGGGTTCAGTTCAGTTCTGTTCTGTTCTATTCTGCTTGTTGTATGTGGGCTGTGGTTGAAGGTTGCGGTTGTGGTTGTAGGTATGGGTGTGGGTGTGGGTGTAGATGATGGTCAAAAGACCAATCGCAGTTGTGCAATTTCATTTCATAGAGTGTGACCCCAAAGGGGGCTGGTCAGCCACAGAGTCTGCTGCATAGCAGCGGTCATTCCTAACAAATTGTAGACAGATGTATCTGCATACATACATACATACACGTACATACGAATGTATGTATGTATATATGTATGTGTGTGTGTCTGTATGCACCCATACAAATGTGTAAACATGTTGGCATGTATAGATGTATTTTGCATATTCAACGCCTCGCACTCGTAACAGTGGCAATCGTGCGCACGCCACACCAATATTTTGGAAAATGGAAATTTGATCGCTTTCCTCTCTTTCGGCACGAAACAACAATTTTTTTTAATGGAAAATATTTCACCGCACAAAACGAAAATTTCAAATGTGGTGCACGTTTATTTTTAGTCGTAGACTCGAAGAGTCACCGTTTGCATGTATATATGTATGTATGTATGTATGTACGTATGTATATGCAAAATGATGTATATATAGAAGATATAGTGGACATAGAAATGTATGTTCATTCTTCTATATATATGTACTATGTATTTGAATATGATGTATATATATACATATATATATATACGTTATCTTTCTAGAACATACACACACACATACATATATGTATACATGCATACATAAATATGTATATATAATCTTTAATATGTATACGGATAGTCGGGATAGATACATATGTACATATATATGTGTGTTTGAGCATAACATGGGTATTTAAAGACTTTGGAATTCGTCTGCAACCATTTGAATTTTGACACATCATCTTTAATTCGCTATATAGCTACTATTTGTATAGCAATTTTCAGGATCACACACATTATCTGAAGAGAAAAAAAATGCAACAAAAAAATGCACATTTATATTGTCTGAACAGGAAAAAAAATTGGCAAAAAAAATGTATGTACAGAAATTAGAATACACATCCTTATCGTGAAATACGTAAAGCCATGGCTCCTCACATTGGTTTTCGTTTTTTCTTATTTTTCGCTTATTGGCACTTAACTGAATTCTTTTTCATGGCCACCGAGTGAGATACTCTTATGTATGTATGTAGTGCGAGTACATACTTATATACATGAGAGTGTGTATGTATTTCTCTTATTTTTCAACACTTTTTGGGGATTTTGAGACGAATGCCCCATATCTATTTATACGCCTGACAACCATTACACAATTCCACGAATAGAAACACAGATACTGCCGCTCAGATGTACTGCATATTGATATTATTATTATTTGTATTATTTGTGTATTATTATTACATACTGCAGATATGAATCGTTGAATGCGAAATGCTGCAACCGGCATCGCTGTTATCTTGTAATTATATACATACATATAAATATATATAGTATGTAGTATGTATGCATATATATGTATATGTATGTATACCAGCAAAGGATTTAATTGATTTGATTTGATTTGATTTTGACAATCGCACTCAAAGGAGGACAAATGCAGATGCAAATGGAGTTGCAGACGCAGGCGCGGCCGACAAATAGCAAAGGATTTAATCATATGCCTATAAGTAGACGTCCCTAAATATATACATTGTAGGTATGTATGTAGTATGTATGCAGAAGTACCCGAACGTCGCGCACAAATTGTTCAACAGATTGACACCCGATTTGAATATACAGTATAGTCGTTTGTATATAGAGATATCTGTACGTACAACTAGACTATTGACAACAGTGCGGGCACAGCACGTTTATCGTCCTTCTGTGGAAGCGAAGCGAATTCCACGAGCGTTAATCTATTACTGTTTGATGCTAGCTGCTCGGCTCGGGGCCTGCTCTTCTTGATCAGCACCAGAATCAACACCAACACCAACACCAGCAGCAGCAGCAGCAGAACCACAGCCACTATCCACTACCCACCAGTAGAACTACAGAAGCGCAGAGGCGTCAGCGCGCTTTTTGCAGCTTTAGCTTTTAACGGTTCGCTCACACACACACTCACACACACACACGCACACACTCGCTCTCTCTCTTCCTTCCTCGTTTGTTTCGTGGAATTTGTTGTGCTTTACTCAATTCACCGTATAGCCGTACAGCAGACAGCAATCGCCAACAAATGTACTGGTACTGGGAAGAAAATGGAAAATAAACATTTTTTCTCAATCGTATATATGTATGTACATAAGTATATTTTTTAGACAGTATTAATAGATATACATATGCACACACCTCTCTATAAGAATCCACATATATGTATGTATACGCGTATGTGTCTCTGTGTATATACATACATACATATACAAGTATACTATATGTGGTACTTATAGAAAAGCCAATACACTGAAAGATCATCATCATGCATGTGCAGAGCACGGCAGAGGAAAGCAAAGCACGGCACGGCACGGCACAGCACAGTTTACGTTTACGTTTCTGTCGATCTACATCATCGTCATTATTTAGATACACGCTAGAATAGAAATGATTGTATTTTTAGAAACACTTGTTCATTTTATTTATGAAATTATTCTCGAGATGTTCGCTATTTATAAAACCTGCCGAATTCCTGCAATTGGTGCACCCAGTTTGTTGATTCTACTAAATACATACATACATATGTACTTACTACCTAGTATTTGGTACTTTTAACAATCGCCTAGCGCAACGTCACTCTGTCTAAGACTTGAAGGGCCCCAACCCAACTCAACCCGACCTCCTCTCCCCTCTCCCCACTCCCTTTTTACTGTTCTAAATTATCGCACATTTCCCTCTGATTTAATCAAACATCAGCAACACAATCATTATTATATTGCCACTGCTCTCCCTCTCCCACTTTCTCTCTTTCCCTCTTCATCTCTCTCGTTCGCGATTTCTTGCTTGGCAGGCCTGATGCCACGCTCGCTCTATTTAATATTTTGGCTTTACAGAATTACGCTAATAATCATATTCCATAAGCCTAAGCCCAAAATCAAACTGAATGCTCAATAAATTTAATTATATCAGCTCTTGAAAACACAAACACACTCAGGCGCAGACACAGACACTCATAATGCAGCAAATTTTTATCCGTGCAACACTTAAGGGTGGTGGTGATGGTGGTGGTGCTGGTGGCGGCGGTCCCGTTACCCTAGCTGCGCATTCTTAATGACGCTCTCTCCTGGCAACCACTGGGCTATATTGTTGATTTTTCAAAATGATTCTTACAGTTAAAACACACGCATACGCATTCATAAGTATTACAATTGCTTAATGTTAATGGCCCTCTTCCATCACCGTCCCAGTCCCAGTCCCAGTCCCACTCCTAGTCGCTGTAGTCCTTAAAGCGCAATGGAAACAACTTCATTAAAATGTTTGCTAAGCCCTGACTATTGAAGGGTACTTATGCTGCTGTGTCCTTATGTTGGCAAACATGCCCAAAAGTTTACACTCAAGGATTGTTGTTTCATAAGCAAATTGACTTCATAACACATTTCCGATATGAAAACAGTATCACAACAAATATCCTCCCATAGAATGCTAAGGAATATACATACGAGTATATAGTATTCGTATAGTATAGTTTCGTTTAAAACCCAATTATGTGTTGTAAATAGTTCTATTCGCAGACTAACAGGTTTCTGAAGAATTCTATAGCTATGGCACACATTTTCATTAATAAGTTTTCTTCGCGGAAATCTTAAAATGTACGCCTAATATATATTTTTGTTTAGCATAAAATAGCCTAACCTTGCAGGAGAAAACGAGGGAGATCAATATTTAAATATCATTCATCGTTGTTGACCAAGGTTTTCAGAACTGGTTGAATAAAAAGGAATCCACATTAGTATTTCTTAAGCTGGACTTAAACAACTACGATCGTTTTTTTACAACTCGAAATAAATTTTGGACGCAATTAAAAATGGAAATCAATGAATGAAAAGAAAAGCATTAAAATTACCAATCGAGTTGGGCAAATAGAAAACAACAAATACCTGAACACAATAGCATAAAACTATATTTGATAAATACATATAAATTTGAATGACATTTAAACAGGTAAATAAAAATATGTACGATCGTTTTACTCGAATAACTCGAAAAGAAGCTTCAAAACTAAAGCAATTTACCATTAAATAAATATTATTTTTTAACAACTTCATAAGTTAGTAATATTAGCATAGGTTTTCGAAAAACGAAATGTATGTATACTTTAAATAAATTCTAGAGTGTCCATTAGGGACTATTAGAGTAAGAACCAATATGTATATATTAACTAGAGTTTATTATATTATTATAAGCAGATGTATTTAACTGGCATAAATAAACAAGAAAAAAAGGAAATATTATTTTAAGAGGTAAAAAAAAAAAAAATAATAATAATTGATGCCTGCAAGAGAGCTTGTACTGTGGCCGTATTTCGAAAAGCATTTAAACATCTTGTGTGCCAGGTTCGGTGTGTTCGGTGTTCGGTTTTCTGTGCTCATAAATAATTACGAGTAAGATATAAATTCGTCTATTTATTATCGCATAGGAAACGTGCTAGATGCGAGTGTTGCGTGCAACATTACTGAGAAGGGTGCAAACAATCGTTTAGTGCCATATTATTGCGAATTTTCTTGTACGCGAATATTGCTGCCGCTGCTATACTCGTATCTGTTGTTGTTGCTGGTGCTGTTGTTGTTATTGTTGCTGTTGTTGTTGTTGTTGTTGTTGACGTTAGAGATTGCAATCGCAATCGCTCTGACTACACACTGTGCTGACAGCCAATCGCCACACCTTGGGGTGTGGCGCAGCACGCGCTCCTTTATCGACGGCCAACGGTCGTAAAACAAATTTATACTTGTACTGTACAAGCTGATAAATTTCACCCCGTTATCGGGCACTCATTACCACTCTCCAGCGTCCTGACAATAGATTCGCACTCGCAGTCCCAAGCTCTCGTAGTTGCTCGCCACTTGCCGTTGAATCACGATATTTGATTTGAATCACGAACCATGAGCGACAAAAGTCTTGTCTGTTAAGAAATTCTGATGCCAAGAGGAATTGTTTTCGCTTTTCTTTCTCAATAATATGAACTCTATGGACTGTTTTAATTATAATTAATTCTCTTTTTTGCTCAACATTTTTATTTCTCCCATGATGGCCAACGAAGTAAATCAATTTCAAATTTGGCACATACTATGTATATGACATACAAGTAAAAACAAATGCATATATCTTTTGAATACTCTGTACCCATTCATTTCCGCGCTTTACTTATGCAACTAAAATTAACTTTTTTGTACGAATCAAATCAAATACTAATTTTTGTTACGATATCGGAATAAACAACAAAGTTACACCGATCCGTGCTGTGGCAGCCATATAAAATATTGAGGCTATATACATAAGGCTTATAATAAACTTTATCTACATTCCAAGTTTGGGTTTGGGGTGCACACGGGTGGACAGACGGACATGTCTCTATCGAATCATCTCGTCATGCTGATCATGGGGTCTGCCTAACCTCCTTCTACATACATTTCACGTACCTGTGTAGAACAACTTAAGATACAACAAATATTTCACAGAGCTTGAGAACAGCCAAGAAAGTGGTTTGTTGCTTCGCTGCTACTTATACTTGACTCAAGATCATAAGTTTTATGTAAGTACGATTTATTTAGATTGTATTTTCATTCAATTTTTTGGCATCACTTCGAGTTTCTTTCGACTGATTTCAACTCAATGAAATTTTCTATTTCTATTTCAAGACCGAGCCGAGATGAATTTTATAACGCCATTTCTCTATCGGCGTATTCGCTCAGCGGCGTCTGTTATAATAATTACGGAACCAAACTCTCTGAAAAAACCTCGAAAGAAAACAACATGTCGAAAATACAGTTTTTAATCACACCAAGTAAGCTTGCTTACTAGAGCAATCCTTGGGCGGATATATATATTTTCTACAACCTCCGTCTTTGCATCAATGCTTTAAATAATTTAGAGATATGTAAATTCGATTACGGGTGTTTTTCTGAGTTTGTATCTCGTTTACAAAAAAAAAAAAAAAAATATTTTTGTTATGTCTTAATTCGACTAAGGATCTTGTTCTGAGTTTTGAGTACCCAGTAACACGGAAAAAAAATTGTCTTACATCTATTTTACGGGGTTACCGAATTACTATCTCAACTAGACAAAAAAAAATACTTAAACGATTACTTTATGTATAAGCCATACATATATACGAGTATTTGTGACGCTTAAACCCAGGGCGAGTAGAAGCAAGATGCAAAAAACTGTTGTTTGCCCGAAGCACCGTGCGAACTAATACCAGGCATGGTGTTACTACCAGATGGAGCCACATTGTTGGCTGCCGCATAGTTGTAGCTCATGTGTGCGTATGATGGAACGGAAGCGGGTGAAATGCTCTCGGATCCGAAGCCGCTGGTCACTCCATGCACCGGACCAGCCTGATTGGGGCTGCAGGACGACTGACGAGGCTCCATGACGTGATGGGAGGAGGGATTCGCCGATGGTGGCGGCGGTGGGGGTGGCAAACCGTACGCTGATAGCACATCATATCCGGTTCCATTATTGCTGCCTATATTTGAAGTATGCGAGTTGCTGATGTTAACCGAGCCACCGGGACTCTCGTTGGAAACCCCACCAACGCCCACTATGTGATGTGGTGCGATTGGTGGTGCACGCAGTGACATGTGGCAAGGATAGAGTGACGAAGGTGGCGTCAGATCTCGCTGCTGTGATATTGGCGAGGGTGGTGCCAATGCGCCCACCGTTGGATGCGAGAACGTTGGTATTGATGTGACCGACCTAAAACTTTCATTGTAAGCAAAACTTATAGACCTATAGGAAGTAAGATATGAAGCTCACCCATAGCTGTCGCCCATCGACATGCTCGGATGATGCATGTTCGAGTACATCGCGCTCATCGAGCTGCTGAAGCCGTTATTAAAGTTGAGACGAGGCGAAATCGGAGGAACGATGGAACCACTAAGCGCATGACTAACATGCTGATGATGCTGGCCGCTAATCCCCAGCCCGGGGGAGCATGCATTGTTCACATCTTCATTGTTTCGGCTGCCCCCATTGCTACTAGGTCCTGAGCGTATATGTGTGCCCGCCGTCGATGTGTGGTGCACATCGAGGGGCTCCAGACCAGCGCCTGCCGCTGCCGCAGCCGCCGCCGCTGCTGCCGCTTGTGCCTGTGCACTGCTTGGCATTGGATTCGGCGAAGCCATGCCTGTGAGCGAATCTAGAAAAGTGCACGCGGCAATTTTGATAATTTAAAATCAGAAAAGGCATTATACATATTATACAAGTATGTATATTTTCAAAAGGCATAGAAGTCTGGCCAGATTCGGGGGTTGTTTATACAAAAACACAGTCAGGGGTCAACTGGAGGGCTGGCATATTCAAAATTATAATCTTCTGCTAGCATTTTAACATCTTGAGAAATCGACGGGTGGAGAGTTAAAGAGCTCGCGGGCTGTGATTAGTTAGCTGGTGAGGAAATTTAATTTCATCTTTGTAGACACACTTTTCACATAGAATTGGCCGATTTCAGTTGTCTGCTTCTTCTTCTTCACATACATCCTGCACTACAGATGCACCCCCCACAAGAGAACAAAAATCAGAATCGCTTTGATGGACAACTCTAAATAAACTGAATTAACTGGATAAGAGCTAGAAGAGGATCTATCTATTTTTTTTATCCGCACTGGGCCTAACTGTTCGCCGAAAGTTCCATTCATATTTCAACTTGTGGAGAGTGCGTTTCGAAGAACGAACTCTCGATTTCTCTAATACTTACTGCCTGTGGAGCTGACCAAGAGCGAGGAGCAACCACTCAGGCTATTGGGGCTGTCCGTCAAGGAGGTTGCACCCGATGTCGAGGACGATGTTGGCCCCGTGGAATTTGGTGTTCGTCGCTGGTTCCGCAATTTTTCCTCCCGACGCCATTTGGCACGTCGATTCGAGAACCAAACCTGTATTCTCGCTTCCGGCAAACCAATCTTACCCGCCAGGCGTTCGCGGGCAAACACATCAGGATAGTGGGTGCGCTCAAATTCTATAAAGAAATTAATAAAAGTAATGCTCTCAAGTCAAATCACTCAAATCATTTGAGAAGAGAAAATATGTATTCACCTTTCTCAAGACTATCAATCTGGTCGTTTGTGAAGGATGTTCGGTTGCGTTGCAACTTTCTTTTTAGTATGAGACGCGCTTGATCGTCTTCGCTTGCCCCTATATTAGAGACGCCGCCGTTCGAGTTGTCTCCTTCGCCAGAACCCGTTTCGTCCGACTGATGGCCATCAAGTTCTGGAGGAAAAAAGAAACACAAAAATTGGCTTTAATGGCTTATGCAAATCGTTGTTGTCATTTAATACTTTCTGCTGCGACATTTTGCGCAAAATAAAGTATATGTATGTATGCATGTATTTAGCTCTTCTGGGTCTTAAGTTACCGGCATACTTGTAGCTAAGGTGCAAGTAAGAATATTAAAACCAAAACATTATCGTATGCAACAACATTATCCTTTTCGCCTTATTTTGTAGTCAAACTACCATTTTTTGTTCTTTTTTGTGAAGACCTTGAGCATAAATTTGCCAGTATTGCTGCATAATAAATATTAAGGATATGTTAGCTAATTCAGAGCCGTTTATGTTTCATTAGAGGAGTGTGCTTGCCTTTTTTTGAAGCTTGGGACTGTTACTATTCATCAATGTTTTATATGATCTTAATTAAAATAAAAAGTATTCAACTTAAGCATATTAGTTCATTAACGAAAATATCAGATTTGTTTTTGTCAAATTTAAACGGAAAATCAACACTAATATTCACGAAGTTCAGCTATAAAATATCCGTGTTGGTTATTTCGAATGTATTTGTTTAATTCTTATGGTTTATTTGGATTGTAGCTTTGATAAGCATTTTATGTAGAAGCTTTTAAAAAGTTTCAAAAACTTTCTATTCTATGGAATATTTGAACTTTTTTTTCTTTAATTTGTATTTAATAGAAAAAAGCAGCAGTAGCTCGACTCAATTTTATGTTTGAAAAACACTTCAGGAGAACGTTTCTAAGGCCTCGTTTACACAATATCGTACTTTTCCCCCTATTCAGATAAAGTTTCCTGCAATAACGTCTTATTTTATTCTTAACTTGCATGTTTTGGGCAAAAAATATCGCAAATATCTCAGCTTAACATAAAGTTTTCCAAAATACTTTACAGAACAGCTATAAAAAAATGCATAGAATTTGCTGATCAAACAAAGAGAAAAAAAGAGATCAGGAAAGAGGCTAAAAAGGATTTTAATAAGCCACGGAGTCAAGTATATTGAGGTAACAATCAAAAACCTACAAGGCAGAATTAAGTCGTTTAAAAGTACCCACAAAATGTCTCAAGTGATGGATGGCAGTCAAGAGAGCGTGCAAATCATACAAGAAGTACAGCCTCATTGTATTGAGTGTCAGGCACTTGAAACGAGTCATGAAGTGCGAAACAGCACCAAGCGATGCCAAATAGCCGGCGGTACTTTCACAAAGAGGGAACAAACGCCGAAGGATGCGGCGCAGATCCTGCGTATCAATTGCACACTTTGTAAAGAAATTTCACGCTTTGGCTTATTGTTAGTGGTGGCTCTATGCTCTGATGCTCTCTCTTATAGTCGTCCGACTGTCTGTCTGTCTGTCTGTCTGTCCGCCCTAAATTGCCTGACGATTCGTCTCGTTAGCTCAAAATCTCTTCAATTTAATGCCGTACAATAATTTGTCATCATTTTGCTACTGTAGGGAACTACATCAACACGTTACAAGACACTAAAGTGACTTTTCCATGAAAAGTAATATCGATAGTTGTACAGATTTGCCGAAAATACATTGACGCGTTTAATAATTGAATGTTTTCCCTTTGTCAGGAATACATACATAAATACACAAATGGCCATGTATGTGGTACTATGCACATAAATATACATACATATGTATGTATGTATGTACATATTTGTGTCCAGGTTTTTATACATTCGAGACCGATTCCGCAACACATACTCGTACGTGTACATGGATATATATACATATATGTATGTATATACTATACAAATACATGGATGAACGTACTCCCTACTGTACGACACTCGTTAACGCGCATTCGAGTGTAAACTTATGATAAGGGAATGTACATACATACATACATACATGTATACCTCTGTGTATGTTTGTGTGTGTGTGTGTGTGTGTAAGTTTGGGACATGGGGTATGTATAGAATAATTCATTTTTAACCAGCCGACGCCGCGTCGACTTCCCAATTTCCACAACAGCGAGAAGTCGTTACTATTTAGTTCGCTTCAATAATCCACAAACTTCGACCAGTTTCAGCGAAATGCGAAATGACAAAAATGTGGGAAAAGGCAAAATAAAGTGTTTATCTAATAAAACAGTTCAGGAAATAAATGAAACATTCACTTAAAAGCCTTGAACTCCAGTTTTTTCTATTATATTATAATAAAGTATCTTCAGGTTTCTTTTGTAAATTATTGGAATTATATCGTCGATTTTTTAAAAGTCCTGACACAGCTGTCATCATTTTGAAAACTATTTTTGAAATCGAATCGTTTAAGGCATGGTCGCGGTCGTGGTCGTGCTCGTGTCTGTAGAATATTTCGATTTACAATTATGACATTCACTCAAAGTATTTCATTTTACAATACTAAGTACTACATATAGTATAACGTCAATATATTAGTCATCTGACTAAGTATACCCCTATAGTATATTGCAACCACCTTAGCACATACTCGTACCTTTATGAACATAAGTATACGTATTATACGTATGAGCATACGTATTATTATTGGAAGTTTGCCTATTTGCCAACAAACTTGCCACTGTCAAAAAGACACCTACATAAGTATATACATACATATACTATGTATATATACTTAGGTACTATGTATATGGATTTATATACGAGTATGTATGTGTGTATGTATGTTGGTTGGTCGGTTGCTGAATGAGATTTCCTTGATGCTATTACTCATTTGAATCTCTATTTATAGTTGAGCCATTTTCGTGCTTTATGTTTTGAAATGTGTTGTTTTGCTTAAGAAAAATTATTGAAATGAAAATGAAAAGCGAAAAGCGAAAATAATGATGATAAAAGGGCTCGAATCGATTTATTGCAAATACCAGTTCCCCAAATACATAAACATATAAATACACATACATATGTATGTAAGTATATATATCCATTTCGCATTTGGGCGTCATTTGTGTGCTGTTAGACCCTGTCTGTTGAAAATACAATATACGAGTACTTGTAAGCACCCATGTATTTGAAGAGCTTTCTATTTTTGTTGATCTCAGATATAGGTTAATGTTGTTTTAGGCATAAATATAGACAGATGTGTACTAGATAGGTATGTATGTATGTGTGGGTACTCAGAGAAAATTCGACAGGATCTGGCAACATTTATGGGCTCTGACGTACAGCACATTACAATTTTAAAGATGAAATCTGTTGGGGCAAAGGTATACATTATATAGCAGTTGTCTTACCATATATTGTCTTGACAAAAATCATTCTTAATTTATTGGCAACAGAATTTAGTATTCGGCTATGAATGCAAACAATCGAATTACCATCGATTGCTCATCGTATATGAAGATAATATCTTCAATATTAGACTTATCTAATATCTAATCTTCAATATTTAACATGATTTTGAATATATTTAGACGCCACTCCACAGTTGATTCGAAGACCAATTGGTGGAATTATGACACTACACTAACCACTTGTCGAAAAGAGATTTGGGTAATCAAGAAAAAGATGAAACATAAATCAAGAGCCAGTGCTAAAATTGTATTTTCTGCTTGTCTGTTTTTTAGACTCTAATATTGCCTTTAAATTTTGTTTTTAGTCATAATAGATGGGCCATTACGATGTCTTTCTATTATATAGGCTGTTTTTTAGGTCTATCCAAGCATTTTTCAGTTCAGGTTCAAGTGGTCTCAGAAGTCATTAAATAAGGCTTCTAGCTATGCTGGAACTTCCGCCCAGAGTCCCGGAGTCATTAAAACTTTTAAAAAATTTACACAACAACAATCTACTCTAAACAAGCACAACATTTTTTGAATGGACGCTTCATAATACTTATAAAATTAGGTCAATTTGTGTGCAGATTATCTGCCTGTATGACCGCAAATGTTGTTAAATGGAAATCTACTCCCCTAGCTCCTGTCCTAGAGATATTATTATGAAGAATGAAGTACTATAAACAAGCCATAAATGAAACTAAAATGAATTGAGGATTAAAAGTTCGATTCCAAAGGCGCCAAGATCATTTTTTTGGTTTGTGTTTTTGTTTTGTTTTGTTTTTTTTTTATCGTCTGGGTCACATTTCATTCCTCTTGCAGAATTGTTGCCTTGTGGAGGCTTATGAGTGTAAATTGAGAATATGTATGTGCACGACCTAAGTTTGTGGAGCAAGTTTTTTCAGCTGTTATTCTAAATTAGCCCGACGAAACAATTCCAGGTAGTGTCCGATGTACGATATACTCGTATGTATGTGTATGTGTATAGGCATGTACTCGGATGTATGTATGTATGTATGTATGTATCAGATCGCATTTATGGGAAAGTATCAAACACGTATTGGCAGGGCTCGAAAAATTGTATGCAGGGCGGCGGACAAGCGACCGACCTGTCCTATTTCAAACCGCAGCAACAAAAACAGCAACAACAACAACAACAACAGCGACAATAGCAACAACATCAAAGGAACCGCTGGCCGCAACATTTCAGTCTGTCATTTTTAATATGGCCAGCGCTAAGTCCACAACCGTGGTTGTACGGCAATATGGCTATGTGTGTAAAATGTGTGTGTGTGTGTGTGTGTGTGTGTGTGTAATTGGCGCTGAAAGATAGTGGATATGACAGAGCAAATAGATGCTGATAGCTGAGACTTGCCTCGGGTCCAGAGCACACGTCACTTGCCTAGAGAGTTGCAATGTGCTGACAGGCAACAACACCGGTGGGGAGACATCAACAACAACAACAACAACAACAGTAACAACCAAAAACAACAACAACGATGACGATGACGACGAGGACGAGGACAGCAATGACAACAGCAACAGAAACAACAAACTAAAAACCAGATGACGGTATCGGCACAGACATCGGCGAATGAGTGACACTCTCACACAGTTAAATACATTAGAGACAAACTTGATAAGGCGAGAATTGTAGCGTGAGGTTTTCAGATACGATTTTATAAATATGTATTTTGTGCTTCATATTTATGCACCCCATCACCATCACCATCACCAACGGCACCAACAGCAGCATCCCAGCATCCCAGTGCGGCAACGCGACGCAGCAACAAAAACAACAACAACAGCAACTGTTATCCCACCCCTGTCTGTGGTGGTCGCCACCCCCACGGTTTGCCGTTTAATGAAGTGTCATCGCCTGTAAAATGAGTCTGTAAATCGCATTAAAGCAACTACGGTTAAGGGTAAACCTGTCAAGTACGGTAACGGTAGCGGTAGCGGTTGCCTGGGGGCTAAGGATTATGCAGTGGAGGGGGCGGCGGCGGCGGCGGGCAGGGGCCACAAGGAAGTTACAGTTACAATTCTGACGCATGCTGCCATCCACAGTTGAGGCAGGCACCTCACACACCACACAGTTGCTCTTCACGCACAGATTTTGTTTTTAGAACTTTGTGCTCATGTGGTTAAACTAATTTAGAAACTGTTTTGGCACACAAACACGCAAACAAGACAAGATACTCGTGTATATATAAATGTTCTGTGAATTATCATCCCAAATATATACCCATGTACAAACTCGTATATATATTACTTATACATATATATATATATATTTATATATGTGTGTGTGTGTGTGAGAAGTGGCGGTTAGTTGAGCCTCTTGTTTGTTGTACTCTCGTACTCGTACTCGTACTCGCATTGGGGAAACTCAAATCAATATGAACTTCCTAATGCCAAGCATGACATTTAATGTTGACGTGCTTGGCAAGAGCTTGCGATGATTCCTATATTCCGATATCCGATCTACAGCGGAGTGGTCTGCACGTTTCCAATCTCTATTTTGTTTTGCCCCTTGCTTTCCCCAATAGTCTGAGGCCGTGTCTGAGTCTGGTAATCAAGCAGAGCACGGTCACGTGCTTGGAACATTTACGCACGCACGAAAAAGTCGCGATGTTGCAGACAACTCGGTCCCCAATAAAGACAATACTCGTACAATAAACCAAAAAATTCAACACACACAAGTGTACAGGTTTATATGCCGATTCATACAAATACTCGTACTTGTGCATGATGTCCTGCGCCTGTTCCTATGCTATTCCAGGTCAATCGTGCGTATTTGGGTTGAAATAAAACCACGACTCAGATTTTTCATGCAAATTTAAATCAATTTCTTTGTACAGACTATAAAACGTCGTTGGCACACATATTGCACTTAGATGAGAAAGAGGAATAGGCTGAAGCGAAGGCTCATTCGATTCAAAAAATGCTTCTCGGCTTAGCTTGAAAATAGTTCATCACATTAAACAAATGCTAAAAAGGCAGCAGAAACAAAAACCTTATGCGGAGAGCTGTCAATTTTCTAAGGATATGGATATCCTAAGATTAGCGGAAAGCTTAAATATATAAACAGCACAATATACGTTTTAGATGTGGATAGGTTTTAATTCTCAAGTTTTGTGAGTAACAAACGAAATTTTCATAATAGAATATTTTTATCGATATAAGAATGGACCATGTGCCTGCTTTCAATATCGGTTGGTTCTAATGATTCCACTAACTTTTAGAAGTAATTTTGAATACATTAAAAATTGCATTTTGTTTATGTTTTTGGATGTGGACAGATTTAAATTATTATTATTTTACCTTTGTTTTTTTGATAGCCCTAGATGTTTCAATAATCTTTATTTATTTTGTAAATCAGTTTCGAATGATGTTTATTCATAGCCAGGATATTAACTGCAGAGTAAGCAGCTTATTATTGATTGGACAATTTCAAATAATTTTCAACTAACAGGGCAAGGGAATCACAAAATATTTCTGGTAGCTTAAAAGCTTTAATTAATGTTTAATTAAATGAAATTTTATTTCCTTTAAAATAGTTATTTGATTTTAATGATAATTCTAATACATCAATGATTCTAAGCTGATCATACAACTAACTTAAATAAAAGGGGCAACCATCTCTCCTTCCAAATATAACATTTCGAATAAGAACAAAATTTTGCTCTTTCCCTGAAGTGAACAAAATCATTTTATATTGAGAAATGCACTAAGAGCAAATTTAAAATCTGACTGCTATATTAAACAAATTTAACTTAAAAGGAAATTAGGAAATTCTCTTTTTCAGATAAAAAATATTATAAACAAAACGTGTATAACGCCTAAGTAGTGCTAGGCCAACCGTTGAAAACCCTTTACTCCGTCGCCGTCTTCCAACCAAAATATTAGCTTTATTATTGTTGTTATGAAAAACTCACATTACGATATTATAATGCACAAAAGAGTTTTGCATACTAAGAGTGGTTTATCGATCGATCATTCCTATGACTGTCCAAAGCAATGAGTCCCTCAAAATGTGCCCCAAATATCCCCAGCTGTTATGATTCAAAAGTTATCGTTGTTTATACGGACGGACACGACTATATTGATTCGCCTCATTATATTGTATTGGATATTGAGAATTGTTGGGTTTTCCAAATGTAACAATTGTTATGTCATTCTTAGGTTGGACTTACCTTTCTTTAGCATAATGTCATCGCTACTCATCGGACAATTATTCAAATGAGCGCTGGTGCCGCTGCCTGCTCCACCGCCTATGTTGGTAAGATCGCTCGGTGGACTTAACGACTGGGAGGCGGCTCCATCGCCGCTTCCATAGGCCACCGAAATGACAGCAGGAACTGGCGGAATCTCACTTCCGCCCAAAGGGGCCGCATACCAAGTGCTGGACGAATAATGCCGCGAAGGCCAACTCTGTTGGTGTTGCTGGTGATGATTGTGATGTGAGTGACTCGAGTGTGGACTGAAGTGATGTGGGACCGTTGTAATGTGATGCGCATGGCTGGATGGGGGTGCTGATGTGGGTATTGCAGTGTCTAGAGTGGCGTGTTGCGTGTTCAGCAGCCGTAGTTTCTCATACACGGACTCCTGTTCGCTGCCCTCTCCCGAGTTGCTCGCACCGCCACTATCGGACGAGTTCAGCGGTGTTGAGGTCTGGATTAGATCGCTAGTTAGACTCGAGCCCCCTGCACCTGCAGGGCCCGTTGAGTTCGGTGTGGCTGAACTTATGCTATTTGCACTGGTCGTATTATTGGAGCTACCACTCGGTCCGGCGCTGTTCGAACTTTGCTGTTGCTGCTCCTTTTGTGCGGCCAAGTTTCGTAAAACTCGATTAATGGAGGAAACCTAGTGGACAGAAAAGGAAATGAATTCAATATTGTGAGTTATTAGAGGGTAAATTCGACTATTATTACTAGAATATTACCAACTTCATTTACATTCGCACTGCTTTTTAATTGAAGTGATTAGATATTCTCTGTGTAATAAAAACTTCCATTATACATCACTATATAGCGCTTATCTTGGTCTTCATCATTTCGATAACAAAGAAGACCAACACAAATACTAACAACTATTTCGGAAAAGGAGCTTCTTATCAGCAGGCTGCTAGAAACTCATTAGGAACCGGTTGTGATTTATGGGACTGACTAGTGTAAAACTTTGGGTAATTTAGAATTTATTTGAAATGTCTATAATATTTTGTTCTTTTGGTTATCCATAACGCAAGCTGTAAGCATTGGTATTTCCAAAATATTAGAGCAATTTTAGCTCTATTTGCATTCTAATTTAAACTATGCACTGATGAGTTAAATATATAGTTGTATTCTCAAAAAAAAATGGTATTTTCATTACGTTTACTAAACACTATTCTCAGGCCAGTTATATTTTTTATCGTCGCAAACATTTCGTATATTGGCTTAGTATATAGTATATAGATCAAGAGCTAATTTATCGCTTGATTTTTTTATAAGGGGTACTGTCAAAACCATTTCTTTAAGCACACAGAGGGAGAAGAAAGAGCCAAGGATTGTGGCGTCTTTTTGTCATTTTGGCAACATTGTTGATGTTTTTCTTTTCATTGTTCTTCCTATGTGACATTTTTTCATTGAATATATGATATCAAAGATTTATTTGATTTCAACTTTAAATTACTATAATTACTTCCCAGTTAACGAACTGCTTGCTTATGAAAAGGGAACCTCTAAATGTTTCACCCTTTTGTTGGCTCTAACGACTTTCTAGGAAATACTAAGGTTTCGCCTTTTAACTTCCTAATTGCTGAATGTGATGACATCAATTAAGCGCCCAGCCAAATAAATCTGTTGCCCGCGATTCAAACATGAACACCTAATTATGTTCAACAAACCGTCAAACTACTTGAAAATAAATAACCTGAAATTAAATCGTCAAAGGGCGTGCAAAGATACTCGTACAACTGATTGCTCCCAGTTCTGGCTGTCAAATTAACTGGTTTTATATTTAAAGACTTTGCTTATTGCTGGTCAGCTGATAAATAAATAAAAGATAAATGGCTATTTTTTAAAGCGTTCTTACTGTCAAATAAAATTACAATATCCCAACACTTCTGTCTTAATTCCAATAATACAATTTAGCTGATTTAGCGAGATTCATGATTTTCATGTACAAGTATGTCGTCAAAATATTGGCTAAAAAGGCTAACCCTTTCTAAACAGCTATGACTCATATGCAATTTAAAGACTATATCTGCGGGTTAGTTTTTAAAAATAAAGTTAATACGTATGTTCTAGATACTTATGAGAATTATTACACTGACTGTTAATGGTTAAGACAAGTCACTGACAGGTAAAGTGGATTGGAAAATGCAAAACTCATTTCAAATAAAAGTGCTCAATTGTTAGCCCATTGGCAGCTTTTTAAAGCATCTGCATGGGGGTCACTTGAGATTTGTCTCGTTAGACCCCAACTTCTATGGCAAGCCGTCAGTCTTTTGGATGCTGAAATACTGCCCTTTTTGCCAGATTGGACCGTGCCGATGGCAACCAATAGACAAAGACGCCCCTCGATGCCCAGAATATTGTCACACCTATTACAAATAAATATAGATGAGTGTGTGTGTGTGTGTGTGGCAAGGAAATTTGTAATTTTGGCTAAGGGATAGGGTGTAAAGGGCAAACAAAAAAAGCTTCACCTTTTTGTAAATGTGTGTGTGTGTGTGTTTGTGCGGCAGCAGGAGCGGCGACAGGAGCAGCAGCTGACGCAGAATTCGCATGTTGCGTTTTTTTTCTATTATTATTTTAAGGCTGTGCCTGCGCATGACAACGCTTTTGAAATGGATTCAAAAGCAAAAGCAAAAGAAAGAACAAACGAGCAAACATATAAATGAGCGAATGAGAACAACAGGGAAAAGTGCAGTTGAGTGGAAAAATTAGGCAGAAATGTCCTTTCGAGGGAAGAACGAACCAACGACCGAATGAATGAACGCTCATATAAAAACTTATTTTAAAAATGAGCGCCTGGCACCGAAAGCGCTATACCTCTACATACATACATTAATACATGTTTGTATGTACAAGTATATAGGTACGAATATGTGCATACATAAATATATACTCGAAAGCGACTGTACATAATGTAAAATATCCCCGACAGGGTTGCAACCTACTCATGTTTGTATGAAGACTGCCTAGGGTTGTGCGAACGTGTGTGCGTTTTTATTTTTTATTTTTTTTTTTTTGTAATGTTTCCTTAAACACTCTGATACGAGTATAGAAGCATATCAGCAACATATCAGCACTTGCATTTGACTTTGAAGACGCAACAGGGATAGAGAGGTGTTGTCTTTGAGGTGCTTTCATCACATTTTTATAATTTTTTCTTCTATTTTTTTGAAGCACGCATTCCATTGCTTCACGCTTCCACTCGGACTTGTAGTCGGAATCGGATTCGAAGTCGGAGTCGGAGTCGGAGCAGAAGTCGGCCGTGCGCTGACCGTTTAATGTCCTGGATCTCTATAGAATTCAGGGGATAAATTGTCTGTGCGAGATGACTATGGCGGCGATGGCAATGGCAGTGGCAGTGGCAACGGTAGTGGCTGTGGCGACAACAACGACGCCGTTTGCTACAACAAATTTCTCTAACTGCCAACGCTTTCACCCCTCAGCGATTTTGCCCCGGCCAATCGTCCGTTTTTCCCCCGCAAAACGTGATTTCCCCTTGCGCGTGAATTTCAACGCTTAACGCTTTGTGGTGGCGTGCTCGTGCTGTATTTATTTAATATTGTATTTTTTTCATACTTTTCCTGCAGTGATTTCCCTTTTTTCGTTTAATGTGCATAAAAGATTTTCCCTTCCATTTGAATGATCACATTTTCCACACAACTGTCAATGGGAAGTGCACAACGCAAGCCATCAGCATCGCTGTCACAATTCATTTTTCCTTTTTTTTCTTCCTTCGTCCTTTCTTTCTTTCTTTTTGCCTGGCATACTTAATAAACAATAAAAAAAATCGTAATGCTAACTAGAAGCAAGAAAAAGAAAATGGCGTCAAAAGCACAAAAGAAATTCAAATGACCAAAAATGGCACATAATGCTTAATATATTGGAACAAATAAATATGTGTGTGTGTGTGTACGCGCGTCTTTGTGTGTATTGGAAATTTGAAGGAAGAACTCATAAAAAAAAGCCTTGAAATAACATTTTCCTAAGGGTAAATACCTTTAATAGAGCCACAGAATGATTTAAATGGGGCGCTGCTCTTTAATGCCATTCATCAATATACGAATATCAGAAAAATTTGAGTTTTGGGGTTCAGTTTGTGCAGATTACAGCTTAAAGATGCCAACAAAAAAACATTTTCTGGCAATTAAAATATCCTCTGTTTAAGTTTAGATATAATTGTGTCCTAAATTCAAAGCCGAATTATCCTTAAAACCTGCGATTATTGAATCTTGCACAAACTATCTGCAAAGCTAACTAATGCCGCCGCAAATCCTATCTGCCTATTAGTTTTCTAAATTAGATCGGTCTGCCCTAAAAATACTTTCTTTAAGACTATGTACTCAATGGTTTATTCTCTTTTTAATTTCAATTTCTTTTTAAGTTTTTAGTCCTATAGGATTTCCATCTTACACATTAAAACTCTTCTCAGAAAATACTTAAAAATGTAATGTAGCATCAGTTACATTAATGAACATGGAAATGAACTTCTATTAATAATTTATAATAATAATTTATTGAAGAGACATTCAAAGAACCACGATAAATGCTCATGTTTACTCTCTAAAGATGGTATTTAAATTTGTTGCTTTATTATTTTTCATAATTTGAGTAGATCTGGTATAAAATAGACATATCACAATCTGAATATATCAGAAGTTTGAAAACTCAGCCAAAATATATTTGCTTGTTTTAATTAAATTCGCGCTACTTTTTAATTTTCATAAGCAATTTAAGATAAGCCAAGGATTTTAAGAAGAAACGTATTTCATCAAAACCACAAACCAAGGGCTTTTAAGCTCTAAAATCTTGATTTCCTATGGAAAGCATCAGCATTATATTCAATGTACAAGTATATGCAAACAATTTTCTTTTCTGCACTGCGCTTTATAGAAATGTTCAAGAATCTATAGTCTTGCAAAAAAATATGCAAAATAAATTATATCTTCTATATAGAATGATGAATCTTACGATTCATGGCTTGCGGTATTACGGCTAAAATAATTCATGTCGCGGATTACAGCTGCAGAATATTATTTCTGACAGCGACACTTTAAATACCAAAAAGGATTTGGACATCAATTTCGTATCAAACTATTTTTGAACTCCAGTACACAATTATAGAACTGATCGAAGTGCTATTTTCAATAAGTCAATATTTTCTCATTTTCAGTTTCAATGGAATGCCTTTGTTTATGCAATTAATAGCTTGAATAGAAAATTGACTATTGTTGACATAAATTAGATACCGAATTGTTATTATACAACTGCCAAATTGATGCTGATAGAAATAATATTAGTACTACTTGTACATATAAAACAAATACATGTTGGAGTATTTGAACTTATTTTATAGTTATGCAATAATGAAATGGAGACTTACACTCGGAATGTTGTCATTGGTGCACACATTCTCCTGCAACAGTCTATCACGTATTTCCCAGGCGAAAATGCTGGGACATTCCCGTTTATATTGCGAAATTTTGCTAACGACTTCGGCGGTCGCAACTCGCGGCTTCGAACCTCCAATGGCACGCGGTCGAATACTTCCAGTTTCATAATATCTGCAAATAATCCGATGCATTAATAATCACACCTTTCGAAATATTACACTTTTAAAAATTGTATAGCTAATACATAGACACAGAACTGCACTAAAATGGGCGCGAATTATCCTTGAAGAGAAAAATAAAACGGGATATAATACCATATCTTCTTCAAGAATGCTGAAAATATGGTCTTAACTACATAAAATAAAAGAAGCAATCCCTGTCTTTTCGAAGCTACTATTATTTGTGACAAATACTGATTTTAATGCCACATCTTTCAATATTTGATATTTTGTCGTTCTTTTCCGGATTACGAGCCTTTAATTAAATTAAATTAAATTATCAGAAGAGTTTCGGTTTATTAAGAATTCTGAGGATGAAATTCACAATTGTATGCTTCCATACAAGTTTTGGGTTCATTTGGGCTACGAGGGGGAACAAAAGCTTACTAATTACACCCCGATTCGAGAGGTGTTGAAATATGCACACAACAATAAACACCCTTCGGGTGGTTGTCCGCAAATCTTGCAAGTTCGATTAGCTGCCCAGCAGGATGAAAATCCAATGGACATATGTACGAATGTCTCTTCGAAGGAATGAATTATTATGGTTCATAAACATATTAGCCTAATATGGCTTTAGAGCACTTCATAAAGGATGATGGGTAGCGCTTGCAGCCACTTGGCAATAAATATACATAAGTGCATATATACATACATATATATATTTATAGTTACCAATTAATGAATTACACGTCACTTAAAAGGGAAAAAGGGATGTGGGGTCTTTTTTTTTTTGGCTACGTACTCACCTGCCTAAAATTTTGCTAACACATCCATTTGAGACTTGAAGAATCCGGGAAATATCACATGGCCGAGCTCCGGAGTGAGCAAGCTCAACAATTTTTTGACGAGTGGAGTCTGGAAGCGGTCTTCCTCCGACAAAAACGCCGCCCAACTGATTAACCCCACTGTGACCTGCAATATTTACATTCGAAAATATAGTCTTTTATATAAATAGGTGTGTGGCGAATATTTGCAAAAGATATACAAGTATATGTTTAGTATAATGTACGAGTATGTATAGTATGTGAGGAGCTAAATATTTCTGAGCGCGAAGGCGTGCATAATCATGATGAAAGGAGCGACGCTTTCATTGAGCCCAACTGGCCGTAATGCCAGCAATATATTTACAAATAATGTTCCCTTCCGTTCCGTTCCGATCTGATCCGTTCTGCACTAACCAGCTTTTCAAACGCCAACTTGTTTACGACTCTTGTGCCTTACTACTTGTAGATGACAGCATTTGCAATAATCTTCGTATGCTTCATAGCATGTGCTTTAGCTAGGCAGCGAGGGTTCGAGTTCGAGTCCAAGTCCGAGTCTGGGTCTGGGTCTCTGTCCGAATTCCCCCCTTCTTAGCAATTCAATTGCGGGATGCGCCATTCAAAGTCGCATACTGGACACACTTTCAATGAGGCAGAAAATTTGTTTTGGCACGCTTTAAAAACGTCAACATTAATCTGTTCGCTTGACTCGCAACTTCGGCAACATCTCAATATCTCGAATATCTGTATCTGTGCGTATGTGTATATAGTTTTTGGGTATAGCCTTCCCTTCACAAGCTACAAACATACACACCTACATACATACATAGAGAGTTGTAGGCCTGTAAATGCGGCACAAGCAGTTCGTCTTCTTCTTCTTTTTCGTCTTCAAGAAGATGAACACAAAAAACAAAGGTCAAAAAAGGGCTTTGAAAAAGGTCGCGCTTGGAATGCCAATCAAGCATACATTTCAAACGAATTTCCTAGAATTTATTGAAAGAAAATCTGCGTATCAATTTAATTCTTTACTTAAACCACCGAAGCAGCAGTTAGATGCCAATGCCTCCTCCACTGTCACTTGCCCTAGAGATGCTGAGTACGATGTGGATGGGTATCTGTATGTATGTATGTATGTACGTATGTGTGTGTGTGTGTGTGTGTATGAGGAGGGTTCGCTCTTAGAAACACTAATCCATGGGGGCAATTGGTCAGCCGTTTCAATGAGGGATGCATTTAAAAGCGATAAGAGTAACAAGCTTCGGTGACAAACGAAGCATAGCCTCGTAGTCAATGGACCATGGAGTTGAAGTTTCGACACCACTTGTGACCCGATTCTACGTGCCTCTCAACCTAATCCTTTCAGGTCTCGCTCTATATTTTCGGATGAGCCACCTAAGCCTAAGTTCGAACGAATCTGTATGCCGCATGCATTTCATTCCGGACAGACAGACAGACAGACGCACGGACATTGCGAATTAGAGGCTGCCGGTTATGCTGATTAAAAGTGAGGATGTCCCTCTACGATTGTTGATGGAAATGTTACAAAATTATGCGGTTATTGATTCGTTTTTCTTTTATCTTTTTCTTTTTTTTTTCTTTTTGTACGTCGTAGGTAGTTGTCTATTCTCTACAGCAATTGTAAATCTGTAAACATTTGCTGCAGTTCTTGAAGGTTATTTCTGAGAAGATTGAAATTAGTATCCCTACATACACAGATACATATATGTATGTACATATATATTTATGTATTTTTTATTCACATATACTCGAATGTGTGCATTCATATTTGGCGGGTGTGTTTTACTTTATTGAGTTGTCCGTGTCGGGGTCGGTGTCGGTGTCTGTCCATTCACGGCCGAATGAAAAATGCGACGAGCTACCAAAGTGCTAACAGAGACAATAGGTGGAAAGATCTTGCGAATGGGATTAACAATGTAATTACAACACAAATCAGTTTGGCAAACAATTGTGTACAGCCAGAACGGACTGGACCGTCATCGACAGGGAATAGGGGACACGAGACACAATGGATCATACGGCAGAGGGGTACAATGGACGAGTGCACATCGACTGGAACGGGGACTGGGACTGGGACAGGGTCTGTGTTGGTGTTGGTACTTCGGTAGCCGCCAAAGAGGCTCATTTGTGTGATGTGTGATTTGTGATGTGTGTGAGACCCTGAATGCGAGTGCGAGTGCGCCAAACTCAGTTCGACATGCGCAGAACAAACTGCTGTCGCTTTTGTTTGTTTTGTGTTCGACTTTGGCTTTCAACATCGATAATTGTTTTTATTTGTAGCGACATGACACGAAAATGGACGATTGGACGGTGGGACGATGGGACGGTCGGACGGTCGGACGCTCGCCCGAAACGAAACACTCTTGAAGATCATTAAAGGTGGAAAATGATTGTATTGATTGAAAACAAACAATGGCAAGGACATAACTGAAAGTACTTAACAGCACAGCGGGTGTGCCACGCCCGTCGGTCTTCGTTCGGTCGTGCCACTAGAGGAGCACCAGCTCCTTTGCCATATCGCCAACAATTCTGCTCCGAATGCTATAGAATTTTGTAAAAGGACCCTGAAAAGGAGCGCGCGCGTCTAAGTCGGATCGCCGCCGTCGCCTCCTTGAATCGCTACCTCTATTTCTCATTCTGTCTGGGTCAGGCATTCAATCTCGTTCTCGTTCTTGTTCTTGCTGTTGTTCTTGGTGTAGCTGGCCAGCTATTGTTGGGAATGATGATCAGCTCTTAGCATTGTGGTGCAATAATTGGCAGCTTGTGTGTAGCGGTGTGCGCGCCAGTCATGCTCCGAACAATGCCCGTCAATAGAAAAATCAATGAAGACCAACGTTTTTGCAATTTTCACACCAAATGCCCGAATATTTCACGTCATTTTCATGATTTTCTGCAACAACACATTAACACCAAACAGCAACAAAAGCAACAAAAGCAACAAGAACAAGCAAACGCCGACTTCAACCCCGTCAAGCGATTTAGGGGAATGCCTCAATTATATGCTCAGGACGCTAAGTACATCGCTCTTCTTTCTCTATTTTGACACGTAATTTGTATAATTCAATTAAATGTACGAGTACAAGAAGTACACTAAGTCCAACATTTTTTGCTCCGCTTTTGTTCTCTTCATTCCTAGTTGGCACCGTCGGGACATTGTTATTATAATTTTTGCAGTCTATGCACAAATATAAAAGAGCACAATGTCTTCAACATGGACAGACATTAGACTTATCCATTTACATTCCATATAATTCCAAAATGAAAATACTAATGATGCTGTTCCGGTGTTAGCGAATGGCATCTGGAATTTAGTTTTTGTAACGTTCTTTTTAAAACAATACGCCAAATGATCACAGACTATTGGAAAATATGCCAACAATATTCCATTTATGCAAATATCCACAACTCAAACCAGACAGGCAATATTTTGTACACATTTTCCAAGTAAGTCATAGAAAGTGAAATGTGATTGGAGACGCGTTTAAATCTTGACAAAATTATATAATGCTTTAGTAATGCTTTAGAAACCGCAAGCCCTTGAATGGATGGTGCAGATAGATATCAGTAAAGAAAAACTACTCTAGTGTTTTATAATCTTGCCATCAGTCCATTTGCATTACGCATTTAATCATATCTCAAATGAAATTATTCTTAAAGTTAAGAAAATGCTGCTCTGAAATGAATATTGTATTTATATCGGGAACATATCTACGACATAAATCAGGATTCAGCTTGCTGTAGGCCACTGATGAGAGGCACACATAAAGATTCTTTAAGCTTCTCTACTAGTTATTTTTATGTAGTTATTTATTTAATACACACTAATCAACGACTTACTAAAGCAATAAAAAAGCCTTCAATATAATTGATATGGTAGTCTAACTTTACATACAGAACAGCCTGCATGAAAAGCAAAGATTTTTAAACTTCTCTCTAGCCTCTTCTAAAATGTTGCACACAACTAACTCTTTCATAAGCAGAACAAATTCAAATGATTTAATATCTCTGCATTGATTTTAATTTATACTTTTAAGAACACTCACAAGATGTGTGTTTGGAGCTGGTTTTTATAATTTTAGCTAGCCTTCTTTCGTTGGATGTGAGAATTCTCGTATATTTTATAATCCGCCAATAATATGCCAATTAGTTTCAATTTGGATTTATCTGGCTAAATAACTACTCAAAATTCCGTGTCATACCAACTTAGTGCTGCTTCTGATATGCTCTAGAATTCCAATATTTATAGGTCTATTAACTCTCGGCATAAGTCCTAATAAGTTATGGGTACTCAGTCGTTATGTTTGTGGTTGTTGTAAGCATTTTGAAGAAAAACTGTCAGCCAAAGACAACAGTTGGACCGATATCGGCCATTTGTGTGTGTTTGTTTTTCCTTTTGGTTCTAACGGAATTTGAAAGGGGAACTAACTGCAGTTTGGGGGATCTGCTGTTATTAATGCGTTCAAAGCGCTTTTCGGAAGTCGTGATATAGAAAACAGTATTTAGAAACGCATAAAGAGTATTGAAATAAGTGTGTATGTGTGTGTGTGTGTGTGCGTGTGGGTGTGTGCGCGCCACACAAACACCGTCAGTATACATATGTACATGTGGGGGTGTGGTGGTGGGAACATACATTCATCATCAGTTAAGTGGTAGTAAGTAGTGGTGAAATACGATGATGTTGAATGTGGCTGTGGAGCTGTGGTTGCATCCGCGGCTTCCATCGCATTAGCAGCACCGGCAACAGCCGCCTTTCCGCCAATACTGCTTAGTCCGCTACCACTAGCAACACCCAAACAGGGCAGATTTCTCATGGCAATGACATTGTCTATAAGAAAAGAACAAAGCAAAAAGGGAAAATAATCACATCAACAATTAACATTCATGCTAATTCTTAAAAATACAATACAAGTATATACAATTTTCAAATAATTTCTAATCGCCCGTTTCACATCTACCGGAGATTATCTCTAACTTAGGGGACTTAGTCTGTTTAAATATCTATAAAATATAACTGAAGGCATTAAATTCAATCATGAATCAAACTGTCTAATAATCTCCTTATCGAACTCATATGGATAACTCTGATATTGGCAATTACTATGCTTCTTTATGAAGCAGATAGATTGCTTCGTTTAGGTTACGTCTAAGCCAAGGATGTCTGGTAAATACTTTCTACAAGCACATACTTTCTAGATAATTGGGGCTTGCATAAAATGCTGCAGTTATGTTATTTAAAGACAGAAATAACATTCACCGACACACCGAAGGTTATGCCATATATTCGTATATATATGGCTTATAACTACGCATGCATGTTTCTCTCCCAAACTTCATAATTTTCCACCAGCTGTGTTGGTTGAAATAACATGACAGCTATATGCCAGAGTCAAGCAAGCAAAAAAGTTTCACAGTTGATGGCACAACCTTGTTTTCGTTCAACTGTAAGCAGCTGTCACGAAGTTTACTTCATTTGCCTGTTTTTTTTTTTTTTAACGGAGGCTCTGACTGTGCCCATCTCACACACTGTCCTGATACTACCAATATATCAAAATGTCTTCACAATTGGAATGTAGAAGAGGCTCTCATGTTTAGTGAAGTACTTCCCCTAGCAATAATAGGATCTGAGAATGCATGGAATCTTTAAAAGGCATCCCAGCCTCAGTCCCACACAGAACAAACGTAATGCAGTCCGCGCATCTCTCGTACGAGAGATGAGTTTGTATATAGGTAGGTATACTGAAGAATCATATGCTTTCTAAATTAGTATAAACATCTAAACTGATTTAATTGCGATCTCATCCATACACCTGGTAGAAGTCGATACAGAACGATCTCTCTGTAGCATGACAGCGAACAAATGTTATTGGACAAGAACTGGCAGTTAGCTTTGATCAAATGGGATTTGCTTACCCTTGTGGGTCATATCATCTAAGGTTGGCAGTCGATCAATGAGTGTTCCCGCAGACCAGGGGGGCACAACTGCGCCAATGCTCGACGGAGTCGGTTGTAGAGTAAACATAGTATGATGTACTTATAAATTGAGTGCAGATGCAGATATGTATTGCTCGTACAGTTCGGTTCGGTTCGGTTAGGTTAGATTTGTGTTCTACTTTGTGGATATTCGCGCTCGGTTCGATTGATTTGGTCCAGATATATGCGTATTACGTTTAATCTCGCGATATAGTAGTAGTATGTATAAGAATAATACTAATTGTGTTGGCTGTTTCGAATGTTTGGCTTTGAGACAACGGCATGTGTGCGCACTTTTGTGTGAAGTACTAGATATATGTTAGATTCCAATTCCTTTTATCATATTTGGGAATTAATTTGCGTATGTTTTATACGAGTATATGTGGTCGTACATATTCAGTTGATTGCACCAAGTTCACGAATGCGACATGCGGAACGTATTTTAGCGGAATGAAGTTGATTTCACAGAAAAAATTCACGGGTATATTCGTATTGAAGGGCTCACTGCGGGCGACGCTGATGACACGCAGCGTCGGCGCCGCGGGAACAAATCCAGGCCAGCATTTGGGATACACACGACTCTCAGGGACTCACGATTCACGATGCGCGATTCGCGATTTATACAGATGGTAGGTAATGCCTGAATTGAAATCCTTTGTTTTGGGCTATCGCAAATAGAACTGAGCAGCCGCCTTTGTTTTAGTTCACTTGTTCTTTTTCGGATGTTTTCAGGGCATCCTACCGAGCGTCGCACCACTTTTTGAAAGCATTTGGCATTTCAATTAAAAAAGCACTGAGAAAAAACGCGCGGAGGCTCGCCTCTTATCCACTTATTAATTGCGCCCAATATTAACAATTATGGGAATGTGCGACATATTTGTAGAGCCATGACAAAAAGCTTCTGAACGTTTAAATCAAAACTTTCAACGCTGACCACCGGAATCGACGATGGCAATGGCGATGGCGTAGCGATAAATCCAATCCGCTCGTACCGACGCAGTCGTTACAGTTGGTGCGCGCGACACAATGCGAATGTCTGCTGCATATAGCCGACTTCGGCTTCTCAGGTCCAAAACGTCTAGGCTAATTTTCAGCCGTGGTTGTGCCGAACTGAGCAAACCGGGCCTCAGACTATGTGCGAGCGCCGCTCTGATTGGTTGCAACCAAACCCACTTTCGACTCTCATTGATGGCTCAGCGCCATTGGTTGGTCCGGTCACAAAGAACGTAGACGCTGTTTCTTTCTCTCTCCCGACTCACAGTGCACATTGGAGTGGTGCAGCTATATGTTTGTGTACACTACGGTAACTTTTCTAGCCTGCTGTGTTCCTTGGCTTGCTGATTGTGCGTAGCCTTACCAACAAGGGTTGCTGCATTGTTCCTGCCATTCCGACTGTGTCTTTGCTCTATTTGAAGTGTCAATGCAATGTTTTATGCCTGCATATCGGAATTCGTAAGAGCCTGAAGAAAATGCTAAAGTAATGGGGAGAAAAACGAATAACCACTTTGAATTTAAATCCAAATACGAACTTTAATGTAGTAATGATCCTCGCATTAAGCTTGAACTTGAACAATTGTCGGACCACCAAGATGCATGAAAATATTTGACAAATACAGATAGCGCAACACTAAACTGAACTTTAGCCCAAGCCTAATAAACAAATGTGGCTGATGAACAGTTTTGGGAGCGTCTAGATCATATATGTATGTATATGTATACACTATACGAGTATATGTGTATGCATATATAGACGTGTTGGAGGTACCATCGAGTTTTGGGGATAGGAAGTACGAGTAAATAGGCAAACTACTTTCGACCGATATACATATAGTATGCATGTGCATATACTTATGTACATACATGTATATAAATTGATATACATGGATGTACACATATATACATAAATTGTATACATACATATGTACAAGTATATATGTATGTATGTTGCTACTCGCACGCATGTCTACTTACAACATTTATGGGCAAGAAAACAAAAACACAAACACAAATACAAAAACATAAGCACACATACGAGCACACACCCAGCCAGCTACGTGCATATATTGGAATTCAATTTGAATTTCCTGAATGAACGGGTGAGTAAGTAGCAGTCGCCCAATTGAATTGTTTCATTCCGATACAATAACCGCCAGACTCTTCCGTTGACTACCCACGGCTTCCGTTCCGACCTACACCGACAAACAGGCACGAATGGGCGGTGATGGCGGGCGTGTGGTTGTTTTCAAAATGACGACCACGACGAGGACGACAACGACAACGACAACGATGACGACGACGACGGCAACGGCAACGGCGACGGCGGCAACGACAAGTGCTGACGGGGACACACCCACATGTGAACGTTAGATGATAATCGCTGTTGCTGTTGCTGTTGCCTCTGCCGCCTCTGCTGTTGCTGTTTCTGCTGTTTCTGCTGCTTCTCTTGTTTTCTCCCATAGTGCTGCTGTTTCGAGCCTTTCGAGCGCTTCGGGCATTGTAGCGTGCGACAGAAGGAGACGGCAGTCTGGAGCAGCTAATGCAAAAAGGACTCGCTCGAAAAATATTCCCGAAATATGTTTACAAAATGTTTCTAGAAATTATTTGTATTTAGTTTGCATTTACTGTCCCAAAAGAAGGCGGCCATTGCCATTTGTTGTCGTTTAAGTGACGCTCTTACACAATGCAATACAAAATAAAGGATTTTTTGTTTGTTGTCGTTAAATATGCAAAATGCATAAAATTATATGCGGCACGATTTGTACAACATGACGCATTGATGTCCGAATTCGCTTCCTTTTTTTTTTCAATATTAAAATTTTTTTTTTTCTAAATACAATTGTGTACAATTTGTTTTGTTCTTCCTCCAAACGTATGAACATTTGTTTTTAATATGTTTTGAATGTTTAAGTGAATCTTGCGATACATAAAGAATACACAGCTATGCCTACACTTATTTTATTTGAATCATTTGGGCATGTGTTTTTTGAATCTGAGCTTAAATTTCTCCGAATACTCCTGTAGATTAGGAGCAACAAAATGCTAGGGCAACACAGTACAAGTACACCCGATTGCAAAACACAATATTTTAACATTTTACAGCTGATTTGTATCAGTTTCAGTAAAATACTGACATGTAACTGTTGCCAATGCCAATTGACTTCTCACTCATCCTATGAGTGATTGGAATTTAATAAAAAATATATTTTAACTAAACTCGAACTATTTTCCTATGCAAAAACTCAGATGCAAGATGAACAAAATCAAGTCGCTTGGACTGAATATTTTTTCCAAATTGTTTCAATTGACGTTATCCTCTGGTAACGATTTGAAAGAAACTTGACTCTGACCGTCGGCGTGTTTTCATTAATACGAACTAGTCTTTTGCATTCAAAGCTGGGAAAATCGAATATAATTGTAGATTTGAACAGTACCCTTTCGACTATAGCATGAATAATATACATATTTGTGGTCCTTTTAAATGCAATACCAGGGGGCTTTGTTGGTCGTTAATATATATTTATATTGCTTTTTGATCCTTTCTAAACCTGCATGGCTATTTTAAGGTTTTGGCTACTGCTGATTTTATTGTTTTCTAGACTTTAGATCGTTTACATATATAGTAGTGTCACAAATAATCACATTGAACGTATTTGACATCATTAAATCACTTGAAAAATGCTCTCACTTTTGAGTTTGAGGCTCTATTAAGATTTAACCAAAAGACAAGGACAAATAGATTTGGGCGACTTCTTTGCCAATGTTCTTTCGGCTTTAAACAAATCCTTTATATGGCTATACGATGCGGTATTTCAATCGGACTCAAACGTTGCAACACTATTCACTATAACTTTCCTATATTTAATGGGGATCATAAAATTAATTATTTTAAATTTCAGAGTTCCAAGGAATAGTATATGATATACATATTTATCTGATTCAACTTAAAGAAACTTTGCAATATTTTAATTTTTTACATTTGCATAAACACACAGTTTTTTATGTAAAGTATTGGTTTGATTGGCAGCTATAGTTTACAAGTCTGTAAGATATTATTCACCGATGGGGCTGCCTTAAACATACTTTTTAACAGTTTACAAGAATTAGAAGTTTATATGCACAATTTAAAAACTGACGACAAAGTTAGCATTAAAAGAAAACGGACAGACAAATATGTACCATAAATAAAGGATAAAGGGTAAGACAAGAGAATAACGATAGTTAGAGACAAAATATACCAAACAAATATGCAAGATCTTCAGTGTGCAAAATTCAATTTATTTGGCTTAAAGCCATATGCCCTGTTTGCAGGTCCGCCTGCCAATCTGTTTGCACATCTGAACGCATCGATTTCAAAATATAAGCGACCTGGAAACTTCTTACAAGTATTCGTATTTACTTAAAAGTAGATTACTTTTAAAAGTGAAACAAGTATGTATGTATATGTATTATTCTCAAGTCTCTTTTTACAGAAACCTTTCCAAATGTTATTAGGTTTATTTATTTATCAACATTCTACTTCTAGTTTGGCATTTATAGTATTGCATACTATATAATCCAAACATAATTTTTTATAATTTTTAGGTTGTAGGAGCTTTCGACTAACCGGCTGGACTTTGGTGGTGATGGTGGTGATGGTGGTTGTGGTGGTGCTGTGATTTTGCGTAAGGGTGGCGGTACCAGATGGGGAGGTTCTTTGATGTCAATGGGTATGGGTGTGGTGATTTGTCTTTGTGAAATGTCTGTTAGTGATATTTATATGCCGAAGGCTGCTACTGTTCAACTAAATTTGTTATATTTGTGTGAGTGGGTTTTTGGAACTGGCTGGAGTGTTTGTTCTGATTTGTTATTTGTGCTCACTTGCTCTGCGAAAACTTGCAGAAACATTTTAAAAACTCTCGAAGTACGTACATATGTATGTATGTAAATATGTAAGTATGTGTACATTTTGAAAGTTCAGTATCGGTAACTATTATTGGCATACCTCTGTTCTTCTCCTTTCTTTTCTCCTTTCCCTGGTCTCTGTTCTCTGTTCTCTGCTCAATGACACATTTATTGCGAGCGGACGCACAAGCTGAACTAAATTCTCGCTATCGACAAAGCATTTTTCTAGTCATGCGGATGCGGCGCCACCCCTTTTTTTATATTTAAAGCTTGAGATTTTAATTTGTGCAGATTAGATCAGAAATTATATCACAGCTTCAGAGTGCGGCGGCACACTACACAGTCTGGAATATTGTTCAATATAAAATACATAAAAGTAAATCTCTCTGCAGGAAGTTGCCCGGCTGCAATGAGCACATTAACTGATTTCAGCACCGGGTTCCGCCACGTGCCGCCGACACGGCCCGTGCCCGTCCTCGTGGCGCTGGCGCTGGCGTTAGCGGCGTTGGCGAAAAAGTTTTTCCGCTCAGTTCGTTTCTGTTTTGCGCTTAGTAGGGTATTCGGACCATGGGTACCAAGGGTATGAAAGTCTGGTTCTGGGATGGGGTCTGGGCCGGAATCTCTGTGTACGTCTCGGTACTGGCCAATATTAATATTTGAGATCTCAATAAGTATTATCTGCAGATGTGTAGACAAAAGTGGAATACGAGTCACGAGCATGTGGCAAAGGAAGTGCAACAGCATGCCAAGGAAGAGCTTAAGAGTCGAGTGTGCCGGCAACAGCCCATACCCACACACTCACACACACACACACACA